AGGAGCTGATACATAAAGGAACTGAATCTAAACTCTTGTTATATTCCTCCATCAGGAAAAACATTGTTTACCAAATGATATAGGTAAAGGTAAAGGGACTCCCGACCATTAGGTCAAGTCATGGCCGACTCTGGGGTTGTGGCACTCATCTCGCATTATTGGCCGAGGGAGCCGGCGTACAGCTTCCAGGTCATGTGGCCAGCATGACTAAGCCGCTTCTGGTGAACCAGAGCAGCGCACGGAAACGCCGTTTACCTTCCCACCGGAGCAGTACCTATTTATCTACTTGCACTTTGACGTGCTTTCAAACTGCTAGGTTGGCAAGGAACCATATGATATAAGCAGCGATAAAACATGAGTGATTCAGTGTGCATTCAGATAAGGGTTGAATAACCTTAACCAATTACAGAAACCAGTAATAATAATCACCAGCCTATTGTTTGGAAGAGTCCTGCAAGGCATCTCAAAAGGAAAGGGAGAGGGCAGTATTTATTTCTTAACTATTCTTTCCCCAGCTGTTGAAGTATTAGGAATTTGGCAATCTTATGGTTCCACAGCTAGCATTTCTGGAACACAGAATTGTGCTTTAATAAATCCACACTGCTCCCAGAAAGTAGCCAGGATTGGCTGAAACACAGAATTTCTTTAATTAGGTCTGGGGAAACCCCTGACATTGACTAGCATTAAAATGAGCATATGGTGTTGGCATCCTAGATCATTAGTAGTTTTTACATGAAAGAACCGCCCTCTAACATTTTCACTGAAAAACTGAGCTATTTACTGAGAGTGAAAACATCTATCTTTCCACCAAGAACTTTGAAACCAGATACAATGTATAGGAATATGAACTTCTCATCTTTTGCATTTAACTTCAATACACCATGTGAACCCATATCCTTAAGACAGCATCAGTCTCAAAGTAAGATTTTAGGCGACAAGCTGCATCCAACATTTTGGGAATACTCCTTCCTTCTGCACTTAGGGCTCCACTAATGGAATGGGGGGTTCCCAAATCCCCCTCCTTCTTGCAGCCCTCCACACCACTGGATCTGCAGTTATTGAGGATTCTTCTAGAACAGGTTTTGCACGGACACAGGGGACCACAGGAGGAATGGAAAATATCACCTTTCTCCTTCCATTAGCACAGGCTTCTGATGTATCAAAAGCCCTTCTGTGGACAGAATGACTTTTTCTGTTCATGGAAAGGCAATGTTGGATGCAATCCTTCAGCACCATTAGGTGGAATGGCAGGATACAAATTTAATAAATAAATGCCAACATACATGAACACAAATACACTTTCTTCAGTTTTAGTGAAATAAGCTTATGGTTTTGTGTTTGTCTTCCAATATGTGTCATCCTTCTGTCCTGAATGTTTTTGAAATTGCATGTGCCTATCCATAATTTGCTACTACAACTGAAACAAGGATTGTGGATGCGTGTGAAGAGGATTGGGAGCCAGGATTCAAAGCTCCATACTCAAGTCTCTGGCCCCCAGTAAAGCTTAAAATTCCCCAATTCAACTGGAATAATAATCATGATCATCATCATCATTTATTTATACCCCGCCCATCTGGCTGGGTTTCCCCAACCACCCTGGGAGGCTTCCAACAAAAGATTAAAAATACATTAAAACATCAGTCATTAAAAACTTTCCTAAACAGGGCTGCCTTCAGATGTCTTCAAATAAAGTCTCATTCCAAAAGTCTTTGCAGACATTTTTGTGGGAGGTATTCTGGAAAAAGGAAATTGGAATATCAAGCACAGCTGATTAATTAAATTAACTGGCAGAACTGGAAAAGTCCCAAGAGCATAGATTGGATGCAGCAGGAATCACTACAGTGGTGCCCTCCAGATGTTGTTGGATTGAAAACCCTACCAACCCTGACTATAGGCCATGCTGCCTGGGACTGATGTAGCCCACAGGGGAAAGCAACACACTGCCTACCCCTGTGATACAAGGTGGGTAAGAAAAGGGTCTCTCAATTTCCCCCTCCAGCCTTCAGGAGCCAACATGTAGGAGGAAGACTTTCAACTTTTCTTGCCTTAATTCATGTAGAGAAGAAGGCCTGAATTCCTCACAGTTTCTTCTGTTGGCAACCATCACTTTTAAAATTACTGAAACATAGGGGGTTTTTTTGTTTGCATGGACATTTTTCTCAGCTGGATGTGGAGAAGTAAATTAAAAATTTGTGCCATGGAGCAAAACGTGACGTCCAAATCTATAAGGGCAGCATATGCTTGGTCCCACCAGAAAGCTGTGTGGTTGTACTTGAAGTAACAGATGGCATGACTAACCCAATGATATTCTGAAAATGTTAAGAAGAGAATTAATGTACAGTTCGTTGACAGAAAATACCTGATGCAAGGGACAAAGCCACGACAGAGTGGCTGTCTTGGCAAAATTGCATGGCTCTAATTGTATGGTATGTTTTGTTTTTTGAATACAAGGAGATAATTATGCATTATAACAAGATATAAGAATAAGCTTAAGTTTTCATGGGGGAGCATCTATATTATTATTAGCATTATTTATTTGACACCTTATACAAAAAAAGTCTCAAAAGTGTCTTACTGTTGTGGAATTCTACTCAGTATTGATCCACAGTAGATTCCAATGTATAGTTAGCAGAGTAACAACTTAAACATGTTTCAGGATTCCCAAAAAATAGAGCCAATTGTATTTCATCCAGCAAAGCTTTACTGCTACTGAAGGCAAATGAGCATAATGGTCACAAATCCAATACAGTGGTACCTCGCAAGACGAATGCCTCGCAAGACAAAAAACTCGCTAGACGAAAGGGTTTTTTGTTTTTTGAGCTGCTTCGCAAGACGATTTTCCCTATGAGCTTGCTTCGCAAGACGGAAACGTCTTGCAAGTTTGTTTCCTTTTTCTTAACACCGTTAATACAGTTGCGACTTGACTTCCAGGAGCAACTCATAGAACGCGATGTGGTAGCCTTTTTTGAGGTTTTTAAAGACTTTGGTGATTTTTGAAGCTTTTCCAAAACTTTCCCGACACCGTGCTTCGCAAGACGAAAAGAATTGCAAGACGCCAAACTCGCGGAACGAATTAATTTCGTCTTGCGAGGCACCACTGTACATTCAAGATTGGCACTCTCCATAAGGAATCCAGTTGCAGCAGACTTAACTTAAACTTACAATAACTTATAATAAGTCTAAACTTTAACACTAAGCATACTATGTACAGAACACCACACCAGAAGGAAGAGAGTTAGAAAGAGAAAGTGAAACGCAGGCTCCTTCAGGCCCTACTTTTATAGTCAGCATGACCTTGACTGAAAGACATAAGAGAACCAGTTTAAGCCAGCTGTACTCAGCTTCTCTGAAGGAATAACCCAAACATCATGAACCTTCTACTTGTTTCTTTCACACAGAGAAGCTTCCAGAACCCTCTTGAATTAATTAGAATAGGAAAGATCTCTACATATCAGATCAATACTTTCTGCACTAATAAATGCAAACTGACACTTACAACATCATAAAATTTAAAAATGCATAAATTAGTTAAAGAACAAGAAAATCAAAATATAGTGAACAAATATTTCCTGGAGTGCCCAAACAACAATACTCTTAAAAGGACACATCCTACATCACCCCACTAAAAGATGAGAACCACAAAAGAGGCCCAAATCATACTAAGTATCATCCAAAGCTAACAGTCAGAAGCCTGGGGAAATAGGAATGCCATAGCCTAGAAGTTAATAATGATGCAGTTTCTAGGGAAAACATTCCACAGACAAGGAGCCAGCACCAAAATTGGCTGTTCCTGTGTTGTCACCTCCACAGCTCACTAGATCTGCTTCATCAGGTGTATATGAAGGAAATTCAGTTAACATTATCGTCAGTTTTGTTCTAAAAGGAATGGCATGTGGAATGCTGGCACTGCCAACCTAATGTGGATGAGAACAGGTTTCTAGGGGGAGAAATTACTATAGAACAGGTGTGGAGAAGTTTGGGTCCTCTAGACAGCCCCAGCAAGCAAGGCCCATTGCAAGGGATATGGGGAGCTCAACAACATCTGGAGGCCCCAAGGTTCCCTGCATCTGTTTTAGAGAGTCATAATCCTGTAGACTTCTGAACACTGCAGGTGAGGCTTCCCCTCCTTTGAACTAAATATTACTTATCATTTCTGTGGTGTTCATGGCATTCCTTAGGGCATATCTCTCTACACCACACTTAAATTTGTTTAACAGTTATTCATTCTCTTCAGGGAACCCTTGGAACTGTAGTTCTGCAAAGGTGGCTGGGGATCTCAAAGAATTCTCAGCAACTCATCATCACACAGTTCTCAGTATTCTTTAGGGAAAGCTATGACAGTTCTTAAAAAGAATAAAGCTGATATAATTTTGTAGTGCAAAGTAGAAATTTACAGTCGTCAACTGCAATCCAAGCAAGATCACCCCAAGAAAATGCATTGAGGGTTGAATCCAGAGGAGACCCACTGAAATCAATAGGGCTTAAGTTAATCATGAATAACCTAAGACCTACTGATTTCAGTGGACCAATTCCAATCACAGCGAAGTCTGGATCCAACACAGAGCTCTTTCCTTCTCTACATTCTACATCTCATCACTCTGGGTCCTGGTTAGCCATCAGAAACTTTGACGATGGAGTTCCTCATCCTTGCTTAAAGAGTCGAGAAAGATCTCAGATGGGCCCTAGAATTGCCTTTTCACTCCAGGTGTGCTGGACTACAGCTCCCATCATCCATGACCATGGGCCATGCTGGCTGGGGATGATGGCTTCTGGAATCCAATATCTGGAGGGCCACAGGCCTGCCCATCCCTGTTTTAAAAATAAATCAGAAAAATGATTAAGTGTAATAGAGAAGCTTTATACGATTGCTTAATTAGCATTAAGAGGGCACAATTTTTCTTCGTAAGGATGGAGAACAACAGGATGAGCTCTTCATAAATGCATATTAATGACATCAAGCAACATGATTTTATTATGCACTGTAGATTACCCCAGGAAAGCGAAGGAGTCCCATATGGTGTCTCAGCAAGAGAATAAATCATACACCTACTACAGAAGAAGTCGCAGTGACCCACTTGAGAAGGTAAACAGAGGGCAGGCAAGAAAAGAACTGGGTTTCCTACTTTACTGAATATGAAATGCAAGTGCTATGTGACACTTAAGGAATTGTCGTTTTATCAGTTATGATAAGTAGAGCAGCTGGGAATGAGATTTTTTTTTAATTCTGTTTTATCCTTTTTCTTTTTATAGAGTCTTTGTGTTCTAGCACAATTGATTGGCTCCTTTGTATTTTGTCTCCAGCAATACCATCTTTGTCATGCGGGTGGTATTTGAAATAGGTTAAGTGCTCCATGTGGCGAACTTAATAATTGTTTCTGATGAGGTTGTTAAGTCGCTTTGGGCAAGATAAAATGACTACCAAATCCTAGCACTCCATCATTTTCCATGAGTTTGTGTTGGGAAGTGATTGATCAGCTCTGTAGAGTATATGTTACTGATGAACGCAGTGGCCCCTTGCTGGCTCTAGAGATAGGAGCTGCGGTCTCCAGTCCAGGCTTGGGAGTCTCCAGCATCTCAGTTACATAAGCAACTTGGCCTCTGGTGTCTCCTGTTCTGCAGTGGTGTTCAAGCCCTCCTTTTATGGAACCACTGGTCCTTCAGCCTTTGAGTGTGCCCAAGTGTGATCATGATACATATGCAGGCAGACGAGCTAACATGAGGTGGAATGATGAGTGGGATGTAGGCAGCACAGGAGAGGGACCATATCCTATACTCCTTCAATCCACAGGCATGCCCACTTCAGTAATATGAGCAGAAGTGTTGGTTAGCCAGGCTAGTGGTCCATAAAGCATTCCTCCCGACTGGCTCAGCTATGTATCCTGGGGCACCACACATGTGTAAAACATGAGCTCTTCGCTCCTCCTGCAGCCACTGTACCCCTAGCATCTATGGCCAGGTACTGAGGTGAGAGAGGCAAACAGCCTGTTATGAGGGTGATCTGGATCTTATTATGGCTGTAAGGTTAAGGAACTGCTCTGTGGGTTTGAATTGCTTCTCTTTTGCCTCTGACATTCTGTTTGGTGAGCCACTGGAGGTTGCTGCTCACAGTGTGTGTCTGAGTCTGCCCTGACCCCTCCCTCCCGTTTGATTGCTTGGCAAAAGTGCATTTCCCTCCTTGGGTCAGCCTTGAACCCTTGTCCTAGGAAGACCATGTGGGCTCTCTGCAGTAGGCATCCTGCCCAGAAATCTTTGTGATTACTCTGTGTTATGTCTTCCACTTCCCTACTTTTTGTCCGTTATAAAAAAAAGTGTTTATGAGGAACATAAGAGTGTGCCTTCTGTGCAAACTTTTAAATGCCTGATGAAAATTTTACTGTTCCACCAGGCCTATGCAGCCAGTTAAGAGTACATCCCCTGCAATGGTTAATTGTTGTTTCTTTTTAATTTTATTTTCTCTTTTAACTAGTTTTAAACTTTCTATGATTCTATTGTCTGGTTTTGTTTTTATATTGTTGTAAACCTCCACGATATATTTTTATGATACAGTGGTATATAAGTATCTTTATAAATAAAAACAGATAAAATAAATTGGAACACCTGCCTTTAGGGATGACTGGAGACTGACAGTACAGATGGTTATTATCTTATTCACATCCCAATCTATCAAGGCCTGTGCTCTGCATTTGCATCAGTGATCTCTTCCTCATGTAGGCTGCCTCCTTCATTTTCATGGCTTTGCCCAGGAAAAGGAATATGCACATAAGAAATCTTTGAATTGAGGTTTTGTTATTCTCTACGCAGAGGCTCTGGGATGAAGAAGAACTACAGTAGTAAATAATATTATTATACTCAAGGTATACAAAATTAGAATTGTCTAACATTCTAGCCACAAACCATATGTGACCAATTTAGAATCTAGATGCAGCTAACTGAATTTTTAATCACACATTAACATCCGTAATAGATGCACGTTTTGGGCAAATGATCTTTTGTGCTCACATTTGTCTGCTGTTAATTACAGTCAGTGTTTGCTCATCGATCATTGTACTTCTGCTACTGCATATTGGTTCTCTGCTGAAGTATAACGGAAAACACTGTCTTTTTGGCACCACTGAAACACCAGCAATACAGCAACACGGAGGGCAAACCTGTCAAACACACTCAGCTCAATTGACCAGAATAACTGCTTTTAGCTAGAAAATAAAAAGGCAAGCTCAAACAACACTGCTCAAGTAGTCCCCTTAGGACAGGGCAAAGGGCAAGCAAAACTCAGCTGCATTCAGGATGGATAGCAGGAGCAATTGTGCTATGTTCACACAGGAAATGACAGACAGCACCAAAAGCAGGGAGTTACTGCTTCTGGTGTGCCATTTACCAAGATTTTCTCTCTCTCGTGCTCTCTTGCTCTGTAATGATGTGCAAGGATTTCAGCCGAATCTTTGAGTTCAGGGTGCTTGGCTTTCACTCTGTGAGACAAACCCTTTTTGCACCTCAGTAGGAGCACTGTTCCTGGCATCTGCAGTTGCATGGTCCTACAAGGTGGTAGAGCAGGAGAAGCTTCTGCGGACCCCAAGGATGATGGCAGAACCACATTCTCATGATGGAGTTAATGTGCTGCTGAAGGGCTCCCCTTCAAGCGAAGTGACTGTATTATCCAAATCACAGTCCTCCTCAGGTCAGCACATGAGGCCTTGAAGCCGAGGACATGAAAATTTATAGCAAGGGGGTGACAAGCCCCTGGGCCAGATCCATTCCTTGAAGGCACTTCTGGTGGTCTGCCAGTCCTTGGTCAAAATTAGTGGGAGGCTATGGGGCCATTACAAGAAGCTAATGGTCAGGAAAAAGAAAGGCGCTCTAAGACCTTCTTGTAATGGCACCCCACCAGAATAAGGCAAGAGAGTGGACAAGATTTTCTGCCTCTGTTTTTCTACCCACATGGTGCTGTTGGGCTAGGAGAAGATCTAGCAACTACTTCATTTGATATCTTAAATCTTTGGTTTTGATTCATTATTCTGATGGTCATAGGATCTTTGAAGGCTAGGAGTACAAAAACCCATCACAGGTTAGGGCCATCCATCCATCAGCCCCACACAAAATAACATGCACAATCTACACATGCCTCCAATTCCCTGTAGTCTAGTATGCGGAAATTAGGACAAGTTAATAGACACAGATCCAGCACTCAATGACTGTGTCAGTCATTTCAAAGACAACGCAATAAGGTTCAAATGTAGACTGTCCATGATGCTGAGCAAAAACTAAGGTGTATGGGTACACAGAAATGACAAATATCCGATGGGGTTGATTCATTTACTATTGAGACTTTTATATTCTTTTGTTTATATGCTACGTTCAGCATAGTTCCTGTAATAGGAATTGCATATGAATAGATAAAAGAAAACTGCTGTACATGAACCAAGATCAAAAGCTTTTAGGTAGGGCTCCAACAGAGGTCAATACTGGATAATTAATTTCCAGGGAGTATCAGGAAGTTGAATTATTTCTTGGATAGTTACTGCAATCTGAAATATGAGACTCTGGAGCTCCATATAATGAATTGAATTACACTTTACAATACCCTTAACCATTGTCAACATCTTAATTGATACAACCTGCTTGCATTAAGGTGCCAAGAAGCTTTGCACCAGGCCAGTGTGTGACACCTACAGATCCATCCAGTCAGAGCCAGAGTGTCATACCTGGGAAACCAGGGTTCAAAGACTCCCTTGGCCATGAAGCACACAAGGTTACCTTTGGCCAGTCACTGCCTCTCAGCCTAAACTACCTCACAGGGTTGATGTGGGAATTAAATGAGAGAACTATGTATGTCGCCTTGAACACCTTGGAGGAAAAGGTGAAATATAAATGCAATAATTAAATAAAAATAAAAATATATTGCCCCTGCAATCCACTTGTCACTCCAGCGATCACTCTGGAGAATGCTTCCATGGCTGTGTTAGTAACCTGGGGGACAGAGTTGGAACTGGATGTGTGAAATCTGGGTTTGAATTCCAACTTCAGTCATTTGGATTTGAGCAAGTGAATCTCTGCAGGCACCCACATGGCACTTTCTCCCCAAACAGTAATCTTGGGTGGATTCCTCTTTTTTTGTAAGCCATACTACACTTGTGCAAAAGCCACAAGCGTGATTCCCCAAACAGCCACATGGCAGATGTGGGTAGTAGGTGGCACAATCCACAGCAAAGTGTCATATACAAATAAAAGTTGGTCACTCATTTGTCTTTCCTTGTTCTCCTCCTTTTGTTAAAATGATGGCCTATTTTAAACGCTTGTGCAGGCCTCAGTTTTGCATCTCTGATAATCTGGAATAATAATTTTATCTTAAAAGTTCTACCTTGCAGAACTTGTTTGTTCCAATTTGCACACTAGATTTTGACTTTAGAGGGGCTGCTAACCGAAAGGGTTGTTAAAAGCGAGGACTGTGAAGAATGTAAGCAGAAGTTTGATCCTTAAGAACACTGCATTCCTCCTCACTCTGAAGGCTTCTGCATCAGCTGCTCCTACATGAATCTTTTTGTTGGAACAGAATGCTGAACTAGTTTGGCCTTTGCTTTGAGGCAGTTTCCTTCTCTCTCTCTCTCTCTCACTTAGTTTGTCACCCTTTAACTTTTCTTGCCTTTAACAGCTGCACCAATAGAAATTCAACAGGTCCCACCATGATTACAAAGGATGTGTCAAGGGGTAAGGTAGGTAGCTGTTAATGCAAATACCATGTTCTTTCCCAGGCAATGTAAGGTAAAAAGGTAAAGGACCCCTGGACAGTTAAGTCCAGTCAAAGGCAACTATGGGGTGCAGCACTCATCTCCGCTTTCAGGTCAAGGGAGCCGGTGTTTGTCCGAAGACAGCTTTCTGGGTTGTGTGGCCAGCATGAATAAACCACTTCTGGCGCAACGGGACACCGTGATGGAAACCAGAGCACACAGAAACGCCATTTACCTTCCTGCCACAGCAGTACCTATTTATCTACTTGCGCTGGTGTGCTTTTGAACTGCTAGGTTGGGAGAAGCTGGGACAGAACAATAGGAGCTCACCCCGTTGAACTGCCAACCTTCCAATCAGGAAGCCCAAGAAGCTCAGTGGTTTAGACCACAGCGCCACCCGCTCCCTCCCAGGCAATGTGGACCCAGCTGCCCCTAAGGATCAGCCTCCCCAAGACCTGGATCCTTGGCATTGTCCCTCCCTTCCTCCTCCTTTCCAGAATGGCTAGTCATTTGGTAGGTGGAGGCGGTGAAGGATACAGCCTCCTCCTCCCTCCCTATTCGCCAAGGACCTGTGCTTGCTTTTGGCAGGCAGAAATCCCTCAGGTTCAGCTTCGCCCCCCCCCATCGCCGCACCTGTTGAATTTCTGCATCAAAGGCGCCTTCCGCAGCACCACTGGAAGGAGCCCTGAGGAAGAGCCACCCCACCACCCCCACGAGCAAGGCGTCGCAGCCATGACTGCCTGGCATGGGAAGCGAGGCGCCGCCCCGCCCTCCGCGCGCGCCCTTCCTCGGCTCCCTCCACAGGCTCCTCCTCCGGCCCCGGATTTTGCGCCGGAGCCCCGCGCGCGCCGGCGCCCCTTCTGCCCAGCCACCCCGCCCCCGCCCGCCTGCCCTCCTCACAGCCGCGGCGCCACTTCCAGAGCTGTCAGTGCAGCGGCAACAGCAGCAGCCGTCCAGCCGGCTCTCTCCCGCCTCCTCCAGCAGCAGACGGCGGCGGCGGCCACTTCAGCAGCAGCAGGTACATGGCGAAGCGCCACCTACAGCAGCGCCCCCAGGGCAGCCTCCATTGGGGGTGCGCGGGGTTGGCAGCCGCCCGAGGTTGCTTTTCCCACCTTTTCTTTTTCTCTCTCCCCCTGCTTTGATACAGTGGTCTCTCCTCCGGAGAGGGGGCAATGAATGCTGCATATGGAGGGTTTGAAAAGGAGGAGGGGGTTGTCCTACTGTGAAGTGGGAACGGGGGGTGTCTCTGTCAAGTATTATCCGGGGCAGATGGGATTACCTATTTGATGCATGGCTTATCTTTATGGAGCTTTGTTCTGGTCCGGAAGGGGGAGTCTGGATGGAGCCTGCGGGCTAAAGCCCCGTGCAGAATCCTGGCAACGGAGACAGAGAGGCATTTAGCAAGATATAGATGGTGTAGACCTGGATATAGATAACGACGACTCAGCCTTGTAGGGTTTCTTGGTCAGCTCCACCCCCATCCCTATTCTAAGGTCCTTACAGGTGACCCCTTTTTCCAGGTGTCCTTCTCCCCACTGATCCACTCCCCCCCACCTGTCACTGATGTAGGAAGCCGCCAGATCAAACGTAAAAAAGAAGGGATGTTTTAGAGTTGTGCTTACTGAGGCGGGGACACCCCCTATTTTCTACGGAAATGTGAAAATCAGTTAATGCCAATGGAGCTAAAGGGATCAATTCATGTCAATAGAACCAAGTTCCAGCCTTTTAAAAATGAAGGACACCTCCTCAGTCTAGGATATTTGACCCCTGAGATCTCAAATGGAGCGTTGTTTTGCTAACCTCCTCTCCACACAACAAGGATGGGATATCATCTGCTTTCTCATTCTATTTCTCATAATCTTTGGGTTCCCTGACCGCTTTCCCTGTGGGGCCAGGGTTAGAAACTGAGGCATACTGGAATTTGTGTGTGTGTGTATGGGTGGGTGGGTGGACATCTCAATTCATGACACAAGATTATCTGGGAAGGCATACAGAGAATCTCTCTAGTCGGTCTCTGGAGTTGAAACCTGAGGACAGAGTTCTATTCGGCCAATTTTTTCCAGCAGGTAAGGAGCAGGAGGAGCAGCAGGGTGTTAAACCCAGGAAACACGTCTTGAGGCTCATTTCTTAACATTTGTTTATTTGCCTAACATTGTGAAGCAATTGCCTTCTGATCAAGAGGCCATCCCGATCCAGTGCGATGTTGCCACAGTCCTTGCTGTGACCTCTTCATGAGCCCTCCTCAAAGCTCCTAGGAAAGTGGGTCAGCTTCTCCTGAGAAATCTATCTATCCGACACTTTCTTTGTTGAGTTTCTGCACTGCCAGCTGGTTAGGAGGCTGCACTCTGGCCTCTGTGTTTATGCACATATTGAATGCGCTTTGCTTCAATTATTCATTTTTGGTGCTACAGTAATTTCCTGCAGCTTCTCTTCTCCAGGGAGCTGGTGCGTAACAAGATTTTAGCATACTCTGCTTTTGAGGATATCATCCCATTTAGCCACATGGCAGCTGTCTTTATTTCTGTGCTTAATATCGGATACGTAAACAATAACAGGAAAATCATTCCGGATCTGTCTGAATACATCACGGGTCTCAATCATAACAAGTGTGGGAGGGAAGTATCCTAGCATTTCAACGTGAGGCTGAATGTGAGGTGAAGTCACATCTAAACTAACCTTTTCCATCTTTTGGGCAGGGGGGCAGGATTACTGGACTCATTTGTATGCACGAATAGCCTGCTGTGACCATAAAGCAAGTAACTCACAGTAAAACACCAACCAAAACAGCCGCCGCCCCCCAGCCTTCAAATGTTACGACTCTTATATTTGCTGGCTTCACAATTTTGAATGACAGATTGTAAATTCAGTGAAGCTCTGTCCATTACGTCAGAGGTAATGGAGGAATTTTATCAGGGTTCATGGATGTCAATTCCTTTCTGTGTCTGCAATTTCAGCCATAAAATCTTGGTTGCATGCTACTTATACAAATATCCATTACCATTTCTTCATCCGAAGTTTCTGCAAACAATGCCCTTTGTACATAAATCATGCATCCCTGAGTTCCAGGTTTGGTCTCCTGACTCGGTTATGCAATCAGATTAAAGAGATGCAAATATTCTCAACTTCCTAAATTTTGTTGTTTTGCCCATTTAGATTTTGAGACTGGATCCATTTAAATTTTCTTTCCAAAGCAGGGTTGAATGATTGGGAATAATATGTGCAGGGGAAGAAGGAAGGGAGGCCATGGTTAGGGGGCTCAGCCATTGCAGAATAGCAGCACATAGGACCATGACTGATAAACTTCTGCTCATGGTGTGGAAGCCTCAATCACTGGTCACTGGAAGCCCCCACAATTCTTTCCTGGTTTCTGAGGACCGAATCTAGACAATCCGGGTTGGTTTTGATGCAGCTGCAGTTGCAGTGGAAAAATACTCATCTCTTAATCCCCACATAGTAAAGAGGTGGAGTAAACAGTTTTCAAATGTAGGAAGGGAAGAACCAGGCAGAAAGGTAGCTTAATGGCTGGCATTTGAAACCCCCAGAATGGCGAGGGAGGAATTTAAATCATAAGCTGTTGCAATGATGTCCCAGGCACTGTCCCAATATCAGCCCACAACACCAGCACAACCACTCAAGTCTCCACACAGCATTTGCAAGAATTGTGAGACACACTTCATCAGCAACATTGTGCTGTTGTTTAAGCATTTAGAAAATGTGGTTTCTGCTGAAACAGATCAGCTCATCATAGAAAAACGTCTGGATCGTGTATGGCAATCAGATTTCTACTCTACATTCTGCACAATCTGGGAAGGACCTGAGCTGTTAGCAGATATTGCCCTCATGTTTCCAAGCCTTTCTTGACAGCCTTATGGTCTGGACTCTTCTCCCCCTCCCCACTCTCTCAATATAAAAGGTGAGATACTTACGGAACCAAATTTTGCATTTCAACAAAGGAGTCTGTGGATACATGAAATATACACACCTGGTCATGCTTAGAGTGATGCAAATTGACATAGAACAAGAATGGATATTTTTCTCCCCTTGCCACTTTAAAACAACAACGTCTAATCTGCCATTCCCTTTCAAATGCAAACAACATTATTCCAGGACCATTTCATGCTACATTGCTGGATTTTAAAAACAGAGAAAGTCAAAGCTCGAAAACCCAAAACCAACATTTCATCATCAAAGCCAGAGTTTTATGGGATTCAAAGCTATTTGCCTACTTTTGAATTCAACAAAATCAAGCATCAGAGCTATGTCTGATTTGGATGTTATGTGGGATTTATTTCATTTACCACTATTTAGCAAAGAGACCCCCTGATAAAACATCATATTGGGGTATTGCCTTCTCATCCCATTCTTATGCCTCTCCTGCATTAGTTTTGAAGACAGTCTAAATATTTTGGCAGAGTCAGTCTAAGAAGCTAAAGTCTGAACTCTGCTTTATTCCCTAGAAGTAACAAATCTCAATTTCACAGGTTTATTCTTTCATTCATTCCATATATTTATAGAATCATAGAATCATAGAATCATAGAGTTGGAAGAGACCACAAGGGCCATCGAGTCCAACCCCCTGCCAAGCAGGAAACACCATCAGAGCACTCCTGACATATGGTTGTCAAGCCTCTGCTTAAAGACCTCCACCACACTCCTTGGCAGCAAATTCCACTGTCGAACAGCTCTTACTGTCAGGAAGTTCTTCCTAATGTTTAGGTGGAATCGTCTTTCTTGTAGTTTGGATCCATTGCTCCGTGTCCGCTTCTCTGGAGCAGCAGAAAACAACCTTTCTCCCTCCTCTATGTGACATCCTTTTATATATTTGAACATGGCTATCATATCACCCCTTAACCTCCTCTTCCCCAGGCTAAACATGCCCAGCTCCCTTAGCCGTTCCTCATAAGGCATCGTTTCCAGGCCTTTGACCATTTTGGTTGCCCTCCTCTGGACACGTTCCAGTTTGTCAGTGTCCTTCTTGAACTGTGGTGCCCAGAACTGGACACAGTACTCCAGGTGAGGTCTGACCAGAGCAGAATACAGTGGCACTATTACTTCCCTTGATCTAGATGCTATACTCCTATTGATGCAGCCCAGAATTGCATTGGCTTTTTTAGCTGCCGCGTCACACTGTTGGCTCATGTCAAGTTTGTGGTCAACCAAGACTCCTAGATCCTTTTCACATGTACTGCTCTCAAGCCAGGTGTCACTCATCTTGTATTTGTGCCTCTCATTTTTTTGCCCAAGTGCAATACTTTACATTTCTCCCTGTTAAAATTCATCTTGTTTGTTTTTGCCCAGTTCTCTAATCTGTCAAGGTCGTTTTGAAGTGTGATCCTGTCCTTTGGGGTGTTAGCCACCCTCCCAGTTTGGTGTCATCTGCAAATTTGATCAGGATGCCCTTGAGTCCATCATCCAAGTCGTTGATAAAGATGTTGAATAAGACCGGGCCCAAGACAGAACCCTGTGGCACCCCACTAGTCACTCTTCTCCAGGATGAAGAGGAACCATTGATGAGTACCCTTTGGGTTTGGTCAGTCAGCCAGTTACAAATCCACTGAGTGGTAGCATAGTCAAGACCGCATTTTACCAGCTTCTTTACAAGAATATCATGGGGCACCTTGTCAAATGCCTTGCTGAAATCAAGGTAGGTTATCAAGCAGTTATATACTGCTTAAAACTTGAGACTATCTCTAATTGAGTTACAAAATAACAAAAATGATATGTATACCATTAATGTGGCAAGCTTGTTAATCTCCACCCATTTGTTCTGTGCATCCCTCGAATATTCAGTTCTTAAAAGTAAAGACCAAGCATCTTGAATGAAGTAATGAGGGCTAAAACAGACAACATAGTGACCACGGAGAAAGCACTATCATTTGCATGCCAGCAGTGGCACCTGCCCTGGTCACTGATCACTGGCATGTTAACCCTACATGAGTATGGGCCAACTCACATGGTAAGTGTGTGAGACACGGTAGTGCACGCATAAAATACTTGTATTGGAAACATAATGTGGGCACACACCTGGCTTATGCCCACTCTCACATCTGCTATCTGCCTCACTTTCTGGATTTCCCCAGAAATTTCAGAGATCACTTGATTGCAATCAGCAATCAGTAGAGGCGGAGATCCTGGCTCTTATATGTCTTAGAAGCTCATTACTCACTGAAAGCCTGAGCCTGTGCTTCCATTTACACATATAATCAGCCTATGCATTGCAAGGGTGAAAGAAGCAGGAAAACCTTTGCTCCAGCTTACCTGAAGCCAGGATACAGTTGTACATGCTCAGGTACAACTGTCCCTCCCCACCAGGGAAGGTCAGGGAAGATGTACATCAGGAACAAGAGAGGCAGAAAGACTGGCATTGGCATCTGCTGCCCCTATGGATCCTGCCACCTGAGGCAGTCCCCTCACCTTGCCTCATGGGTGGGCTGGCCCTATAAGTGCCCTTATGCAATGCTTCTATGTTGGGGGCTGGAGGCAGCCGCCATAGCAGGACCAGCAGCTTCACTGATAGTATAAGTAAGTCCAGCATTAGAACAAGGCCACAGTGCTGCAAGTTAAGAATCCAGATACATGCAATGTTATGCTGCTTAACTTTTTTCACTGCAACTTGAGTACTTCAGTGTTGTCCAACTGTTTTTATGCAGCCACATGCAGCCTGCTGGAAATTTCTCTCATCCCCCTTCTGTGTGTTCTTTCGTGTGCCAATTCTGGTACCTCCATAGTCCTCTACTGTCTCTCACCAATGCTTTGTAAATTACTGGCATGCTCTAATCAGAGTAAAGAACAAGAGAGAAAATCCTTGCTGTGCCTGATCAAAGGATTGAGGCTTCCAGTAGGAATCACCCTGCTAGGAGCAGGAACTGATCACAGAGCCAAGCAGCAGAAATATCCATCTAGAGGCTGGTAATTGATTGCAAAGGCTACAGGAGAGGAGCAGGGAGAGATGAGTTCATGGTGGCAACCTCCCCCTCAGCCTCCTGTATTTGTCAAATGCTAGAATGTCTACCTTAGCGGTGCTGAGATGAAGACTCAAGAGAAGGGCAAAGAGAGACTGGTGATGACTGTAGAGAGAATATTAGCTGGAAATTACAGCCATTTTTGAACCTATGCAAATTGATATCAGGGCTTCAAGGTATGATTATGCACTGCCTCTCCCACCTACCCTTTTCCTTGCTTCAGTTTTTCCTGATCCAGTTACAAAGGGCTGTATCTGTTCCAAGGGCATCAGAAATACAAAGCAGGTAATGTGGTATCTTCAAATCAGGGATGGGGATCCTGTAGCCCTCCAGATGTTGCTGACTCCAACTCCCTTCAGCCCCAGCCAGCTTGGCCAACAGTCAAGGAAGATGGGAGTTGTTTTCAAGCAACATCTGGAGTGCCGCAGTTTCCTCATCCCTGCTTTAAAGAGATCCATGTATTCTTACTGTAAGGGAAGCTGCTCCCATAAACTTTATGACACAAACTATGTAATTACTTCCTTTGCATCTCTGACATGAATTTGAGCCTCATGGGATCCAACTGATCAGAGGGAGGCCAGCAGGTCAAAACCTTGCTTAATCATGTTAGGGAGATGATTAGTGAGATTCCAGCAGATTACATGTTGGAATTGTGAGTCCTAAATCTGAAAGTCTCATCAGCCATGAGCTCATCAAGTGGCCATGGGAAGATAACTTTCTCTGTTTTGATTTGTAATATTTGACAGAGAAATGGCAGCCACCTAACTCATGGGCTTGCTACTGGAACGAATTGAGAGAGAATGATAAAGCATGTTGCACTCCAGAACTACTCTGGAAATTATGAACAATCATCATATGGATATCTTGATTTGCCCTCACTGGAGGAGAAGTTACGGAGGGTGTTTGCTGAAAAAGGAGTCTGAAGTCAATTATATTAACTGGAGGTATGGGGAGGTATTGTGTCATGCATATATGTTGCCAAGGGAAAGTATCTTGATCTAGAAGGCATGCAATTAGTTTTTGGTTTTTTGCTTTCCTGAAGCGTAGATGAGGAATGTGTCTGAAGAAGAAATCCCATCTGCACCTTTGTCAATATCAGCAAAACCTGTAAAAGGCATTAAAATGTGGAATGTGGAGTATTTTGAGCATTTCATTTTCCATTAAGACAAACCTGATAACCATTAGCTGTGCATTGTGTCTTATCCATACTGCATTCTAAGGGCTCATCCAGATTTCATTTTGTGCTGCACTCCCAGGCACAGGTCGTGGCTTAATGCTCCATGTTTCAGTAGTTTTTGTTTTGCCCCTGCACTTTCCCCAAGAAAACTCTCATTTTGCATCTGAATCTGAGCAAATGTCAACCTGCAAAGAACCCAATTGCCGTTTGCTCTGATTCAGTTTTCCCAAGGGAAGCGCTGGGGAATATACCAAAAAGCTACTTGGAAACAGATATTTAAAGCACAAACCTGTGCCTGGAAAGTGTGGCACAAAAGGAAATCTGGGTGAGCTCTAAGTCTTACAAGAACACTGAACGTAAGATCAACTGACAATACCAATAGTGGAGCAGTTGCAAACCATGGTGTCACACTTAATACTCTGTTAATGAGTTGAAGCCTTCTTTTATGACAGATACCATTAGTGACTCGAACCATCATCGGGAAACTTTGAAGAGTATCTTCAGAATGGAAATTCTACATAGTTCAGTGCCTTTTAAAATAAAAACCAAAGATTCCAGAGCATATGTTTTCAGTCTTTAAACAACAATATTATAACTGGAGAGATGCAGAATCTGGCAAGACTCAGAGCTGCAGCCATAGAGAACCTGATGATATACAGACTGATCATGAAAGTTATTATGTTTATAGGAGATTCGTTCACTTTGTATTTTTTATAGGAAATGAAGCCTGAGGATCACAGCCATCTCCCTCTCTCATGAATAAAAATCAAAAATTACATTCTAAATCTCAGAAAAGAACAAAATCCTTATTGATAATATCAGCAATCAAAGGCTATCGGCATTGAGCGTATCATAATCCTGGCTTAGTAGAGGATGCTTGATGCATTTCTTAACAGAAAAGGAGACAAAATTAAACCAGCTGTATGAGGAGGAGAATTATGAGATAATATCTTGGTTGATAAGGCATATATATATTTATATAGATATCTCCTGACTGAGATCCTTTGACTAAACCCTGAAGACTAACTAGTCAAAGGGATGTCTTCTCTAGGTGGAACATGACTCAATAAGAGTGTGGAGTCAACAAATGAGTGTGGTTTAGTAGAAAGAACATTGGGAAGAATTCAAAATAATGTTCTTCAGCTTGCCAAATGGAACACCTGCCAATTCCCTTTGAATGCTGTTCTGAGGGTTCTCCTGACCCGTCCCTGAACCAATTTCAGGGGGTGGGCATGCAGGATAGAGGGGGAGCCCCATTGTGCAAGCAGAAATTCTTCCACAGTGCTTCTGCCGACGGGACCCATTCAGTGAATCGCGCCATTGAATTCAGCATCATGCAGACTATTCACGTTTAGAATTTAAGATTAATTTACAAATAGCAGCAAGAATGTGAATCAGAAACAAAGGGGAGCCACATTGAAAGAGATCAGCATTTGGAAGACAGGTATGGCTATCACAGTGAAACACACTATCTTTGTGAGAACGCTGACAGCAAAATGATAATCTTATGAATAATTGGTCTGAATAGCACCTTTTGAACTGTCAAATATCCTTGCAATTTATTTTCCATGTTGTAAACTCTGTTTGAATAAAAACATATTTGGACAGCCATAAGAAGCTCACTGGATCACTTTAGGCAAGTTCCTGTCTTACCATCTAACCTACCTCAGGTGGTTGCTGTGAAAATGAGATCAGGGTTATTAGAGGAAGGGTAAGATACAAATAGGGTACGTAGGTGGCACTGTGGTCTAAACCACTGAGCCTAGGGCTTGTCAATCAGAAGATCAGCAGTTTGAATCCCCGCAACAGGGTGAGCCACCTGCCCAAAGAAGCTGTAAATGTAAACTATGCTATTATTGGGTATAGGGTCATATCTGCCATTCAAAATGTCATGTCATATTTATGACATGAATAACATATAATATGGCATGAAAGTGAACTGGGAAATGTTAGGATCTATGTGAAGAAGGAGGTAGTGTAAATACAAAGGAAACATGGCAGTTGTCTTCAGATAACTTGCTGCTAATGCCCACTCTAAGGTCCCAAAGGGATTAGGCACAGGAAAAAAAAACATTTTGAGTACAAACCTGTTTTGATTTGGTTTGGTTTTGTTTTTTTGAAAGGCTCTTGAGAGAGATTGTAGTTTTTATTCTGCAGGTATTAGCCATTTCCAAACACCTAAAAAGACAGCTCTGGGGGAAGTTAAAGATCATCGGGTACCAGGAGGATGAGAAGTGCATTTCTTCCACCAGCCAAGAACCAGAGGAACTCTCTCTGGGACCAGAAGGCTGCAGAGCAACTGCTGGAAAGGTGTTTTTTTATTATTGAATGCACAACATAAACCGAAGCTGAGGAATTAGACTCCTATACTTAAGTCTTCTCATTGAGGCTTTGCCCATTTGACTGTGGCATATTAACACTGAAATCCCATGAGGCTTATGCATTGTTAGAATGCACAAAATTGTATGGAATATTCCCGATGTCATATTCTCTGGGATTTGTAAGAATATATTATGGGGTGGGGAGTGTAGAAGGATCAGGTATAGTGGAATGGGAAACACTGTAATCGCCACTCGTGTACCCCTCAAAAAGTGCTAACCCATACTGCTATATAATCAACCTTGAGCTACGTGTCATAGTGAATACCCTACCACTGGCATTTGAAATAACTGGGCAGTTTTAATGTTCCACATTAGGATGGGCATGCAGCTTCACAGAGACCACTCTTCTATTTGAAGGGTCCAAGTCTGGTTTAAAGACAAAGAACCCTAAGAAGAATGAACAAGAGCCTCGAAAGCAGAAGGGCTCTAACTTAGTGGCAGAAGGTCATGCAGAAGGTCCCAGGTCCTCAGCATTTGCAGGTAGGACTAGGAATGTCCCATGTCTGAAACCCTGGAAAGCCACTGGTAGTCAATGTAGACTATGCAGAGCTAGATGGACCAATAGTTGGACTGGCTATAAGGCAGCTTGCTATGTTCCTATGCTGCTGACCTGACCATACCTGGACAGCAGACTGGGTAGGTACACAGGTCACCTTCTCATAGTCTTCCTACTCAGTTGTAGTTATTATTTCTACAAATGGACCCATGCGTATAGATTAGCATAGGCAAGGCTTATGCAAAAGGGTGTCCTCTTTTTTGGCAGTGCAGACAACCAGGCAGGCAAAATCTTCTACCACGAACAGAGCCTTAATTTCATATGGATTCAGTCCTTCTAAGGTATAATTAACTTTTTCCTGTGATGATGCACGCAAATTATAAATTGCGTCATCATCTGATACTTGGGATCAGCATCCTGTGAATGGAACAGGCAGCACACAGTATCAGGGCAAATCAAAGAAAAAGCTTTATCACGTCTCTGCTAACCACAGGGCATGCAGGCTGCTCATTGTACAGGCTTTTGATGATTCATATAATTGAGACACTTGCAGCTGTCCTAAGACATTAGGCTGATGTGTTACAGTGCAGCCGGCTAGAAAGTACCAGGATTTTTTTTAAAAAAAATGCAGCTCACAAGATGCTGAGAAGTACTTATATCACTCCGTGCAGCTACATCATTTCATGAGAGTAGTCATTTCACATTTTTTCAACTATGGGTCTAATCCATTAGCCATATGTCCAAAGAGTCTGTGTTTGTGGAACATCTGCAGTGTCCAGATTAAAATATAGAACTATGCTGTGTCTCCTCATAAAATTCTGGCCTCATTAATTAGAAGAAGGCTCACCTTTCCATAGCCTCAGATTCATTGTGGACACCACCTGCAGTCTTAACACCATGAACATAAAAATGCAAGGATAAACTTCACCTACCATTTGGACTTTGCCAGAGGTCAGAAAAACTCCTCTCTAGCCAATGTGAGGCTATTGATATTTGTTTCCCTGAGAAAATGGTGAAATACTTAATTTCTGAGAGGGGCTGAAAGTAGTGGCTGAATATGTGGACTGTTAAATGTTTCAGCTCTTGACTTCCCGGTCATTAATTTAATAGCAATAAGATGAGTCACATGTGGGTACACTCTGGGTGCTAGAACCACATAAAAATTGCCATCTGTTCATGATTGATGGCCGAGAGGCTGACTTCATTAATAAATAACATTTACAGAGAAATCACGATCTAATTTATGTTCTGGACTCATTTATATCCTGCCCTAGTGTGCTTCAGAAGATATGCAGCTGTATAACCTGAGTGTAGCTGTGTTGGCCTAAGGATTTAAGGTATGCTTTGCACCCTCAGGGGATCACCTTAATTTGGAGGAGCTTATGGATGTTCAAACTGAAATTTCTCTTCTCCTGCCCCTTATCTTCTTAGATAGTCCAGGCAAAGTGATCCTGCTGATGTCTGGAAGTGGGTTCTTACCTAATGATGGGACCTAGCAAATGCCTGGCTTAGTAGAGAAGGATCTAGTTGTTCAACTGCCTGATTTCCAACCCCTGGAGCAATGTGTCCACATCCATGGGAGTCGTCTCAATGGGACACACTACTTCCAGAGCTGCATTTTAGGTTTAATTCTCTTCTTTCTTTCATGCATACCTTTTTATTGGGGGGGGGATGCATTTTGTACATTAACAACACGAGGATTGGTGAAATAGGCATCAAATGCAGTAATTAGCTAAATATTTCTAACCAATGCAAACAAATCACATAACCACTTTTACTTTTGTAAGTATTTTCTTATCCGGGGAAGATTTGGGAAACTATATTAATATATGAGGACAAAAACCAGTGATACATTCAGATCTGAGAGAGCCTGAGGATAAATAGTGCCCTGGCCAAGGAGCACCTTGGTCAGTGTTACAGTGTTGCCAAGATGTTTGGCTTGGAAAACTGAACAGTGTTAACAGCTTCTCCAGCTCCCAAGCTTTTCCAGCAATAGCCATGAAAAACTGCTTCATTTCACCCCTAGCTCACAACATACAGTCAAAAAGCACCAGGCTTTGCTCAGTGCTCCCTTCCAGTCAGCACGCAGGGTGGGCCTGCAGCTCAGTCAGCTTAGAGATGGGTGAATATGTCAATGATGGTTTCTCCATTTTTCATTTTTTCCACTTTTGAATTCAGTTCCCCGCATTTCCACATCAGTTCGGGCTTTGAAAAAAGAAGTCCTTGTGAAAATTCATCGGCATTTAGTACAAATTTCTCCTAATACACACATCTTTGTATGGAATTTTGCCTAATATAATCATTTTTGCAAAGCATATTTTCCCTAATGTAATGCATGTTTATATGACATTTTCACACTTCACACTAGTATATACGCTTTTGTCCATATTACTTGGCCGGAGAAGGGCACTGCAAAATTCAGAGAAGTATGAATCTGAAAGGATGGCTGTGTTTCGGTTTCCAACTTCTTTCAGAAAGTGTGAGTTAAGTAGGTTGTCCTTTAACGTGAACTGAATGTACGCATGTACAAAGGCATTTCATGATATTTGTGTGGTTTAAAAATGTTTGCAGATAAAAGTAGCTCAATAGTCCCCTCTATTTCTGATGAATGACTATTGATTGAAACAGAAGATCAAACCATTCTGACGTCTTTGTCAAAGGGAAATTTGGAATTCTGAGAAAATGCAAATAATTTGCTGACTATTTAGGAAGAGCTCTAATTCAAAATGAAACTAAGTGGCTACTTCATCCAAGAGCTGCTGCAAAGCGGCTAAATTTAGCCTTTTCTATAATGACCTTATCCGGAAATTAACACTGAAGCAGTAACAGGGCAGTTGTTGTTTCAGGGACCGTGGGGGTCAGCATTCAGTGGAGACGTCTTCAAGTCTGCAAGCCCTTTTTGCATAGCAGCTACCAGCTGCCTCTCTGAGAAATGCTGAACCTGTCCCAGAGAATAAGACATGCTTTGGAACAATGCTGGCTACATGCTGTCAAGCTCAGTCCTTTGCTGTCATCCCCAGCCTGAGTATGAACAAAGACATAGCAGCCCTCCAGGGCTTCAGTGCAATCTTGTGGCCATAATATCTGAATGCACTAAGGATCCACAGACTGAGACTGGAGACAGTTGAAGGTGGTTTGAAACAGATTGCTTCTCATGACATGTACATTCATCCCATTTTCACCTCTGGTAAACATGCTTTGCAGGGTTTTGCAATTGTTTCAAAGCACCTCTGCATACACACAGTCTTTCTCATACCACTTTTAATGCTCATAGAGACAATTGTGTGGCAGATACAAAGCTGTCCTTCTGCGCCATTCAGAGCTCCTGAGTGGAGCCAGTTCCTGTTAAATGTGGGGCTTGTATTGGATTTGAATTGGATTTGTATTGAATTTAAGTCTCATGTAGGCCTCACCCCCACTATGCATTTAAAGCACTATGGTACCACTTTAAAGAGTCATCATGGCTCCCCCCCCCAAAAAAAATAAACTCCTGGGAACTGTAGTATGTTAAGGTGTTGAGAGTTGTTGGGAGACCCCCTATTCCCCCTGCAAAGTTACAATTCCCAAAGTTCTCTGGAAAGAGGGATTGACTGGTAAACCACTCTGAGAACTCTGGGTAATGTTAAACCATTATGGGAGAGGAGTGTGGTGAAAGAGTCCCATTTCACGAGTGGAAACTGCTCACAGGATCCGGATTCAACCTTATAATATCTTAATTTAGAAGCAGTTACTTAGATAAAAACTGAAACATGTGGCTTTGCAGTAAAAAAGTGTACTTCAAGCAGCTTTAAGTGAAGGCGTATTTTCCTGTTCTGTGAATGTGAAAATAGTGAATGTGTTTACTATTCTATCGTACCAGAGAATTGAGAGGAAACCTTCTGTAGAAACAGTCTTCATAGCTTTGGGGTAATGAGCGTGCAAAGGTTTTACATGAAAGGGGTCTGCTCGAAAGCCCTTGCTGTTTGCAGCACACGGGGATAAAAGAGATCTGATATTTCCCTCTATTTCTAATTATGCAACTGTTGATTTAGACAGAAGATCAAACCAGTCAGAAGTCCAGATTTGTGCCTGGAATTTGAGACACAGGCCTGAGAGTAAAGACAACCAGGACTGAAATCCTCACGACAGTATTTTGTCTTCCTACCAGCATCTCTCCCTAGAAGAGGATCCCAACACTTGTAGGCCACTTGCTTTACTTCTGCTTGTGCTTCAGAGTTTCCAGACACACACACGCACACATGGCGAAGCGTATCTTTTTCATGGTATCTCTAGCACTTTGCCTTTGAAACCCTTTGATGCCAACAGCACAGCCTTCTAAATTCATAGGCTGCCACCTGGCAGTGGGCCAGCTCTGAAGTGACAGACAGTGCAGACAAGAGACCCCAGCCATTGAGCTCTCAGACTGAGTGATGTTTTAATGAGCACAAGAAAGAAAGGACAGTGAAAAGAGCTCCATGTCTATGCCATGACTGCCAGGTTTGTTCTCAGGCTGAAAGTGCCAATAGATCATGCTTTGGCCTCTTGCCATTAGGATTATATATACTGGAGCAGGGAGGGAAATGCATTTAGTTCTTTCTCATCTGTGTTTCTCGTGGACCTTCGATGGTTGTTTATGGCAGGCAACCCAATCTATTTCTATCCCGTAGTTTGGATCCCCCTCCCTTTCATGAAAGGTCTGGTTTTTACTGCTAATATAGACATTGTGTTTTGTGCTCTCTGGTTCCATCCCCTCCTGTGTGTGGAGCTGCATGCAGATTGCCTCATCCAGGGGGTGGAACTGGATTATCTGTCTGGAGTTTTAGCCTACCAAATGATAAAATCAGGTTTGTGAACAATGAGGTATTCATTTTATGTTGTTCCCCCCACTTTTTTCCTAATTTTCCCAGTGAGATGCCCCTACTGTTTGTGCTGGCGGTGAAGTAGCCTTTCTGGGACCAGCCAGGGAGCAGCCCTAGATCTCAGCAGCTCTGTTTACATTTGCCTACTTCAGAGCTGCCAATAGGCTAAGCAGGACAAAGCCCACACATCTCTTTTGATTGGTGACCAAATCACATCCAGCCCTGGCATGCAAACAACTAAGGCACCTTAGGAAAAGGAGGCAGGGGAGACTAGCAGTCGAAATCAGAGTGAAATGGGAAATACATTCTAAACCAAGGAATTATTTATCACAATAATTATTATACAAGCAAACCCTCCAGAAATAAATCCTTAATAGGCTAAAACCTATGCAATATCTTTGAAGATGAGCCAAACCCATTTATTTGATGCTTTGGTGGAGACCGTAAGCAGATTTGGCCTATTAAGGATTTATTTTTGGAGTGTTTGTATATATGATAATTTATTTTATTGTAATAAAGAATTCTATGCTTAAAATACATTTCCCTCCACTACCACCCCAAGCTCTGTTTTTGAATCTAGCCCTGTTAACAATAGTTTCCGGACTTCTTGCTCTCAATGGACAAAGCATCTTGAATTAGCAATCAGTGTTCCTTAAAACCAGACAGCAGTGTTCAACTGAAAAGGGAGAGAAATGTCAATAGTAGGTTTAGGTGAACAAATACTGGTTAAAAATGGAGAAACAACTAAAATATTGGGCAGAATTAGGTTGCTATAGCAACAAATAGAGCTCTGTTTAGAAGTCTGCAGGGCTTGTCTGCAGACACATGTTGAATGGTTGGATTCACATGAAACTCTAGCAGTCTTCTCCACAATCACCCCACCTTCCGACACTGATCCATGATGACTCATGTCACAACTGGCACTTAATAAAGTTGGCCAGCCCAACTTCCCCCATGCCACATTTTCCCACATCAAAGGGTATTGTTCTGGATAGTTTTGATTTTAAACAGTCAGAGTTGGATATGCCCTTGGAGTTCATTCCTGTGCATGTTAAGTGTCTTCGTGTTTTCAGTCCCAAGTAACCATACATAAACTTGTGGGCTGATGCCAGCTGAGACTGGCCAAGGTATGGTAGTCTTACATGGATTGCCGCAGGATCTTTGGTGCTTGGATTTTAAATGCTTCCCTCCCTGCTGATAACCTGTTCTAGTTTTGAGTGTAATCGAGCTGCAGCGCTGAACCTGCTCTTACCTTGTTTTGAAATACTTCAACTAAAATGTTGTCCCCTTCACTTTTTTAAAAAATTCTTTAGATATGATGACTCAACTGAGAACCCAACTTTTGTTTGGCTTCCTGTGTCAAATCACCTGCTCCGTTGTGTACGGCTTCCCTGCTGATTCTGGATCTGAGTTCCGGTCTGCTTTTTCCGTCGCTAGAACCAGCAGTATGGAAGGAAGCACTGAAATGGTGATCACCTTTGACAAAGTCTATGTGAACATTGGCGGGGACTTTGACCCCAAAGCTGGATTATTCCGATGCCGTATCCCTGGAGCCTATTACTTCTCCTTTACGGTTGGAAAGTACCCCAAGAAAAACTTGTCCGTCATGCTGATGAGAAACAAGAACGAGGTTCAAGCCATTGTATATGACGAGCATCACCGTAAAGAGCGGAAAGTGGCAAGCCAGAGTGCCATGTTGCAGTTGGACTATGGTGACACAGTCTGGCTGCGCTTACATGGAGATCCCAAATATGCCCTCTACAGCAATGTAGGTCCCTATACAACTTTCAATGGGTACCTCATCTATCCAGACACGTCCAGCTATTTTCAAAACAGTGTCGGTTCCCAGGAGCTAGGAGAAACTTCAGGGCCTTCTTCACCTAATGTAATTCAGCAGCTTTCAACGAACCAGAACGAAATCTCAGAGAAACACCTTTTTTCGGACCAGCCCAGCAGATCGCAGGATACTCGTTCGGCCTTTTCTGCTGCCCGTTCAGAAAGCCTTCTGGGGTCAGATGAGAAGCAAACCCAGCACGAGCCAATCACATTTGACACAGAATTTGTGAACATTGGGAAAGATTTCAATTTCTCCACCGGCATCTTTACGTGTCGCGTTCCAGGTGCCTACTATTTCTCCTTCACCATTGGCAAGATGCCCTTCAAAACCATGTCCGTGAAACTGATGAAGAACCACAACGAGGTTCAGGCGATGATCTACGATGACAACCACTCCAAAAGGCGTGAGATGCAGAGCCAGAGCATTATGCTGCCTCTGCAATATGGCGACACCGTTTGGCTCTACAGCCACCAGCACGATGGCTATGGTGCCTATAGCAACCATGGCAAGTACATCACCTTCACTGGATTCCTGGTCTATCCCGAGACAAAGACAAAACCGCCTCCAGATGCCAACATGTCTCCAGGGTCAAGAATCTAAACAGATATATGAAAAGGGCATAAGAGAAGCCAAGATGCAGTAGGCTCTGGTGCAGGTCCTGGACGGACGTCATCTTTCACATGACAATGTTAAGAGCATGCTATTGTATGTCCAGTGCATTCCTTACGCTGCACGCTTGTGTTCTGACTGCAGAGCCATTGTTGTTTATCCCACTCATTCATTCATAGAATGACCTTCACGGGATATGTGTGTTTTGTTCATTATTGATGTTTGATTTAAGCATAAAGCATGAGGTAGCTTGGGGAGTAGAAGAAATAGGGGCAGCGAAATGAGATGTGAATAAAGGAACTGCTTACAGAAATACTGGAAGAACTTATGAAAGACTCGGCAAGGCACTTGGGAGTTGATAACATCCACTGCAAATGCAGACCAACACTCTGAGAGAGGGGTGTATGTAATGAAAATAATGAACTCAATAAAGTCCTGAGAGAAAAGGTACTGGGTTTCCTTGTCTGTTTTGATGTATTAGATTGATTTAGATATATTAGATTAGATATAGCTACCTCCACCATCAGTTCATGGAACATGGTAGTATGTTTTGGAGCTGCCAATTATTAAAGATTGTGAGGCAGATTGGTTACAAAGAGAGGTGATCAATTAACTAACAGGCAATTGTTAATTTACATAAATCTGAATATTGCCAAAAACTCAATATTGAAGGAAGTGTGAGTTAATAAGCATTAATTACTTCTATAAAAAAACTGGAACCAACATAACCTTAAACCTAATAATACATCTGCTCTTAGCTGGCCCCTGCAATTAAAAATGCCCCCCTCTAATTAATCAACTAAATAGGGTAAATCCAATGGTATTTACTCACTAGCAGAATACAGATGGTGGAAACGATTCCCCTTTCCCCTCTGTGCACCCCATAATCTGCTGTAGAGGGTTGGGGCATTGTCCAGAGCAAGAATGGGAGGGAACACAGAAGACCGCATGAGAGACAGGAGAAGGGTGAAACTCCATCATGCATGATGTGGAATGTTGCCCACTTAACACTTCTGGCCTCTGTGCGCACAGCTGTGTTGTTAACACAACAATGTCTTATTGGCTATTGCATATATTGATGACTACAGATGCTGCCTTCAACAGATAGGTTAGGTGCCTGAAGAGCAACTCAGGTTGTCTCCATATTAATAAGCTTTGGAGCTGCAAATGGATAAATTCTGAAGCCAGACATATGTCCACTGGGCAAAGCTATGTGGCTGCCTAGAGCCACCTTTACAGCAAATGAATGGGACCCAAACCCACTGAGTTCCGTTCCGTGGTATAAGTTTTTCTGCTGTTTAAAAAGCATTGTTTCCACGTTTGGGTGCTGGGGCAGCTATTTCCTGTATGCTTAGCCCTGGCATGCTGCATTTTGACCAATACAACTGGTGTAGGATTGGGATATTCCAGCACAGACACCTGCTGAAGCCCACTTCTGCATACAGACAATGATTGATTAAGTTAAAAAGCCAAGGGCAAGACTAAAGATATTTCTTGGCTAAGACAATGCTGTCACAAGTTTATATATTCACATTTTAAAAGGTAGCATAGCCCTTAAAAGTTTATATCAGGTCCCAACTAGAACATATGCAACACCCTAGTCTCATTTGCTTACAAACTCTGTTAACTAATCCCATACAGACAGCTCCCTAAAAGGCACATTCCTTAATACATTCAAAATTAAATCCCCACAAGTGTTTGATACCACAATTCAGTTATGGCTTCCCCAGTGCACTGTTTATCACACAAAGCATATTTGATTCATATGTGGAGCCAAGCAAGCTTGCTTGCTTATGGTACATTCAGTGGTTAAAGTTGCAGATTGTGGAACAGTCTTATCTTACTACATTTGCTAACTGCTTCCTTCAAACGGTCTGGATGCAGGGGCATAGCAAGGGGGCTGTGGTAGGTGCGGCTCGCCCTGGGTGTCCCCACTGAGCGGGGTGACAAAATGGTGGGCGACACTCACCGCGGGGCCTGCAGTGTGCCTGAGCCACGCTTCTCTTCTGGGAGTGACACGGTGGCTTAAGCGCCCGCAGGCCCAGCGCTGCCCCAAACAGTCCACCCATTGCCTCCCCCTCAGCTGTAGGGCGGCTTAGTGGGAGGAGGCAGGCAGACTCCTTGGAGGCCCCGCAGTGCCCCCATGAGCGGCTGGCCCCGCCCCTGGGCGCAGGGCACACGCGCCACCCCAGGTGCCCAATCGGCTTGCTCAACCACTGTCTGGATGCCAAACCTGGTAGAACTAAACTAACCCTTTTCTGACATAGTGGCTTTTAGGGCAAATTGTACACTGTACCTGAAGAATTTTATGTTATACAAGAAGAAACACTAAGCTGGAAGGACTGCCCCATTGGGCCTTCAGTCTCATCACTTTCTTTCTGACATAAAGCCTCCTGAACTGATGCTTGTCCATAATTTCGTAAAAACTCCCTTCTAAGAAGATACATGTTCTGTTGGTAAACAGTTCTTACAATTCGTAAGCTCTCCCTAGTGTTTAACATGGATCTGGCTTCTTGTAATTTTCGCTACACACAAAATTGCAATGTAACACATAAAAATGCCAAGAGCAGGGGCATGTAACTCCATTTTTCCTCAGTAACCCAATTCCAATCAACAGCAAAGTGCCATCTGAACTGCATGTCCTATAGAGAGCTCAGGGCAGAGGCCTTGAGCAACATGCTAATCATAGAAATCCAGTGAAAAGCTAAGCAGCAGCTACACCAGAGATAAGAAAACAGGAAGGGTGACACTCCTGTGCCTGGAGAATGAACCTAAAATATATATATTTGCATATTAATTTGGCTTATAGGGACCAAGATTTCTCCTTTATGGATGAGAGTCTCTTTGGGTCCTGGCTAGGCTAGACCGGTAGAATTTCTTCAGTGCAGAAATATAGACAGGCATTTCCGGCCAAGGCCTAGAGGCCAGAAGCTGAACAGAATCCATAGATTCCTTAGAACAGAATCGTTTGCAGAGATCACGGAGTATTTCAATAACCAGCTGAGAGAAAAGGTTGATCCAGAGGTTTTTCTCCAGGCCTTGAATGGAGCGAATTTGGTAAGCACAGTAGACAGTGGTAAAGATAAGCTTCTTGAATTCCTGTAGAGTTATAGGGGTGTCAGACTGTGAGAGGAAGTCCAGGTACTCTTCAATCCCATCTGGGTTTTTTGGAATCTCATGCTGAAAGACCCGGAGTAATCGCTTGGTGGGACGCAGAGAGGCAAACTCCTCATCCTCAATCCTGATTGTCTCATTGGCCATAATTTCAATTCCTCTCCAGAGTAACTGAAAGAAGAAGAATAGAATTGTGAGGATCAACAGACAGTTTTTTCTCTGTGGTAAGAAGTGATCATGCTTGAGAATTAATTTTTGCTCAGGGCAGAGTGGCTAATGGCCAGGAGGATAAAAATTGTCTTCTATTGTTGCATGTGACTTGACTTACTTGCTTGCGTCATCTGGGTTGTGTTATTAAACTATTCCTGACACCATTCAAATGGCTTGTTGTGGACTCTTCTCTATTCATGGCATCTACAATCCAGCTTAGATTGGCTCATGAGAATTAACTGGTGATAAAAAGGACATGTGGAAGTCCTATCTTTGGGCCAATGCAGGGATGGGGAACCAACCTCCAGATGTTGTTGAGCTATAGTTCCCTTCATCCCTAACCGTTGGGGTACTGAAGTCCAACAACATCTGGAGGGTCACAAATTCCCCATGCCTAGAGCTAGATTAATTTTAACTCCATTCTAGCCCTGTGACTCCTTATCCAAAGTTTCCTTTCCAACATAGCCTGTACCCATCTACAGGCATGTTGTCCAACTTGGGTGCCTTTTAGACTGCTAGGCATGGCAGATGGAGTGAGGGGTCATCAAGAGAATATTGCTCACAATGGCAGGATTGTGGAACTATCCAGTACCACATCATTTCTGCTCCTAGAGGAGATTTGTTTCCTGCACTCCTGATTCTAGCTCTTCAACACAAATAAGGGCAGGAAGTTCTGATACAGGCTAAGCAAAGCTCACGAACATTAAGTGAAGATTACTGCTCAGATACCCATCTGCATCTGGCTGCTTGAGACTTCAAAATGAATTGTGCTCCAATATAATAAATAGAGTGCATCACTGATATCGCCACTGTTTTGGTGGCAATGGTGTGCGTGTATTTAAGATTATTTTTTTAAAAAGGAAAGGATATGGAAGGTTCACACATACAGAGGGAGAATAAATATTAAGCATGGGTTCCCTGTTGAAAGTTAATGGTGGGTTCCAGTTCTGAAGGATGAAGACTATCACCTTAAAAAAATACTGCTGTTATAGAAAGTGGTGGAACAGCAAATGTTGGTAGCCCAGTACTGAATGTGTTCTCTGTCACTCAACTGGCCTGTTGCACAATCAGAGTTCAGAATCTTTCCCTATCTCCTTCCCATAGCCCAGCCAGCTAGCTCAGTCCAATGAGCAGAAGTAGCCCAAGGCTGCCATCTTGTGGACCACAGCTTACATAAGCAGAAAACAATGTTTCTCTGGAGTTCCATTTCTCCTCACCGAAGCTTCAACTGATGCCTTAACCTGAAATCCTTAGTAATGTGGAGCTGCTGTAAAAAGGGGGGGGGGGCATTGTGCAGTATAATGATCTCTGTCGAAACTGAAGAGCCAAGAGAAAACAAATCGGAGCACTAATGTTATTGAGGGCCATTGCTACCGTACCCTATACAAAAATTTTGAAATTTGCCTCAAGCATTGGTAACAGTAGCCAAGTGCTGTGGTAGAGAATCTGCTTGGCAGAAGGTCCCAAGTTTAATCTCTGGCATCTCCAGGTAGAGCTCGGAATGTCCCCTGCATGAAACGCATAATAATAATAATAATAATAATAATAATAATAATAATACTTTATTTATACCCTACCCATCTGGCTGGGTTTCCCCAGTCACTCTTAAAAGCTGCTGCCAACTCAATATATGGTAGATTCCTAAGCTCCTAGATGCACAGTGACCATCTTCACACCTAGCCCAGCCACATTCCTCAGTACTAAAGAAGGGGCAGAAGTGTGTCCTTGTTCCTACACAATGACACTCACACTTCTCCTGGCACCAACAAAATGAAAGGTTGGGTAGCTGTAGGCCAAGAAGTTGGAGCTGTTGCAGTGATATCAGCAGGGCATGCCAAAGGTGAAGGAACCTCACATCCTTTTCTTTGTGGATTTGCTTTTGCCTAAATTACCTCTAGTATGATGCCAGCATTCTCAACCCCATTTGTATCTGCAGCATCCTGGAGGTCAATTTGTTCATCTGGAAAAACAATAGAGAAAATAGTATTTAAATCAATATCTCTTCACCTATTCTCCTTCACATATATGCCTGATTTTCTGTGATTTCTTTTAATTTGTGTTAAATATTAACCTGAGGTCAAAATCTCAGTTACAACACTTATTATAAAATAATCTATTATTATTTTTATTATTTAAATGTATACCACGTTTTATATGAAGATCACAGGGCGGTTCACAATATAAAAATACAAAATATAAACACAAAATACATAATAAAACAAAAACAAAACTAATAACCCACTTCCCAGAAACACATTTAAAAGGCCATAGAATGTTAATCAGCCAACCAGCTTGTAAAAGAGAAACCTTTTCACCTGGCACCTAAAGGTAAGTAATGAAGGTGCCAGGCGAGCCTCCCTGGGGAGAGCATTCCACAAATGGGGAGCAACAATGATACAATCTGTGCACCAGTAAAGACAGATGTCAATTTTCTTCAATATAATGTTGTTTCATCTTTTAACAGAGGATAGCTTTGATATTGTTAAGTTGTGGGTGAACATATCAGACGACACAGCTTCAAACAGCTCTTGTTTATTCACAGGCCAGAACAGAACTGAACTGAAGGGTTCAGTCAGCCTGCTTATATAGAGCTCCAGTACAACGTAACTGTAACAATTTTCTAAAACTATCCAATCACTGAACGTCACTTTTGATCCCTTATTTGCATAACTATCTACAGTATCCCCCTGCTGGCCCAGGGTGAGAACTTCAGTACATAACAGATATTTACTTCATCATGGTCCTGTTCTCTCCTAGCTTCCTCATAGACAACTCCAACAGGCAGTCTGCCTCTGGCTGAGGCTCCATCCTTGCATATAAACCTCCCAGAGGGTTTCCCCTTCAAAACGTTTCAGGCCTTTTAAAGCCGGTTGGACTAAGTCAGGGGTTGGGAACCTCAGGCCCTCCAGGCCTTTTCAGCTGGCCTGAGGGATTTCCTCTAGACAATGGCTCCTCTCTTGCCCTACTTCTGCACCCTTCTGGGTGCTTTGTCTGACTGGAGTGTGTTGCTTGCTCTGCAATATTGCCTCATTCTCATCAGGACGGAGAGACATGTGGGTAGGGACTCTGGTTTTTTGCAAGGCTGGATTGTGCTGGGTAAAGCCAAGCATCACATCCATTCTTCCACCCACTTATGCCTCTGACTCCACCCACCACTAACATGTGACACCCCCCCCCAATGTGTGTGAAACAGGAAAGACTGCTTGGCTTAGAGATTTGGGGGAGTATGATGATGATGATGCCCCATGGAGGACCTTAAGGTCCACAAATGACAACATTTTGGAGGTCCCAGGTCGCAAGGTGGTTAGATTGGTCTCAACTAGGGCCAGGGTCTTTTCAGTACTGGCCCCGACTTGGTAGAACGCTCTGTTACAAGAGACTAGGGCCCTGCGGGACTTGACATCTTTCCACAGGGCCTGCAAGACAGAGCTGTTCCGCCTGGCCTTTGGTTTGGACTCAGTCTGACCCTTATGTTTCCCTCCCCCTATGGTCTTAATTTATCAGCTACTTTAAAATGAAGCTGCATTTTAAATTGCATTTTAACCTGTATTTTAAATTGGGGTGTTTTTCCCCCTCTATCTTATTCCCCTATTATGTTTTTACTGTGATTTTATTGGTGTTAGCCACCCTGAGCCCGGCTCTGGCCGGGGAGGGTGGGGTATAAATAAAAATTATTATTATTATTATTATTATTATTAATTAGGCATTTTCAGTGGGAGGTCTGTGCCCCAGTAGCCCCAATGGACCAGCCTCCACTGCATGCTGATAAAGCTAATAAAGTATACTGCAATGATCACAGTAAAACTTGGAACTATTTTGTTCAAAAGAATGAAATTTGCTGTAAGTGAGGTAGGCTGTTTTGAGGTCACGGAGCTTCCTCCATTTCATGTTGTTGTATATTGTTTTAACTTAGCACGCTAAGTTATACTGAAGTCTTATCTCGTTATTTTATGTATTCATACTTAGCTGGTTCTGCATTTAATATTTTTCTCTGTTTAGGCATTATTATATATTTATTTATATCCTTCATTTTTCCCTGGCAGGGACTCGTGCGCTCCATTGCTACAACCCGTAGGCTAGACCAGAAGTGGGGGCCCCGTGGCCCTCCAGATGTTGGTGAAGTACAACTTCCATCAGCTGCAGCAAACATTGTGTGTGCTCAAGAATGATGGAGTTGCATTTCACCAATGACTGAAGGGCCACAAGTCCCCAAACCCAACAGTTCAGCTGATCCCAGATTTCTTTGCTAGGGACTGTGGGAGGCAGCAGCAGGCCATATTTTGCAAGTGGAGTTGCATACAGAAGTAGGTCTGGAGTGCATTATACTGTGGAGTCCAAAACTAGGCAAGTATCCTGGAATGGCGTACCAAAGATGAAGAGGTTAAAACTGTGATAATACATTGGGCTAAAGATTTTGGATATAATATTCAATTAGAATCATGGGAAAGCTTATGGAAGGAATGTATTAATTTTACTGCATGCAGCACACTTAAAGAAAACGTTATGAAAATGATGTATAGATGGTATTTAACACCAGCTAAACTTGCCAAAATGTCTAAGACAAGAACTAATTAGTGCTGGGAATGTAAAGAAAAGGAAGGTGTCTTTTACCACATGTGGTGGACTTGTAAAGTGGTAAAGGCTTTCTGGGAAATGATATATACCGTAATGATTTAAAGAAAATGTTTAAAAATACTTTTGTTAAAAAACCAGAAGCCTTTTTATTGGATATAGTTGGTGAAGAGATACTAAGGGAAGATAAAAGACTGTTTATGTATGCAACGAAGTACCAACAAAAGAAGAGTGGCAGATGAAGATGATGGACTTTGCAGAACTCACGAAGCTGACAGGAAAAATCGAAGACCAACAAGATCAAGCATTTCAAAAGGACTGGAGTAAATTTATACGATATCTGAAAGATTATTGTAAGCAACTAACATCACTAGCAGGGTTGTTTGAAGACTTGTAATGAGAAACGTTCTACCTTCTATATTTATTTAAATTTTGATTTATTTTGTAATGCATGTAATTAGAATTGGAAAACATACAAAATGCAATGATATAAAGGTTAATTCTGAAAGCCATGAGGTGGGAGGGAAGGAGGTTGACAGGCTCTAAAAAGCCAGGGACGTAAAGTGGAATGTAATGATATATATAATCTAGGCAAGTACCCTTGGGAATAAGGCACAGGGAGGCTCAGTGTATTGTTGGAATGAAAAAGCCAGTGGGAACTCCTGATCTACAATATTTTCATTTTTGGCACAGATGTAAAAAGTTAAGGTTCTCAACTCACAGAGGCAAGATAAGAACTAAAATAGAGGTTAGGCTTGCTCTAGAAATGTATTTTCTGAATTTCATCATTGGGATTATTAGATTAAGCTAAGGAGGTGCCTGGAAGAAATATAACATCTGCTGTTTCTGTAGCTTTCCTTATTGTAGACAGCTTCCAGCTTTCCCTTCTAGAGTAATTCTCCCCAGAGTCATGGAGAAAAACTCACAGAAGTTGCTTGGAGAATGAGGCTGTGCACTTTTGCTTAGAAAAGATGATGCCTCTAGCCAGGTTGCAGTCTCCTGATCAAAGCCATCTGTCTTCAATTTTGGATTAAAGCTCAGATTGCAGCTGCATTTCATTTCTCCATAATACATAATTCAGGAAGTCTTTTGAGACTGACAGGCAGGAACAGAAATATTCCATTAAAATAACACTAATGGTGAAGGTAGTATAGTTCTCAACATCTGTTTTGTTGAGTTCACCCAAGTGACTTCCAAGCCTTTAAAAAGAAAAAAGTTCTGTTGGCAGTGGCAGGCATCCTATGCCTTCAGTAAATGATATGAAAAGCCCTATTTTGTGCTACCCTTAAAAATATTGCTTTTCCCCTGGCCATTGCCATCCAAGGTGTCTGTTTTTGGGACCCATCCAATTATTGTGAATGTGGTTTGTTTTAGACGGCTGTATTTTAAATTGCTGTAACTTAACCTTTAACATTTAACTTAATCCTTGTAGTGAAGTATAATAATTTTTTAAAAAAGAAATAATAACCCTGCCACTTTTTTTAAGGAACAAGAGCTGCTTGCCTAACCAGGATCTGGCAACTTCCCATTTGATTACCTTACCAATGCAATCATATAACTACGGTAAATTCAAACTCCTGCTTCTGAGAGTGAGGTATCAAGAAAACGGCTACGGAAATTCAGTATATAAATAGACCAGTCAGAAACTAGCCCTCTCTGGAATTGTTAGTCCAAAACCATTTGCCATTTTGTGAATGCAACAGTGCAAGCAGCAATCGGAAGCAGAATACAGCAACAGAGTAAACCACTGCAAAAATAATAATAAAGTCAAGATTTTCTCACAAAGCACCTGCCTCACAACTACTACCTATGTTTGAAGGCTGCTGGAAAATTCCCAGATGATGTTAACATGCTATTAATTCCAAGAGAGAAGAGCTGCAAGAGTGTCCCATACAAACAGATGCTTGTTTCAGAAATTAAACAGAGGAAAAGTCGTTGATACTTACAGCATTCCTTAGAAAGTATATGTAAGGGGTGTGTGAAAACTCAGTAGAAAGTATCTGTGTCTGTTTAACTGTCTCACTCTAGCAAGATCCTGACTTACTTTCTTAGGCACAGTAGCAATCCTTTCTTGAGTTTTAACAGATAACCTTAGTCCTGCAAGAAGCCCATGAAAAACCCTCCACTGGCACTCATGCACAAAATAGCCCAAACGGTTGCATTGATAATAACAGAAATATATTGGCTGCCCACTGCAGAGCAGCCTTCTCCAGTTATGGGTGAGCTTCCTACCTGTCTGTCTCTGGGATCGAGCAAACACACAGAGCATCAGAGCTGCCCACAGGCATGTTCCAAAGTGCAGCTGCAGCATCTGCGCCATGTCAGGAAGACTCCTTACCCCTTTCTGCAGATAAAACACTTTGGGTGAACCTGAAGTTGTTTACTGCCCTGTAGTTTCTTTCTCCTCTCTTTACAGTCCAAGAAGTTGCTGCTGAGACAGCTGGCCTTTCTCCAATTCCAGCCCAGGGAAGGGCTTCCAGTTCAATTCCCAGTTCCTAACAGATAGTTTCCATCATAATGCAAAAGAAAAGAAAAAAACTTTGAAGGCTCAGGCTCCAGATTCTCCAAATGCTCTGCCAAGGCAAGTCCCATTTATTTCCACTTGGAGCCTCGGGCTGTTCCTTATTTGGTTTTTGGCTCTCCAGGTTAAGACTTTATGATTCTACCCCTTCCCCCAACCAGCTGCGAGCTTTTAAGAAAAGAAAGAACATGCTCTTAATAACCAAGGATTTATACTGACAATTTGAAACGTGCATGGCCATAAACTAGTCCTCCTTAGAAAGGCCCATTGATGTTGCCTGAAGGACAATGGAAGTGCAGCTTGTTTCATTTTGCTTCAAGTCATTCTTTTCCCCCTCAAAGTTTGCTTTCCAGCACTGAAATCCAACAGAAATTCTGACATGCCACAGGAGGGTGGGGCTGACAAATCTATGCCAGAAAGTATTCAGTAGAGAGGAAAGAAAGGTCATTTCTTCAACTCCGTTGCTCTTGGAGGAGAAAGAGGAGTACAGTGACCTGTCAGAAACCAACACACACCCAACCGTCTCCATCAGCCAGCTATCTCCACATGGGAGGACCAGTTTTAAGAAGTTTGGCATTATCATCCGTTTCAGCCATTCATAGGAATTTTCCACAGCACTTTCCCACCCCCACCCCTGGATTTCAGGAAAAACAGGATTTATGACCTATAATCCTGCAAATCCACTATGTCACTCCAATTGTTGTTGGGACTACATATCCCATCATCCCTGATCATTGGCCGTGTGGGCTGGGGCTGATGGGAGCTGGAGCCAACAACTGGAGGGCCTCAGGTTTCCCATCTCCTGCTATAGAATCTCTCTCTTTTAGCACCATCCCAATGTTTTAAAAGGGTTGCTGGATTCTATATATTTAAATAATTTCATGGAGTGGGGGACTGGTGAGAAACTTTCTGCACCTACCCAGTTTTTCCCCCTTGTACCAATATCAAAAGTTTATCAAGTTTGACCCAATGCTGTGGTTCAGTTCACACAACAGACGTTTGCATGTGCAATGGAATTCTCCCTTCCTCTCCCATGCAGCCCCCTTGTGCACCCTCAACATGTATCCCAGAGGGATGTGGGTCCTTCCAGAGCAGATAGGGCAGCATTCAAAGGAGAGGAAGGGTAGTGCCAGTGTGCAAATGGTAATCCACTTCTGCGGCGTTGAAATACAACCCAAATCCCATATATCACCAATATCTAGAGCAGGGGTCTGCAACCCGCGGCTCCGGAGCCGGATGTGGCTCTTTTACACCTTTGCCGCGGCTCCGGGGCAGATACTAGCGAGGGGAGGAGGTGCATTGTGCGCCCTGACACTCCCCACTGTGGCGGGCGCTGTACTGGCTGTGACGTCGCATGGGGGCGGTGCGTGCGTTAGTCACGCACCGTCCCGACGTCACCTTCCCGCCCGCCCGCCCCCTACATTGTAAGGGGCATGTACGCTGGTCACTGCATTGAAAGGGGGCATGTACGCTGGTCACTGTTTTGAAGGGGAGTGAAGAACACACACACACAAAAAGGTAACTTGTTAATTTAACGTTTATTTCTATGAGGAGGAGTAATTCTGAGGGGTCAAACAAAGAAATAATTTTTAAAAAGTGACAAAAAAGTTATTTTTATAATGATGAGTTTTGTGGCTCCCAGTTTTTTTTCTTCGGAAACGGGTCCAAGTGGCTCTTTTTGTCTTAAAGGTTGCAGACCCCTGATCTAGAGGGCCTTGATGTTGTGTGTATTTCAGACCCGTAAAAACACCAGCAGTCAAAACAGTATTGTGGCCCACAATCCTCTTCATTTTCATCTTTCCCAGCTACTGTATCATTTTCACATTTGGGGCCTCCACAGGCTGAATCTCTTCTTCCTCACATTAGGGAGAGAGACAATAAAAGTGCCACAGTATCTTAACTCTACCCTTCTTTCCATAAAGAATCCAAAACAGGTCTAAGCACACACTAATCCATGGAGTTCAATTCATTGCATCTAAGCCAGTTTTCTGGAAATTTTACCAAATTGGGTACTACCTAGAGGTGCATGTGAGCAGCCTCTAGAACAAGTCTTGTTGACAAAGGATCGCTGAAACATCAAAAATGGCCCTGGAGTTCACTCCAGTAATTCCTGACAATCTGCAAAGTGTTGCAAAGACACAAATCCATTGTAAGGAAAATGGCAGATGCTCCCCATTATCTAGAAAAGGGGAAGATGTTTGGGAAGATTCACCCACCCTACTCCCTCCAATGCAAAGTGGAAAGCACTCTGTAGCTGATTAGCTCCACATGTGCTGAACTCCAGCTGCTCAAATCTCTGCAGTGAGCTTTGGCACAACTTCTGTTGTCTCTCAGAAATCCCCCATACTGCTGCAACAGCAGCTTTTTTAAAACAAATGCAATTTAAGTAGAACAAAAGCTTAAAACATCTGGATTCCAAACATTGTTCTGGGTTCAAACCCTCAAGAAAGGAAACTTTCCATATAATATATCTGAGGTCAAATTAAATCTATTGTTTGCAGCCCTCCACCCACTCATTCTCCCCCTTCTATCACACCCGGTCCTCTGTTACATCTTATGCTCAGGGATGGGGAATCTGGGGGCCTCCTGATGTTTCTGGACCGCAATTCCCAACATCCCTGACTATTAGCCATGTTAGCTGGGGCTGGTGAGAACTGGGGGTCCAACAACATCCAGAAGGCCACAGCCTCCCCATTCCTGTCCTAAGCCCTGCAATGATCTACGCTTTGCTTCTGTAGAGTGTTTAGCTCACTTTTGGTGCTTAATGTTTATTCTCAGTAGAGGGGCAGCCAGAAAACCACAACTCATATTGTTCCACATTTCATGGAGCAGCCTTCTTATGGCCACATTCATTATTGAGTAACAAATCCATATGCTTGCGGTCACATTTACTGTAGCATATGGGGGGGGGTCACAAGTGAATTGGCAGATAGAGACATTAATAAAATGTATCCAGCTTCATGGCCTAGAGAATTTCTCAATAACCTGCAGACACTGTTGCCAGTGTCCTCCAACAGCAGCTGCGTGACCACAGCTTGTTCTAAGACACACAAATAGGCCTAACAATCCAATGGACTTTGTGTGCAGAGTTCCATGGGACTTCTCCTTACTCTCTGCTCCCCCATAGCCTCAAAATTGGCTTGAGGGTCTTTCTGGATATATTGAGGGTGGGGAGGAAGGGAAGTTCCACTGTGCACGTGGAAGTCTGCTGCACTAGCAGTTGGATGCGACCTGTTTTGCTTGTTTCAACAAAAATCAGTTTTCCAGCTACACAGAGTACTCAATAATTCTAGGATGGAGACTTTTACCAAAAGTGAAAAAGCAAGGCTGGAACTTTGGTGCCTGCAGTGTCTCTGGGCAACTGAGGGTCTGTGCTTGCAAACAGTTGATGGTCATAAAGCATGGGATAGCTCCTTCTTTCTTGAGGTTTTTGTTTCTTTCCTGAAGGGAAGCAGAGTCTACTGTTCTCATAGTGCTCTTTTTTAAACAACAAAACAAAAACACGACCTCCCCAGTTCTTTGTACTCTTCCCTGCTGCTCCTTTGTATACCCTGAACCCTGCTCCAATCTTCTGGATATTAATAACACCTTATGCATGTTTCACAGCCAGTCTGAAAGCTGCATTTCCCGCACATATCAGACAGACAAAAAACCTTATGTCAAGTTTTTTTTATTGATATTTAATATATATAAATACTTAGATCAAACAGGAAGATGGTGACACAGGGATGTCTCTGACTTCCTCTCCTTCCTTCCTGCTGCTATTTCTCATCTCCTTTCTTCTCTCCCGCCTCTATCTTGATGGTTTGCGGAGCCTCGCGATAGGCAGGGAAAGTCTCCCAGGGACTGTTCAGATCAAATTTGCGGAACTCCTGAGACAGCTCCACAGGCTCTGCCACCACTCGCTTCACCTCATCATCATACCTGACCTGAAGGAGGAGAAAAGGCATGAAGATGAGCAATGGTGATGGCGGTCAACTATAAAAACATACCTGGAATTTTAGAATTAAGCTTCCTCCTCGTTTGTAGGTTGCTTAGATCAACAGTAAATTTTCCAGTTAGTTAAATTTTCCAGTTAGACGATAAAAGCAGTATCTCCAAATCTACAACTCCCATCATGCCTAACTAACAGGACCAGTGGTCAGGGATGATGGGAGTTGTAGTCCCAAAACATCTGGAGGGCCGAGTTTGCCTATGCCTGTGCTAAAGCTTCTCAAGTGGAAGTACAGCCTTTTGGTTTGTGGGCCCAGAAGTCATAAAGTGTAGGATTCTCAGGACATTATATTATGTAGCATCAAAGGCACTTAATCAAAGGCATGTCTCGAAGAGTGCTTAATGCATGGACTTTTGGTCACAGGACAGAAGACCAGGCAGGAAAGGGTTAACCCACCCACCCGCCACAATCAAAAGCACTGCCAGCAGATTCAATGTCCCTTCTGAGAATGAAGTTCCTCCCATGTCCAGGACATGACTTCATCCATGCAAAATAGGAACTCACAGACCAAGAGTACAACATGCAACAGAAGAACCATTGCCCTAAGGAGGCGAATGAACAAATATCAAAGAGAAGATATGGACAAACAGGTGAGCTTCCTTTCCCTTTTCTTGCATTCTCTGTTGCCTGTACAGCAGAATAAGACATCAATGTTATAGGGTTTGATGTTTATTTAATATTACATTTATATCCCACCTTTCAGCCACAGAGCTCATACATGCTTCTCCCCTTCCTTATTTTATCCTTGCCACAACCCTGTGAGGAGAATTAGGCTGAAAGCTGCTGACTGGCCTATAGGACCTCCTTGAGCTTCCAGGCTGCTTTGAACCATGCTCTCTCTCTTCCAGGTCCTAGTCCAACACTTGAACCACTATGCCATTCTGGGTCCCTGGAAGGATTCTGCAGCTGAGTATAGCTTTTCCAAATGCTCATACCTCCACATATCCAGAAAGAGGGAAGTCCTTCCGGAAGGGATGACCCTCAAACCCGTAGTCTGTGAGGATTCGCCTCAGATCAGGGTGGTTAGCAAAGAACACTCCATACATATCCCAAACCTATGAATATGGGAATCAAGTAAAGAAACGGCAAGGTATATCAATTTTGGTCACACACACACACACACAAATTTTACATTACAAATTAAACATATTTTATTATACCATACATTTATTGACTTCCCTCCCCTTCCAAGGTTCATTTAACTTTCCCACCATTCCTCCATATTTTGATATATCCATCTAATTCTATTTTCCTATCTTACATCACTTCAATATTTATTATACTGTTGAATTTACTTTAATACTGCCAGCGTTTTCAATTGTTCACAATTATTTCCAATATACCTGACAAAATTTTTCAACTCCTCCTTGAATACCTGTTCTTTTTATTCTACTTGTTAGACCCGCTAACTCTGCATATTCTAACATCTTAAGTTGCCAATCCTCCTTGCTGGGGACATCCCTCACTTTCCATTTTTGGGCTAGCAAGATCCAAGCCACTGTTGTTGCATAAATGAATAAATTTTTCTGACTCCTAGGAACCTCTGTCTGAATAATTCCTGACAAGAACGCCTCTGGTGTTGTTGTTTTTTGGAATGTTGTTTTGAACATTTTTTTTATCTCATTATATATCATTTCCCAATATTCTTTTACATTTTTTCATGTGCACCACATATGAAATAAAGTTCCTTCTACTTCTTTACAATTTCCAACACAAATCCAATTCTACATTTTAGCCAATCTACACAGAGTAAGATACCATCTATGGATCGTTTTCAGTATGTAGCATGTAGTAAACTTCAAATCATTCTTCCAAAGTTTCTTCCTTTTACAAAGTATAGCAGTTTTGAAACCTAGCTTGGACCGAACAGTTTTATTACCTCACAAATACAAAGCATCAGGCACTCATTGCTAGCTGGCTGAGACACCTCATAGGCAAGGCAGCAAGTGAGATTCAATTGTATAAATGCTGAAGATTTAAAAATACATCAATCACTTGCTTGAACTCTACTATTTTACCTCATTTATATGCTGCTTGGTTGTAATAAAACATCTAAGTGGTTTCAATTGTCCAGAAATAGCAACAAACACTCTCCAAATAATGCCAAACAGAAGTTATCCAGGACCTTAAGGCCTATAGAATTGAGATCATGTCATTGGGAAGGAGTGATCACTGATCAACACCTAAAGGGCCATTGAGCCAAAAGGGACAGAATGTGATGTTTGCAGAAAAGGAATGCACACAGAAAACTGTGAGCAGCACCACGCCCTTTAGGGCAACCTGGGCCACAGTGACTGTGTTCAACTCAAATTAAACAGTGGGCTCTCTCTTCTTCCAAGAAAACATACCAGATCTGTCCCCTCTTCCCAAATGTCAACCACCTTGCAGCTTACCTCTCTTTCATACCAGTTTGCTGCTTGGTGCACTGGGACTGCTGATTCAATGGGTGTCAATTCGTCAGTATATGTTTTCACACGAATCCGGGAATTATAGGCTATGGATAAGAGATTATAGACAATCTAAAAGGAAAAGGTAAAAAACAGCATTGTCATGTATTAGTACACATTATCAGATTGTGACATCACAAAAAAGGATAACATGTATGATTATAGTACAGCCACATAATTAAAGACACAGGGATTTTTTTTAAAAAAAAGTTCCTTAATGGTGAAATGATTTCCAAAGCTAACAGTATATGCAACAAAAGGTCTTGTCTATACATGAAGAAATGGCTACTTCTGATAATGATCATATACAGTGGTACCTCGGATTAAGTACTTAATTCGTTCCGGAGGTCCATTCTTAACCTGAAACTGTACTTAACCTGAAGCACCACTTTAGCTAATGGGGCCTCCTGCTGCTGTTGCGCCGCCAGAGCACAATTTCTGTTCTCATCCTGAAGCAAAGTTCTTAACCCAAGGTACTATTTCTGGGTTAGCGGAGTCTGTAACCTGAAGCATATGTAACCCAAGGTACCACTGTATCTCTGGTTTATTCCCAAGATTTACAGATTTCTTAAGAGCCCATCTGTCAAACGTTTGCAGCACTGTGGCCAGAAGTACTACACACCCACAACATAGATGAAATGTGATACAAATTTAAATACATTTTGTTCAGTCGGATATTGTATTACACTGATGAAACACAATTTAAACTAATTTGAGCTAGAGAAGAATTTGAATTGCTATATTTAGGTCAATCTATGGAGACATTTATATATGTGTGTATATTTTAACATGGTCAAGGCAAAGAAAAAAGAAGTTATAACTCTGTTATAACTCTGTACAGAGCTGTCAGCTGCTGTTACTAAGAAGCAAATTATAGCTTCCCTTCTGTCAAACTAATATATATTCAGGTATATTTATAAGTAACCCCTTCTAGAAAAAGGTGCTGCTGCTTCCCAAGACAATGCTTGATGACTAAGCAGGTCAATTAGCTGTTTAAGAAACAGAATTCTCTCCCAAAACAAATGTCACTAACATCACACTGTTAAGCACAACCACCATTTCTAGATCAGCGACTACATAGATCAGCAGAACAAAAACTGAGAAAGTAACCCAGAAATAATATACTATTAGTCAGTGAGCATAAAGCCAAGGCAGTCAGCAAAACTGAGGGCTGGGGCACCAACATGGGGGGAAACTAGGATACTCTCACATTCTTGTTTAGCCATGTGATTTTTTTGGAAGACTGTGTCTTCCTTAGAATCTTCTTTGTAGCATAGCTTGAAGAGCAGCTCCTACCTCAAAGCGGTTCTGTCGAGATGGAACATCGATTGCCGTCAGATCAGCTAAGTTTTTGAACTGGGCGTTAGTGTGATCTTTAAGAAAGGTCAAAACTGGAATGATCCCATCTGGATGAATTAAGATTTCTAGCTCATTGAAACATGTTACCTGTTAAAATGAGAAATAGTAAAATTTTGTATGGATCAACTTCATCCAAATTCTAAGCACACATACTTAGATAGAAATCTCATTAAAACCAATGAAATGACTGCCAAATAGATGTGTTGAAAACTGTAAGCAGTTCAGGCTGTATAACAGCAGACCAAGGAACAACTGTATACCTTTCCAGCTCCTTGTAGCACTCATTAGCTTTCAGAAAAGGCTTAGTACTGCCTATTACAGTTTCAAGAGAGAATGATACAGTTGATGGAACCCACCTGGACTTGTTGAACGTACTTGGGCAGAATTTCAGCCACATATTCTCCAAAAGCACACAGCTGCTTTTGTGTCACTTCATCCTTTGGTCTAACAGTAGCTGAAAAGAAAGTTTACAGTGGTGAATTCTAAAAAGAACAGCACCAGCTCATAGCCAAAGCCAGCTCAATGTTATTCCAACTGCTACCACAGGGATGGGAGCAGTTCAACATTGGTCAACATGGTCAGATATACCTATTGTACCATTAACTTTTCTGCTGTGTGGGGGGTTCTTTTTTGGGGGGGAGTGGGCCAATCAGCACAATAGGAAACATAATTATTCAAAGTCTATAGCAGATTAGTGCATGCCTGGCAGATAATATAATTCCTAGTAAGCATTCAGTGTCCACAAAACAGATAGCATTGTCTCAGAAATCAGGGAGCCTCTATAAATATTAAGTTTACCAGGAACTTAAGAATGAATGAGATGAAGTCATTTGCACATGTCCTTTTTAACATCAAACTTCATCCGATTACAATCAGGTGGTACATAGTTTTCATTTAACAAAACTGTACTTATTGTAATGCAAAGTAAAGGATGAGTTGATCAAACACTAAGCAAGTCAGACTTACGTTGAGTCACAGCAGTATTCCCTTCAAACCGAGCTTGCAGTAGTATTGCAGATCGCCCAGTAACTATAAAGAGAGTGGGGAAAGTGTTAAATCGCCATTATTTACAGCCATAGCATCTACTGATCTCCACAAAGAAGTAGCTTCAAATATACCATAAAAATGTAGAAATAATAAAAGCAAGATGGTGCATTAATATACATTTCTGCAAGCAGTAATAAACATGGAATTAAAGGTCTTTAAGCAGACCATTGTGAGTAGGATTGCAGTCAAGATAATCTAGTTTAGAATGGAGTGCTGAAACATAGCATCTACAGCACTGGTCTTCAACTGGTGGACTAATCTGAAGTATATTGCAATAGGAGCACTACCACCATGCAAATATATAGTAAAAGATTAAGAAATGGTCCCCAAATGACTGTTTGGGTTAAAAGTGGTTCCTAGGTCTGAAAAGATTGAAGTCTACTGTTCTGCTCAGCAGGAAGCTGCTGACTAGGATACACAAACTCAAGGCCCAAAACAATACTTAGAAACACCTTTATCAGGCCTGCTCCACATTTTACTAACACCTATACGTAAGATCTTTTCATCTTTTGATTAAGGGTGGTATAAATATATAAGAAATAAATGGAAATACCTTATTTTATTTTTATTTCTTATATTTTTATACCACCCTTAAGAATTATTTTTAAATGGTTTAAAAACCATTTTATTGTGTGATGACAGCACGTGTGGATTTCATATAGATCTCTTCTGTGCATTTTTTTTTAAGTGGAGCACTAATTACTGGTAACTGCAATTGTTGTCAAATGCTTGCAGGGTTTCTATAGGCATTTGGCTGACCACTGTGAGAACAGAATGCTGAACTATAGTTGGGGCTTCGGACTGATCCAGCAGGGTTCTCCTTACGCTTGTAGAAAACCAAGGACTGCACTGTGAACTCACACTGAGAACTGTTTTAAAAAACAGGGGATCAACTGCAGTTACCAGTGTCCCTCCAGATGCTGTTGGTAAGTTTAAAACCAAAAACCCAGCAAGGAACTGCCTCGGGCCAAGACCGATAACTGACCCATCTAGCTCGGTAAGTATTGACCCGTGTGCTCGTTTTGTGGTTTGTCCATTTATTTGGCATAAGCTAAACCAGGATTTCGAGGAGCAAAGTGTGCGGTGGCGGCGGAGACAGCAGGAGCCGGTGAATCGATGGACAAAACGCCAACTGTTTAGCATCGCTCTCCCCATCATGGCGCACTCAAAAGCATTCTGGGAACTGTGGTTTTGTGAGAGAGCTGAGAACACCCTTGCAGAACCCGGCCCCCTCCTGACGGAACTACAGCTCCCAGGATCCTTTAGGAAGGAGGGAGGAAAGAAGGCTATGCCCTCTGCAGACAAACCCCCAGCGTCCCCTCACCAGCAACGGCCACAGCCCCTCCAGACTGGAAGCCCTCAGTCTCCTTCTCCCAACAGACCCCGCCAAGTCGCAGGCTCACCTCTCAGGCCGGCCCGAGCCAGCCCCAGCGCGGCCGCTAACATCTTTGCCTGCTCAGGGTCCGCAGCCGGAGCCTCACAAGGACACCGAGCGGACTCGTAAGGCGCACGCGCGCCATCGAGCGCTCTCTCCTATTGGTTCGACGTAGCAGAAAGCGCTGCGTCCCGCTCGCGCAAGCTTCCACCACCGGAAAACCAATCCGCGCGAGCGGGGCGGGACGAAATGATCCGGAAATCCGAGGCGCGCGCGGGCGGATCGGGTGATCGGCCAGCTTCCGGGAGCGCTTAAAAGAGCGGCGTCGGGAAGTGCAGCCCCTTCTGGTGTCCCCCTGAGCCATTCCCGGTGCGAAGTTCCGAGCCGGCGGAATGAAGGGAGGCGCCTCAAGTAAGAGCGGCCGCCCGCCGAGGCCGGGGCGCTTCTCTCCTCGGGGCTCAGCCCTGCCCGTTGCGGGGGCGGGAAGGTTCGGTTGCCGTCCGCCAGGGGGTGGGGCCGCGCACCCGGACGCCGGGAGGAGGCGGCGCCGGAGCCGCCTTCCAACGAGGCGCCTCAGGGCCCGGCTCGAGAGCGAGAGGCCCTTCGCGCCCCGGCCCCGTGAAGGGCTGGGCTCTCTCGGGAGCTCGGCGCCGCCGCACTCGGTGCAGAATCGCCCGGGATCCCTGTTCAAGTTCTGTTCGTCACGATGTTGGGACTGGGCGCCTCCGCTCAGTGAGCAAAAGCATCGAGAGACCTGTTTCCAGATACCGTCCCTGGCAGCTCATTGAGCCCTAGCTGCTTTAAAGCAGATGCCGAAACAACCGCAGGCAATTTTAGACTGAGGCTGCATTGCTATAGAGTACATTGCTTGGTCTAGGTCTCATTGAACTCTAGGGGTCTCACTTCTGAGTAGCCTCACGAAGAATTGCACTGCCTTGCTTTGATCTATCCAATGGTCAGCTTTCCCCTTCCATCAGCCTCGGTGGTCTTTAGGGCCTCTTCATGCACTGTAGAAATCAAACGTACCTTTTTAAAGATGGTGTATGCACGGCAGTCAAACCCAACCCATCACAAACTTCCCGATGGCGGTGTACAACTTGTATACGTCTTTCAAAATGCACATTTGTCATTCTTCATATATTGCAGTTGTAATGCGCTCACCCTGTAGGCAGAGCACAAAAAGCTTCAGAGCTTTTTAGTGTTCTGGTGATATCTACAGTATTTTGGGGATAGTTTTAAAAACAACATAAACTTCCTGCAGTTCATGGGAACAAGGAACCCTTATTAAGAGTACTTCTCTTCAGGTTAACCAAGTTCCATTGACCCATACTGGGGTGTATTCCTAGTTGTTCCTCATACTCTACGAAGTCTTGTAATCTGTGATTACCCACCATTTAAGGATTGGTCTAACTTTTGAGTTCTTGTAAATATGGTGCACTATGTCACATACTACAGAAATGACTTGATCCTGTACACGAGGTACACTGGTACACGAGGAAGTAACTTTTGGAGCACACAATCTTTTGGCTGGTATTTCTACATGATAGGACATGTGTTCCTTACCTGTAGCATTTCTTTTTCCTTTCCTTTCTTTAGATTTGTTTGCTTTAGTTGAGATACAGTACAGCACAAGTCTGTGATAAAAGAATCTCCAATGTCTGTTGTATTTCAGATTACTGGAGGTCAGATCTAAGCGGCAACATGGACTCACTGGAGGAGACTGGAGGTTCCTCAACAGAGGAAACTGGAAATTCCTTAACTGAGAACTATTTTGTAAATTACACTTTCACTGACCGTTCTCATTCAGGCCGTGTGGCCCAAGGAATTATGAAGTTGTGCTTAGAGGATGAGCTCTTTGCAGATGTCACCATCTCTGTAGAAGGCAAAGAATTCCAACTGCACCGGCTAGTTCTCTCAGCTCAGAGCTGCTTCTTTCGTTCTATGTTCACTTCCAATCTGAAGGAGGCACATAACCGGGTGATTGAGTTACAAGATGTTAGTGAGAGTGTCTTTCAGCTCCTTGTGGACTACATTTATTATGGAACGGTAAAGTTGAGGGCAGAAGATTTGCAGGAGACTTACGAAGTAGCAGATATGTACCAACTAACTGCCCTCTTTGAGGAATGCTCCCGTTTCTTGGCTCGAACAGTGCAAGTGAAAAACTGTTTGCAAATTATGTGGTTGGCTGATCAGCACAGTGATGTGGAGCTCTATACGGCTGCCAAGCACTGTGCCAAGTCATACTTATCACAACTTCAAGAAACTGAGGAGTTTCTGCACCTTCCTCTCCGTCTCCTGACAGATATTGTCTCAGGTAGGTAGAATGGTTACTGAGACCTGTGGTTACTAAGGCCTTTCTGAGAGATATGGATTAGTACCATGGCATTTCAGTTTCAGACCTAGTTTTGAATCAGATGCCTTTGATTGCCCTGGTACATGGCTCTAAAGTGGAAAGGAGGAGCACCTTCCTGTTGGATCTGCTGCGCCTCTCAGAGGCTTTTGGTACAATAACTTGTGGTATTCCAGGTTATTTAGTGAAGATGAGGCTTGGAAGCACTTTTTAAACAGATTCTAGTCTTTCCTGGAGTAACAGTTCTTTAAGGTACTGGGGGCCTCCTTCTCATCTCTTTTGCTTATGAAGTTCCACTGGGCTCTGTTCTGTCCCCCCCCCCTTCCCCAATTGTAATTTATTTTACGCATTTCTATACCCATGTTGTTTAGTATCTACATGAAACCACTAGGAGTGGTGATGCGGAGATTTGGAGGTCTATGCAATCAGTGTGCAGATTACATCCTACTCATTCGTCACATTCCAGGGAAACTAGCAGTTTTAATAGAAATAGAAATCATGGATAGAAATGGGCTGGATGGCAGCTAGTAAATTGAAGCTTCAACTAAATACAGTGGTACCTTGGGTTAAGTACTTAATTCGTTCCGGAGGTCTGTACTTAACCTGAAACTGTTCTTAACCTGAAGCACCACTTTAGCTAATGGGGCCTCCTGCTGCCGCCACACCGCCAGAGCACGATTTCTGTTCTCATCCTGAAGCAAAGTTCTTAACCCAAGGTACTGTTTCTGGGTTAGCGGAGTCTGTAACCTGAAGCATATGTAACTTGAGGTACCACTGTAATAGCCAGCAGTATATCCAACCTAGAACTAGGGGGCGGTATCCACCAAAGTAGAACCACTAGTTATCATCTTAAAACCCTATATGGTTTGGGAACAGGATAAATTTCTCCTGTATTAGCTTACCCATGCATTCAAATGCTCTGCAGAGACCTTTTGTTGGTTCTACATTCATTTGGTTGGAATGAAGGGGAAGGTTTTTTGTTGGAACTCCCTGCCTAAGGATGTTGATATTGTCCTCTCCTTGACCACCTGCTGCAGTGCAAAGCTCTTTCCATTTAAAAGGGCTTTTGGCTTTTAGTAGCTGGACTATACTACTGGTATGTAATCTTTCTGTCTCATATATATTTTATTGCTGTTTAATTGCTTTATTGCTTTTTGTTGGGCCTTGTTGTAGTTTATGGGTTATCTGCCTATGGGTGTTAGCAGAGCTCTAGACATTGACTTCTGTTCGTTCAAGCAGGGCAAACCCATAATCACCAATGCCAAGCAAGCATCTTGCTGTGAAGCCACTAGGCCTAGAATGCAAGATTGCTTGCTATGTCTTGCCTATCATATTTACACCTTCAGAAACCCCACAGCAGCGAGGTTATGAAAGCTGTTTATAACCCACAGCTCTAATTACCCCATCCCCTCAATCTCTGGATTAAGACCTAGCAGCTCTGCTTGGTGGTTGTGTGCTTTTCTGCTGTGGGGAACATGAAACGGACCCTTAGAGCTCTGCTCTGTTATCCTCTCTTGAGGGAGCTCTTTTTTTAGTCCGCTATCTCTAGGAATAGCAGAAATCCATTTTGCTTGCTGTTGAAAGAACCACCTACATCTTGATTCATGTTACCTAGGAGTATGTTTTGATAAGCTGTAAAATGTAGTTCAAAGTGTTTTGTTTTCTAGCTGCTTAAGAGGTTTTGTTACAGTCAAGCAATATATTACATTTTGTCAAAATAAAATAGCTCCTTCTGGAGACAGATTTTACAGTAGCCATATGTTCTTCAGTAATGCTATAAAGTATACTGTTAAATCTCAAATTCTTAAGTTTAATGTGTTTCACATTTGAGTTTAACATAGTTCAACCCTGATAACCACAAATACCGTTTTTGCTACTAATGTTATAAAAATATTTCACTTCATGCATCTAATACACAGCTCTTACGTAGTAAGGGTGTACCTCTTTTCTTCTGCTCTTTATTTTTACTATTGCAGAATTGTTCTATAGGAAGCATTTGTGGACAGAATGCAGTGAACTGTTCTGTCAGCGCAAGAATTTCTGCTTGTGCAACAGAATTCTCCTCTCCCCCATGAGCACCCTGCACCCTCCCTAAATCAGCTGCAGAGGGCTAGAGAAAAACCCAGAACAGATTTAGGGGGCACACAGTGGAAGTTCCATTGCACAAGTGGAATTCTTCGCACTGACAAAACAAGTTACTCGCATCCTCCCCTATATGTTTAGCCAGGCCTGTGAAAACATGTCAGGGGGAGCCAACATCACCTAATACATTTGGCTGAGGGAGGGTGAATTGTATGCAGCTCTGGGTGGTCATGCAAGAAGACAAATCATATGACAGTATATCTTTGTGAGGAATTGAATAACTGCAGCTCTGGTAGAATTAGCATTGAAAGGGAAATTCCCTGATCCACCAATAGTTAGGATAAATGTCCGGTTTCGTATGGCAACCACTTCTGGCTGTCTTCATCATCTAACCCTCCTATCTGGTTTTCTGCTATCAATGTAGTTACAGAACTTCTTGCTGTTGGTCTTTGTTTTTAGCAATGTGCTCCTCAAATTCTTTTTTTTTTTTTTTTTTTTTTTTTGCATCACTTTTCGTCCACTTGCATTTCTTTTGCCGAAGTTTGTGTTCCCTTTTTGTTCTCCTAATTTGAACAAGGCTTCTATTTTCTAACACTTGCGTGTTAACCAAATGGGCATCCTCTTGGCTCTGGTGGGACCTTTCTTAATCTGAGCATCTAATATTGTGATTTTTAAACAACACCCAAGGAGTAGCATCCTCCTTTCCATGACAGCAAAGGAGCCGTCATCCTTGGAGCGTGACAAGAGCTATCACGCTTCCTGAAGGCCTTGTCCACCAAACTCTCTTCCTTTCTCAGCCTCTCTTGGTAAGCCACTTTGGCCTCAAGGGAATGAATCTGTTCCCTGAGAGCTGGGAGCTCATTGCATCAAGGACAAACCCAATTTTTTACACCACATACAGGGGTCAGCAAACTTTTTCAGCAGGGGGCCGGTCCACTGTCCCTCAGACCTTGTGGGGGGCCAGACTATATATTTTTTTGGGGGGGGGAGTAATGAACAAATTCCTATGCCCCACAAATAACCCAGAGATGCATTTTAAATAAAAGGACACATTCTACTCATGTAAAAACATGCTGATTCCCAGACCATTCGCGGGCCGGATTTAGAAGGCGATTGGGCAGGATTTGGCCCCCGGGCCTTAGTTTGCCTACCCATGACATAGATGGTGCACGTGACAAATTGTGTAATACACTGGAAAGCACACCCTCCCCACACCTCTGCTGGCATTCTACCTGCATATCTACTTTTGCAGTTTGTTTGGGTTTACTTTATTCGGAATTTGTTACTTCTGAGGGTGGAGGAACAGTGTGCTGAAGAACCTAAAAGGGATTGGACATTACATCCTGAATAATTACGTACTAGATTGAAATTGATTTAGAGACTGAAGACCTCTTGACACACAACTCAAATATTCTATGCAGCTATGTACTCCAGGTAGTTTTTAATACTCAGTTACAAGGGTCATAATTAGTTATGATTTGTAACATGTTATATTACAAAGTTTATTAAAAATTTGAATTGAGACAATACATTGCTTAGTCTTAAATATTTATTTATTCAATTTATATCCCATCCTTCCTCCCAAAAAAGCCCAGGATGGCACATGATGTATGTAGTTTCCCTTTAAGCAACAGCTAATGCCAGAACTCAGAGCTAGAGGAAACTCAGAAAAAAGCAAGCTTAATGGCCAGCATTAATACTGAATAAAGTTTAAGATTTATCTGTTGTTTGGCCTACTGACCCACTTTTTCAATTGAAATCCCTATTAACTTCTGCTGGTTTCTACAGCCACTGATCTTATTACTAGTAATGGGATTAACCAAGAACCAGCTTTCCCACAGAAGCAAAGGCCTGCTATCCTGAAGAGCTAGAAGCAGAGTACTTAATTGAATCAGGCAATGGAACTGTATTTGACTGGACTTACATGATTGTACTGAAAGCACTGAATATTTAAAATTATTTCCAGTATGCTTGAGCAATGCAGTAACTTAAAACATGTCAGGATTTGTAACGTGGTTAAAAGTTTCTTTGTACGCAATACCGTCACCAAGAAATATACTAAATGTTATGGAGAACAGCTTTTCTAAAATGACAACAAAATTCATGTCTGTTGCAGCATCACTTCTTAAATGTCATTCTTTGTGAGTCATATGACAAGAAAATATTTTTTAAAAATCCAAAATTAAGCAGGACAAAATGAAGGCCTAGCTGTTTAACTGTGGCAAGCAGAGAATGTAGTCTGGTCCTGTTAATAATGTTGAGGCTATGGTTACCAGATAACAAATTCATTAAGTCGATAGCCTTCGGCAGGAAATATTTTTGCTGCTTCTGTAGAATAGGAATGCTAACATGCAAGGGCTCCTGCTCTTGTTTATACCAGCTAAACCTGGTATGTGTTAGGGGGAAAGGGAATACTGTACTTGCTATGCCCATGCCATGAAAATTTTATACTTTAAACATGTTTTTTTTTATCTGCAACCATACAGATGGGGTTCCATGTTCACAGAATCCAGCAGCTGCCATAGAAACCTGGATTGGCTTCAATAAAGAAGAGCGTGCAGGTTTCTCAGACATACTGCGATCAAGTTTAAAGGTAAATGACAAAGCAGTCTATTCAGTGTTTCAGCCTGCCTCCCTTAACTGTTATCAGTGTAGAAAGGTTTCCATAGTTAGAAACGTGGGCTGCCCTAGAGTGGTGTAAGCAGTGGCAATCAGTCTGATGTGATAATAGAATTGTAAGTTCATTTTCAACAGGGGGTGGAGGAGGATCCACTGATGGGTTGCTTCTCCTACTCGATCCACTAGGCAGAATCAGCCCTGCCCTTTCAGTTCCAGAAGGTACAACAGCTAGCTGTAACAAAAAACAAAAAAAAGCATGGCAAACCCAAAAAGGAAAACAAAATACCCCATGAAACAGAAGATTACTGTACAACTGTACTATCTTAACCTCATTTCACCCAACCATGGATACACTACTATGGTGGTTCAGAAAATGAACTTATCACTGTAAGTCCAGTGTTCTGTTTTTCTGCAGTGGAGGATGGGATCTGTGGTTGGGATATAAAACAGCAGTAGCCAGGAGGCCACTGCAGGGACCTCCTACCTTGGCACCACTTGCCAAAGCACCTTCCTGCCAAAAGACAACACAGCAGAATCAAACGTATTCCTCCTGTAGCGCTTCACTAATGTGAAAACAGGTGGTCATTGCTGCCCTGAAGATGTCAACTCAAGGGGCATTAGTGCTAAAGGCAGCAGTCAAAGCACTCCTGCTAGCGTGATCCAGAAGCTACTTAGCAATGCATGTCCATATCCATCAAAACAGAGTAGTTGAGGAGACATTTTTTTCTTGCAAAGTACTTGGCTAAAACAGAATCAGACTGTCTCAACTCCTTTGCTCATCACAGGTAAATTCACACCAGCCTATGAACATCTAGTGACGCTCCTTTTCCTTAGGACCTAGCCAAAAATGATGGTGATTAACTTCCTGAGCCCTGTGAAAAATAGAATTCCTTTTAGGAAGGAATGTAGGGTGAAGGCCATTGAATCTTGAGTGGAAGATACAGAGCGCTTTCCAAGATGACAGGGCTCTCTGCTCTGAAATCCTTACAGCAGAGGCAATTAACTACCAAGAAAACCACCTTATGGCTCAGACACTTTTAAGGTTATGGTTATAAAACTTGAAATGTGATTTTGCGAGGACATTGTTAAGGTCCCAGGTAGAAAAACTATATACCGGGGAAGTTTCAAGTAACTCCTTATAATACAAGGATGTGAGGATATGCAACCCTTGCATCCCTGAGACAGAAGAGAGAGCTGCCACTCACCTTTTTGGAGTATTAGGTGTCAAGCCCCAAACCAGACCATCCTGAAGCAAAGTGAACACCCACTTTGATGTTTGCATGCAGTGTGTCCTCATCTTTTCCTGCACCACCTCACAGATTTTCTCATAGGTGCAATGTGCATGAGTTTTATATTAGTTTAGAAAGGTAATGACTGCTCTGTAGTCAGAGTCTTTATGTTCTCGACCCCTCCTCTTTCAGTTGTTAAACAGGAATGTACAAGGTCTGGGTGGAGAAAGTGTCCCTGGGATCTCTCTTCTCTCTACCAAAAGGATCCCAGTCCCATCAGATTGGAAAACCAAGCCATGCTGGCCCAGAAGGGAGACACAAACAACAATTTCACCCCCTCTGCACACACCCTTCAAATAACCCTTTAAGATCATGGTTGTGGGTGGAAATGTTTATAACCTGCTCACCTTGGAAGTTGGCTAAGGACACAGATTACCTATATATGGATTCCCTTCTCAGCTGCTGCAAAATACTCAATTGAAAATGCTAGTTTAAACTTGCTAGCTACATAATTCAGTAACTGAACCTGCGTTTCTTAACTGTTTATCTAGTTTTCATCTTGCTCGTAATGTAGGAAGTTGTCTGTAATGATTGACAGCAAGTCTCCAAAATTTCAGACAAAAGTCTTTTCCAGCTCTACTTGGGGATGTTATGGATTGAACCAGAGGCTTTCTGCATGCCAGGCATTGACCTGGAAAGCTATATACATTATGGTTATAAAATGAAATAAAAAAAAATTAAAGAGTCACAAAAGACTTCAGTCCCAGCATGTCGGCTATCAGTGGCCTAATATATTGTGGTAATTGTGGAATAGCTTACTAGTAATTTGAGCTGTGAAACCCCAAGCTAATTTGCTGTAGGTATTTCTTTGCACTTATCATTGGCCTCCTCTTGACTGAATTTCTGCATGCATACCTATGCACAACTTTAATGAAATTTTGTTTTATTGTTTAGGAAATTGGAGAGAACGTTCATATCTACCTGATTGGAAAGGAGTCATCCCGTACACATTCTCTTGCTGTCTCACTGCATTGTGCAGATGATGACTCCATCAGTGTTAGTGGTCAGAACAGTTTGTGTCACCAAATCACTGCAGCTTGCAAGCATGGTAGTGACCTCTATGTTGTTGGAGGATCCATACCACGGCGCATGTGGAAATGCAACAACACCACGATAGACTGGGAATGGTGTGCCCCGCTGCCCCGCGACAGGCTACAACACACTCTGGTTTCTGTGCCCAGCAAGGATGCGATCTATTCACTGGGGGGCAAGACACTGCAGGACATCCTCTCAAATGCCATCATATACTACAGAGTAAGAGACAATGTATGGACAGAGACTAGCCAGTTGGAAGTTGCAGTGTCTGGGGCTACAGGTGTAAATCTCAATGGTGTCATTTATTTGTTAGGCGGGGAGGAGAATGACCTGGATTTCTTTACCAAGCCCTCTCGGCTTATCCAGTGTTACGATACCAATACAGAGAAGTGTCATGTAAAGCCTTACGTGTTACCCTTTGCAGGCCGCATGCATGCTGCTGTGCACAAGGACCTGGTGTTCATTGTAGCAGAGGGGGATTCGCTGCTGTGCTATAACCCTCTGTTGGATAGCTTCACGCGGCTCTGCTTGCCAGATGCCTGGAGCTCAGTACCATCTCTTTGGAAAATTGCTAGTTGTAATGGCAACATCTACATCTTCCGGGATCGTTACAAAAAGGGAGATGCCAACACCTTCAAACTCAATCCAGCCACTTCTGTGGTGACTGTCACCAGTGGCCTCAAGGTGCTACTCACAAATTTGCAATTTGTGTTGGCATGAAGGAAGAAAGGTGCAGTGCCAGAACAACGAAGACATTCCTTTAAACAGCTCAGAGATGTATAGACCCCATAGCTCCAGCTCCTTGAAAAAGATCACAATACTTTAGAGAGTTCCCTGCCCCACCTTCCAACTCCTGCTCACAAGCAGCAGCAATGTAGCCACACATAGGTGGCATCCGCATTCTGTCTGGATTACTGCTGTCACTGTGGTCCCCTGCTGGTCAGCTTCTTGTGTCTCAGAAACCCACAGCTAAGAGGCTTCTTGGGCCTAAACCCTTTACCAACAAGCCCTATGCAAAATAGATGAAGTATTTGTACTGTCTTACGTTGCAGGCTATCTACTGCAGTAATCTGTCAAGGTACAAAACATCCCTTAGAGCTGCAGCTAGCAGATAAAAGTGAAGGCTCCCTCCTTTATCAGGGCTACAAAGGACAAATCTAGCAAGAGGTACTGAAAGTAACATTAGCAATGCATTGGATATGATCAAACTAGGAATAAAGGAGGCAGCTATCCCCGACTGTGTTATTACTTGGTAAACAGAAAGCTTGGACCCTTGCCCTCATATTTAGAGTGCTCATTCAGTGACATATGGGGCTGGGCGGGGGGAGAACATGTTAAAAGAGGAGAATCATGTCAAACCTATTTGTTGATGCTGTAAGATCCTTGGGGTGCAAGTCTCAATAAAGGCCTTCCGGAACAACACAACTTGTTTATAATTGCCTGTATTTGAGAGGGAGCAGCGCTGACAGTGGTCCCATGCTGGTGCACTGAGATAAGTAATAATAGAGACCAGCAGTAGAGGCAAACCATGTTCAACTAGCAGTGATAAAGCTGGAAGCTACCAGATCTCCTTTGCTCTCATGCTTCAAGAAACTTTGTGGTAGCTGAGACAACAGTCTACCCCTAAACAATATGTTAGGAACCAGATGTTTTCAGTGGATGGTTCTGCACGTTGTGTGTTGGCTTGTTCTTTCCTTGTTGAATCTTTGGTGGCTCTTGCTGTGCAGGAGTTCCAGCAGTTACACACGTATGAAAGTCCTCTAGCAACTTCATTTGCTTTTCACGTATGATTATATGAGGACGTATCTTAAGAATTGTGGCTATTGCTTGTTGAGGTGTACAGTGGTGGAGCTGCAAAGGCAGAAAATCCAAATGAAAAACTATCTAAGCTGGGAACGAACTAGCTTAAGCAATGGAATGGAAAAACAGATAGTGAGAATTGTTCAAAAACAATACCCTCACACTTAAAAGAATCCCAAATATTTGTTGTCATTTGTGAGTCTGTTGGCTAAAATCTGCCTTGTCTGATTCTAGCAGATTACTCAACAACTGTTATAATTAACCATCTCTTTTTTGCTCCTGCTGACGGAAGAATGGCTTCTGCATTGCTTTCCATTCAATCTCAAAGCATAATTGATTATATTTGGGCTATATGCTCTTAACACTATCCAATATCCCAGCATGATGAATGGATACAAGCCTAGACAAAGATCTTATTTTCAAACCTAAAGGATAGACTACTATTAATGCATTTTTTCATTACCAGTTGTACATCTAATATCCTACACATTTTCTCCCCACTTTCCAGGCAGCAAGGGGCTTGAAAGTGCAAACATTTTTCATTCATACTGCCAACTTTAATACAGAAGTGGAAATGACTCCCAAGTCCATCCCTGTCACAAGGAAGCTGACAGTCATACTCATTTTCTCTCCCAGTGAATACTAAATGAAGTGCTATACCCCAATTAAAGCCAATAAATTAAGACCATGTTGGAAGCAGAGTAGCAGTCCTGGGAAGAGTTCCGCTTCTCTTATTCTTGGTTAACAGAAGCAGTTTGTATACAATTGATCCATTACCACTTTCTCAGTGCATTGGAAGCTTTCTTACCTGAATTAAATATGCAGCAACCATAGTGGCACTGCGAAAGCGGCCAGCTTTGCAGTGCACATATACTGAGTTCCCTGATTCACGATGCTTCATCACAAACTCAACACCTTTATGCAGGTTTTCCAATGATGGGACGCCAGTCAAATCAACAGTACTAAGGCGCAACTGTTCTACACCCATTTCCGCCCATTCCTGCAATTAACCCAGAAAACACAGAATCATCCATTTGGAAAAGAACGGCAATGACCACTGTCACCTTTTCATTGGGCACAATGAAAGTCAAGGGATAGATGCCACAAGAAAAAGTTGCTAATTTGGGCTGCAGTTATCTTCTGAACCCTACTGAACTCAATGGAACTTACTTCTGAGTAGACACACATACAATTGCACCATTAAAAGTTATCAAGGAAAGCTGAAAGGAAGACTGCAAAAACGGGGCTAAGAAAATAATGTGGGAGACAAAACGGTAAAATTAGGTAGCAGTACAGTGAAGGTAACTAAGTGGGGAAAGGGGGAAATTTATCTGAGTATAATTCCCACTGGCCTCTGCATTTATTCAGAAGTATGAACAATTATGTTCAACATGCCTTTCCACCAAGTAAACATGCACATAATTGCAGCCCAAGTCAAGACGTTTCAGTGAAAACATGGCCTGAGGCTTGCGCACCATGGGAGGCCAGTTTGGTGCTGATGCAGCGGTTTGACTTCACCCCCAGAGGCGCACTCCATTGTCTCTCAAGACAGATGAGTGCCAACAACTTCTATGTAAACATGCACAGATATGATAACATAACATGCAGTTCTGATTCAGTAAGATTTTGGGCTGTCCTATATCCCCCTCAGACAGCATTCTATACTGCTGTTTAAATATTCCCTTCTGAGGGAGCTTGTCAGTTGGATCCCCTCTTTTCTTGGACACAATGGAGCTTGTGGGGGGACTCACCTCAGAGGAATAACACAGGAAGCGAGTCTCATACTCTTCGTTCATTGTGACCACTCCTCGGACATTCTGCTCCTCTACCAACTGCAGGAAGAACAGACAACTAAGTCCAGGTCTCAATATATTTCAGTATCTAGCCCATCCTCTCCTAATGGTTCTCACTCAATATGTGCCATAAAGAGAAGCTTGCAGACAGAAGGCCATAGAAGCAGGTACCCACTCCCTTTTTTAACCACTTTTGGTGGAATCTAAATTGTTGCTCTGATTTTAATTTATGCTTTAGTTTTGTCAATATGTTTTGCCATTTTAGCTATAATTTTGCATATTTTATTCTGTTCACTATTGTTCAGTTTTCTTTTTTATAATGTTTTATACATTTATTCTGGAAACTGCTGTGTGATTACCATACAATGAATAGCAGTCTATTAATTATTATTATTATTAAATTTATATACAGTGGTACCTCAGGTTAAGTACTTAATTCGTTCCGGAGGTCCGTTCTTAACCTGAAACTGTTCTTAACCTGAAGCACCACTTTAGCTAATGGGGCCTCCTGCTGCTGCTGCTGCCGTGCCGCCACCGCACAATTTCTGTTCACATCCTGAAGCAAAGTTCTTAACCCGAGGTTCTTAACCACCATGATTAAAATATGCAATCAAACAATTCCATTCAAACAGCACAGCAATTAAAACAGATGCATCTTCTAAAGCAAGTAGAATGTCAATACAGATGGGGGCCTCTTGTATTTCTGCAAGGTATACATGCCTCAGCACTGGTGCCAGCAGTTAAAAAGTCCATCGCTGCATCATCACAAGCCAACAATCATCAGGTTGTGGCAGGACTAACTGGGATCTTAATGCTTTTACCCGGCAATGGAGCAGAGGTCCATCAGGTAGCCTGGTTCAGGGCTGTTTAGGGCGTTATATCAATCAATCAATCAAAGAACTAAAAACTGGCTTGATAGCCAACAGGCAGTAAGTGTTGATCCCTTCACAGTTGGCATGAGGTGTATCCAATATGGGGCACTACTTGCCCCCTGGATCTCAGCATTCTATACCAGCTGCAGCTTCCAAAGCAGCTGTCAGAAAAGTTCACAGTGCATTATAGTAGTCTAAACATGAGGTTATCAGTACATATGTCACAGTGGCCAAACTACATTGTCCAGACTCCAGGAAAGTTGACTAGGTGCTCTTCACCAGCGAAGTCCCTCAATGCTATTCTCTGAGATCCATCATGCAAGCTTGAGCAGAACCACCACAGAACAGTCTATAAACCTGATTTATAAATCTACCCTTGCAGGTTACAAATTGATTTATACCATTAGTGGCAAGGGATAATTTATTCCTTCTGCTCAGTGCTCCACTGCAGTGGGCCTTGGACCCAAGAGGGGCAGCTGCCCGCGCTTGAGTTGAACCAAAGCTAGAGAAAGGCTTGCTCAGGAACTTTTCCAGGGCTCACTACTCAGCCCTTCACATGAAACAACAGAAGCCAGGATACCTTGTAGCTTGTGTGGCCCCTAAAGAATAGCCCCAGCTGTTTGCTGGGTTCGAATCAGGATGGGCTTGCAAACCTTGAGCTTCTGGCAGATTTCAGCCTCCATCTCCTTCCATGTTGACAATCCTACACAGGCTACCCTCTTGTTGATGGGGTCTTGATCACTTTTGCTGGCAGATACCTTTGTATCTTTCAACAGCAGAAATCAAAGAGGTAAAGCCACAGAATCTACCGAGCGTGTCCAGCGCAACGCTGCACGTGCCTACTCGGGAGTAAGCCTGCGCCGAGTTGAACATAGCAGCGGGCGCAGGGCTCCAGCCTGAGTTTCTAAAGGGAAGGACGCAGCTAAAGAAGCAGAAACCTCGTGCGCCGTGGGAGCTATTCCGAGGTACCTCGCTGCTCCCCAGCCGAGTGACCCGCGGAGCCAGCCTTGGGGAGAAAGCGAGGAAACGGCGCCTGGCGCTGAGCCGCAGCTCCCGCCCGGCAGCTGAAAGAGCACCCGCGGGCGAGACGCCTGCTCCGCCCGGCCCGGCCCTCCCGTTACCTGGCGGCTGCGTCCCCGCAGAGGCAGCGCCCCCAGCAGCACGGAGCGGTCGACGCGGCTGAACCAGGGCCGCTGCGAGCCGGGCAGCCACTCCCGCACCAGCGTGTACAGCAAGGTCGGGTAGAACAGGACCCGCGCGGCTCCGGGACCCAGCGCGCTCAGCACCATCGCCAGGCTGCCGGCCTCTTCGGGGCGGGGAGGGCCGTTAGGGCAGCTCATTGCGCTCGGCGGAGAGGGGGCCGGGCCGCAGGCATCTCGGCGGCGCGGACGTGCCCGCGCGTCCAGCCGCAGCTACAACTGTCGCGCGGGTGGGCGGGGGAGAGCAGCGAGCGTGCTCATTCGCGGACGGAGGGGCGCGCGCGCGGGGACGAGTCCGCTCGTTCCCTCGCGCGCCTTTATCTCGTTGGTGCGCCTCCTGCCCTGGGATGGTCTTTCCCGGAAGTGCCGCCATCTTGCGAAACCGGCCTGAGGCGGAGGGAGCCGAGCGGGGCGCGGGCGGATCCCCCGGGGCAGGCGCGAGGGCGGCGGCCGCCAGGAGGAGCCCGGGAAGGGCAAGGAAGGGAAGGCGCGCAGCCGACGGTGAGTCCGCTCAGTCCAGCTCGCCGGCGGCGGACGGGACGTCCATTTCTCCGCCTTATTAGGACTCTTCTCCCTCTTTTAATTGGGCCTCGTTAGGACCCGAACGACTTTCGCTTCCCTTCCCCGCTGGCGAGACGGGAGTTTGGGCGGCGGGGGGGGGGGAGGGAGGCTGCGCTGTCTGCCCCTTTTCTCTGCCTCACAACGGCCGCTGACGGGCCGCCAGCTGCGCGGGTTGCCTGCCTTCCGCGGGTGGCGGGGCGGGAGCGTCTCATGACCAGCCGGAGACTGTCCCAAACCGGGGGGGGGGGCGGGTGAGAAGGAGGGAGAAGCGGCTCTCAGGCGCTTGGGTGGCGGGCAGCGGCGGGTGTTGACGCTTGTCCCTTCCTCTGGTGTTTGCGCTTCTCCTGAAATAGTTGCTGGCGAGACATTCCGGGGTGGGGGAAGAATTTCGCAGGCGCGCTTTATCGCCCGCGGGGCTCCGGGGCAGCGCAAGCCGCTGGCGTCGCCATCCCCGGGCCCAGGGGGCGGGGCTCGCCTCCGAGAGGCTGAGGGTCTGACGCCACACGTCTGTGTCTCTCGCCTCGTTACGGAGCTCCGCTTTACCTTTGAGATATTACTCTCAACTTCCACTCCCTCGCCGGCAAATTTGATCCCCCGGGCCGTGATGATGACCCGCTGGAAAGTGATTCCGACGAGGGACGGGATGTACGATGTATTCCTGGCGGTTTAATGGATCCCAAGTGGAAGGAAAATGAGGAGGTCGGAATCCCTGGAAGATCGGCCACGTGCTGCGATTTAAATGACGACCCCCTGACTCTTGTGAAACGTCTCCCTGGCTTATAATGGCAGCCCCCTTAGCTCTCCCCTGGCCACTTGGCTCAGTCAGAGTAGTGCGCCACAAGTAGTTGGGGTGTTGTGTTTCGAAAGGCATTTTGCCAGTAGGGGAGAAATAAACGCAGTAAACTTAGAGCAGAGGCAGATGAGTGAAAAGGTAGTCAGTGAAGTACAAATGGAGGAAAGAGGGACATGAGGGAGATGCTTTAAAAAATAAAATAAAGTACGGGTTGTACTAGTACTTTAGTCACGTTATGTGGGTATGGTTCAGTGCTAAACTACACAGATACTTGCATGGTTCATATATGTGGTTTCTTGTGTGGGAATTGCTGTACTGCACTTTCGCCCATAAATTTATTAACTTACTCTTAGGATACTAATATATGAGAAAATACTGCATGTATATGCTGCTTCCTTGTTCCATGTACTGCTCCATTGCAGGAACATACAGTACTAGAACAGTTTCTCTTGCTGCAGAAGAGGGAAGTGTTGCTGGGAGACCATTTTCTGTACAGTTTTACATGGTCTGGAATTTACTTCTCTCAGTTTGCTATAGCTAGGTCTTTTTTCTTCTTCAAATGCTTCTAGAACTATTCACTTTTGCCACTTACATAAAACATTCATGTAGTTCCTAATGTTTCGTTTCCTTACTATGTTCTGAGTACAATGGAGAAACAGGATATTGGGAAGTGGCTGTCAAGGTGGACACGAAGAGAGGGCATTATCTATCCTATGCCTCTGTGTAATGTGTTTTCATTGCAGTATACTATACTGCTATGATGGCTGCTTCTTTGCCCCTTGATGGGGCGGAAGCATACTGAAGTTGGCTGTCAGACAGAGTGGTCCCTCTGCTTCCTCCAGGGTCACACTACCTGTTTCAAGGCAAGGGGGAAAGGTGTAGTATTAGGGTAGATGAACAGAAAGGATAGGGCACAGAATGGCTTGAAAAACTGATTTGAGGGGGGAAGGGATGGAGTGAAGGGAAATAAGGCAATGAGCAAAGAGCACTTCCTCCACCCCAAGGGAAAATGGGATATTGGTTCCTATTTCTAAAAGTGTCTGAAACTGCATACCTTTTTACTTTCTCTCAGATATGTGGAGTGGCTATCTTGAAGAATACTGCTCCGGGTAACCCTGAGATCACAGGATGGAATAATGTTTTTGAATGAAATTGTTCTTTGAATGTTTTAACGGTTTTGGAATGTTTTTGTTTTTAAATTGTGGATCTATTTGCTGCCCTGGACTCCTTCAGGAGGAAGGGTACGGTATAAATTCAATCTATCAGTCAATAAAAATGCAACACTTAGATATATTACTGAATGATGGTGGAGACTGACCTCTCTCCTATGGGGAGGGGATAGAGTTCCTTAGTCCTTCCACTCCAAAATCATAGGCATTCTGCTAGTTGATTGCTATACCATTTTGTGGTGGCTTTGTCTACTATTTTAGAGTTGGATTTTTGTACACTGTAAATGCCCAATTATTCACTTGATATACATTTGCTTGCATTTGGCAACTGAATGTTTGTGCAGATTTTTGCTGCCCTTACAAATTATTTAGTGTGATTCCTGACTGCATTTTTGTGTGCATCTGGTCATTAGGTTTGTTCTTTCCATATTTGTTTCATCTAGTTAGAACATTCCAAGTGTTAAAAGTGAAAACACACTGAGCTGATTTGCATGTCATGTTCAAGTCAGGGGTACCTAATCTGTGTCCTCCAATTGTTGGTTGACTGCAGTTTCCACCATCTCTAAGAACATAAGAATATCCTGCTGGATCAGACCAGTGGCCCAACTAGTCCAGTATCCTGTTCTCACAATGGCCAATCAGATGCTTGTTAAAAACCAGGATTCCAACAACTGGTATTCAGAAGGATTGCTGCCTCCCAACTGTGGAGGTGGAGCATAGCCATTATGGCTAGTAGGCATTGAGAGCTCTCTCCTCCATGAATTTGTCTAATAATCCTCTTTTAAAACCACCCAAGTTGTTCACCATCATTGCTTCCTGGGGGAGTGAGTTTGACTATGTGCTGGTTGTAGACGTACCTTCTTTTATCTGTCCTAAATCTTTCAACGTTCAGTTTCATTGGATGTTGATAAGTATTATGAGACGGGAAGAAAAAAAATTATCTGCACTTTGTCCATTCCATGCATAATTCTATAAGCATCTACCATGCAGCCACAGAAAGCCCTCTCCCTGGTTCCAATAAAAAAAGATATATATTAGTGGGACCAGAAGTAGGACCAGAAACAAATACACAATCTGAGTCCATATTTGTTCCTGCAGCATGGATTAAATCATGTGTCTCTGTTTTGCTTTAAATGAGGCTTGCTTATTTTTTGCTTGCTGTCATGCATAGCTGTCAATGCAAAGATAGAGGTAATCCAATCTATGTGTCTCAGAATGAAGGCTGATTGGTGGGTTCATGAAGGGATTTTTGTCCAGTGTAAAATGTGATACACCAGAGTGTGTATCATCCCTGACACATTTTAAAGTATATGGAATCTGGTGCTTTCCATATGCACTTGTCCTTAATATATTTCTTGCTGTAAGAGTAGCTGCAAAATTGGAAATGCCCGTTTTGTTTAATTCAAAAATGCACTGTCCTGAAGATGTCTTCATTACTTCTTCATCTCTGGATGATCTTACAGATGTCTCTGGACACTTTTTTTCCAGACATATGCTATTCCACCACCATTTGTGTTTCTGGGTATCTGGGCAATGCTTGTTTAACTTGCCGGTAAATACAGTACCATTGTCTATGAAGAAGTCAGCCTAGTCCTTGAAGGCCTCTTCTTACCCAGGGACTAACTTATTTAAGAGCCCAACCTTATCAGCTTAAATCCTGCCTTGTTATACAGCAAATTTTTCATGCCTACCATCCACTTCTTCTTTTCCCTAGCTTGAGCGTGCAGCATAGTGATTTCCTTGCAGCCTGTCTCTGAAGCTGAGTTGCATGGCCGTGATAACCTCATTGCAAGGCCGAGAACATTGCAAGGCCGAGAATAAGGCCGATACTAGTACAGGCCCCAGAACTAGTATCCTTAAAAGTATTATTATTAAAAAGTACCACTCATTTCTTAATTTTACCATTGTGAAACTGTAAAATATTCTTATGCTGTTCAACCTAACTTTATTTTTAAATTTATGCATGTGCTAAGAAAGACAGTTACCTTAATTTCTGCCCCCCCCATTTATTTTTCACAGGAAAGTGAATATCATAATTCCCAGACCAAGCTGTCAAAATTATGTCTGTATTTGTCACCTTGCTCCTGAATTTGTCTGTATCACTCTGTCTTTTTTATGAATGTAATTATAACTAGTCTGCATGCATGCAGATCCTTGTCTGTCCCATTGTTCAGAAATTTTCTGTAGTATCCACTTGTCCATTAACATTTGAAAAGTGGGTGAGTTTAACACATTTTCCCCTGTCAATTAAGTTTCCTTGCATCTGTTCATGGCATCTAGATTTTTGGTTATATAAATTGGACATTTTCTTCACTAAACATATTTTGCTACATTTCTAAATGTGAAATAGCTTCGTTAACTCTCACTGGGTATGTATATATTAGCGGGCAGAGCAGAAGCTAGTTTCTCTTAGCAACCATGTAAGGGTAAAACTGCTGAATTTTTTGCTCCTTAAGAGAACTTGGAGCTAAAACAGTTCTTCATGTCTTCTGTATTGGTACAAATGCTGCAGACTAGCTTGCAGAGTGGATGGCCTTGTGTGTTGCATTGTATTTCAACCAGGCTTCCAGTCCCTGCATTTGCCAACCTGTTAGTTTGTATGCATTTTTGCTACAACTGGGGGCCCAAGCAAAAGATGATAATGTTGGTCTCTGGCAGTGCTAATGGACTTGGAATATATCTTGTTGATAAAGTAACTAGTCTGTGAATGGGTTAGCTCAGAAGATCAGAGACTTAAACTTTGAAACAATGAATATTTTTCATCGGGGGTGTTTGAAGACCCTGTCATCGGTTGGGAGAAATATATTTATGAAAGGGCATTATAAATTCTGTAATTATTTGATAATGTGGGCCCATAAACTTTGAGTTGGCATACACACCAACCATTATTATACTTAGAAAACTTGGGAGAGGGGTGAATTTGTGCTTGGGTTGGAGCTACCAAACCAGGGAGACTTGTGCTGCTTCTGCCTTTGAAGTCCAGTGCAAAATGAAAGGCACGGCCCCATAGGACACTGTGTTCTAAGGTTGTGCACCACATATTTTTGCTGCTTGCTTCCTGTGATGGTATCTCAGGAATATGGTGTGCTGCATTTTGATGCAATATTATCTCCCAGATAACCAGAGAGATTTAACATCCATGAGCTGTTCAAAAGCATACTGGCTTGAGTAGGTATTACTGTGGCTGGAAAGTAAATGACATTTCCATGCACTCTGGCTTCCATCATGGTGTCACATTGTGCCATAAGTGGTTTACTCATGTTGGCCACATGACCTGGAAAACTGTCTGTGGACAAACACTGGCTCCCTCGGCCTGAAACCGGAGATGAGCACTTCACTCCATAGTCAAATTCGACTGGACAATGGTCAAGGTTGATGGGAGTTCTATTACTACTACTACAGTTTAGTATCCCCCCCTTTATCCTAAGATCCCAGAATTAAAATGCAACATTAATATTCATACAGTGGTACCTTGGTTTAAGAACAGTCTGGTTTAAGAACGATTTGGTTTACAAACTCCGCAAAACCGGAAGTAGTGTCCCAGTTTGAGAACTTTACCTCGGTCTAAGAACGGAATCTGAATGGTGGAAGGGCACCGGCGGCGGGAAACCTCATTAGGGAAAGCGCACCATGGTTTAAGAATGGTTTCGGTTTAAGAATGGACTTCCGGAATGGATTAAGTTCATAAACCGAGGTACCACTGTACACAATTTCCCACAATATTAAAAACAGTTTAAAGCGACTTAAAATTACACAAATAAAATGTGTCCTTAAAATATACATCAATTGTCAAAAGCAAGGCTAAAGAGGTGTAGTCCAGAACATATGGGGGACACCAGGTTGGGGAAGGCTGCTCTTTTCCCACTTTCTGTATATAGACAAACATTCACAAACATGCACACTGATTACCTTCCTCACATCTTTTCCCCTATGTTACATGTTACCTGGAAAACAGTAGCCTCTTGGAGGAGCCAGAAGGTTTAGCCTGTAAGCCTTGTCCATGAAAAACAAAAACTTTGTTATAGCTGTAGCTGGTGTCCAGGAGACAGTTCTGTTTAGTTGATTGCTGTTGTTCATTGTAGATCAGCTTCAGTGGGGTGCCCTCAAAGAAGAGATTGCCCTTTTGGCTTGGGTGTATGGTGAAGGCAGTTGGGTGTGGATGGGCTTGCTCCTACAGCCCCAAGTGAGAGATTCAAGCGAGGCAGGAGGGATGGATATGAATGTTCTGGCTTCCAAGTTAGAAATGCAATGCTGGGGAATTGTGTCTGTTGTGAGAGCAGATTGCAGCTCACAAATACATATCCTGTGTGGTTGGAGATATTTGTTGATATTGTGATCTTATATTGTTTGGCATTTACAGTCATACCTTGGTTTTCGAACAGCTTTTGAACATTTTGGCTCCTGAATGCCACAAACCCGGAGGTGAGTATTCTGGTTTGTGAACTATTTTTGGAAGCCGAACGTCCGGCAGGGCTTCCGATTGGTTGTAGGAGCTTCCTGCAGCCAATCAGAAGCCACACTTTGGTTTTGGAAGTCAGACTTCCACAATGGATTCCGTTTGATTTCCAAGGTATGACTGCACAATACTTTTATACTTTTTTTGAATTAATATGCTGTTCATCACATCTGGGGCCTTCATACCAAAAGCTGTTTATATACAAATCATAACATGAATATTTGCACACAAACATGCAAGCATTCACAACCATGAAACTTAACAACATCATAACTTCTTTTCAACACTCTCCATACCCAGTGCATCTGGTTGAAGGTATGTATGAAGATACAGAGTGCTCTGTGTGTGTTTATACAAATATTTGCCTTCTACTTACCCAGTTTGAAATGTTTTATCTCCCTTAAACAATACAGTCATACCTTCGCTTACCTAAACTTCAGGATCCGTAAGCGGCAAACTCGGAAGTATATTTCCGGGGTTTTGCCACATGTGCAGAAGCGGTCCCTCCAGTTGCGGAAACCTCGGGATCCAACCGGAGCTCCGGAACGGATCCCGTCCACAACCGGAGGTACCACAGTAGAGAATTTTAACTAGGTCAAATAAAGATGTTCTGTTTGGGTGTGGCCAGTCTACTACGTGGCTGGCAGTCTTATGTTATACCATACACACTTGCCTGGAAGTAAGTTTCCTTTGAGATCAATGGGATTTACTTATTAATTAGTATTGCACTGATACAGTTATCTACATCACAGTTGTATTCCATCTGAGGAGCTTAGTGTTCTAGCTTCGCTAGTTGTCCTGAGAGATGTGAGCTCCTTGTCCCAGTAAATTTCATAAGCAAGTGACCCACTTTCTCCGGCCATAGGCACTGCCCTACTAGATCACCATCTAGTCTAGTCCATCATTCAGTTTCCAGGAAGGAGAAACAGGGAAGGTGGAACAAGCTTTTCCCCCTGCTATTCCAGAGGGTAGGAACTGAGCGATTGGATTCAAATTATAAGATTCCAACTAAGCATTAGGAAGAACTTTCTGATGGTAAGAGCTGTTTGACAGTGGAACTGACTCCTTTGGGAGGTAGTGGACTCTCCTTCCTTGGAGGTTTTTAAGCAGAGTTTGGATGGCCATCTGTCACAGATGATCGCAGGGAGCTGGACTAGATGACCCTTGGTATACCTTCCAACTCCATGATTCTATGAAACCAATTGAGTCCTAGGAAGATTGCAAGCATCTTGTATTATTAATATGGCATCTTGAGGTGTGTTTCCTCTGACTATGAAAAAGCTGCTTAGCTATCATGGCTGAATTCTGTTAATTCCCCTAGGACTCTGAGTTCTAGGGGAACTCCCCCGAACAGATTGTTGTTGTTGTTTGGAGACTTCCGTGGGCATAAGCAGATTTCTGTTGTGCAAGTGGGTGGACATCATTGGTCAGTTCACATTTTCTATACTGGGATGGCTAATCTGTGGCCGTCCAGATTTTGTAAGGCTACAATTTACATAGGGGTTGTATGCAGCCAAATCATTTTGCATGTCAAACAACTTCTGCAGGTGCAACAGAACTTCCACTCCCTCTTCTCTGGTGTGAAGCCCCAGTCTGATCTGGGGTTTTCCCCAAGCCTCAGAGCAGATTTGGTGTCAGTGTAGGGGGAGGAAGGGGAGAGGGAGTTCCATTATGCTCACAGAAGTTGCATACACAGTGATTTAGGTGGAGTCGATCTATAATTGCTGACCATTGACCGTGCTGGCTAGGATTGATGGGAGTATGAAGTCCATCAACATGTGGAGGTCACAAGTTAAGGTCCCCTGTCTACATTATTTGAGTAATTACAGCAGGGCTGTCTTTAGCATATGCAACACCGGGGTGCAAAGATCCGTCCAGCATCCCCAATTTTTTGGGGAGGGGGGAGCCAAAGTTGAGTAGGAAATAACTGCTTTTGTTTCCTGACTCGTCGGGAATATTTGACACTGGGGGGGGGCAGGAACTTTCGCTCCATTGCTTTTCACTGCCGCCGATTGAGAGGAACCGGTATACAGTTGGTATGCATTTGGCGCTCCCCAGAATTCGGCGCCTTGCACCCCTGGGTAAAGACAGCCCTGAATTACAGCTAGTTTAGACACCCCTCATTGTATGTGTGAAGTTAGGATTTTCTGCTGTAATGAATATCCCTTTGCTACTCATTTGGTATTTTGTTGACCATTTAGTATGTGTGAAATTTAGCCAAATCACTGGGGGCTTGATAAAATTGCTGCAAATGCAGGATGTGATCCATGAGCTATCAGTTGACCATTCTTGCTGTGTATTATAAAAGCATAAAAGAATGATTTCTTTGGCATTGCCCAAACCTCATGGGGGACTGTTAACACGAACAACTTGCCACATGGAGCCATACCCACTTGGTTGAATTGCAGGTTGCCATCTTCTTTAGTTTTTGTACATAAACAAGCCATTATCTCTTGTGGACAGACATGTTCCTACGCTGCCAAGGATATTGGACTGAGTGTTGCATTCCCTCCCCCTTTAGTTTAGTAAATCTAATAAGCAGCAGAGCTACTGTGGCTTAAAGGATGTCTAGAGTAGTTTGTAAACTAAAGTTGTAGACTACCATGAACCAGTGTCAGGAAAGTAACTTTGGTTCTATTATGAGAGGTCAGTTCACTGGATCTATAGGTTTTGGTCTCAGAGAGATGGCTCATATATCACAGAGAAGCACACTTGTTTTCTATTGTAACATGCAAAGTGGGACTCTTATTTACTGCTTTTGCTGCAGTTAAATATAGTCATCCCTCATTTTGCATGTAATGGCAGAAGCACAATCAATTCATCCTTCTGCTTCCCCCCTCTTGAGTTTAGAATCCTCTATCTTTAACCTCAACTGCTGATTTACACTCCTCAAAAGAGAGGAGTATTGAGTGTGATGGGGGGAAAAGATTTAAAGAAGTTGGGTTACATAATCATAACAACATAAGAGACTAGCTGGATCAGACCAAAAGCCCATCTAATCCAACTTTCTGTTCTCACAGCAACCAACCAGACGTCTGTGAAAAACACTCAGGCAGAACATGACACATAACAGCACTTCCTACTTGTGTTTCCCAGCAACTGATATTCAGAGGCATATTGCCTCTGATAGTGGAGATAATATAGTTATTGTGAACAATAGTGAGTGATAGCCTTATCGTCCATCAATTTATCTAATCTCCTTTTAGAGTCATCAGAGTTGGTGGTCATCACTTCTTCAACTTGTACAAGTGAATTCTGCTGTAGAAAAAAGTGCTTTTATCTGTCCAGAATATCCCACCATTCAGTTTCATTGGGTGACTGGATTCTGAGAGGAAGGAGATCTATTTCCATTTTCTCTACACACTTTAGCTTTACACACCTCCATCATGCCCCCCTTATTGTCATTTTTTAAAGCAAAAAGCCCCAAGCCTAATCTTTCCTCACAGGGGAGATGCTTCAACCTCCTAATCATTTTGGTTCTCTGTGTTCTCATCTTCAGTTATTTTTATTGAGGTAAATTATACTGACTCATACTTCAAAGAAAACCAATAAGCAGTTAACCATCTATGTATAACTAGTAAGTTTGAGCACTACAGCTTTAGGACAATGAGCATGCAACTGCCTTTAACATGACAGTCATTCTCCAGAAGTGGTTGTTGAAACAGTAAATATAAGCCATCATATTACCAGGCACTTAGCTTCTGACCTGGTTTGCAAGTAAGAACAATAGAAGTAATAGAGACTAGCCAGGAAATAAACAAGCTAACTAAATGGAGATTGGTACATTCAACAGGTATCAGAGTTGATTTCTACGGTAGTTCAGAATTAGCCTTGAAGGCACCAAGGAACCCGAACTTCATATGAAAGAAGACACTCCATGGTAGGTGTAGGAAAGTTAATATGCATAATTTACCCACCTTTTTTTTAGAACTATGTGTCAGTTTGGTAAAACTTGCGTCTGAAGAAGGTTTTAACTAATGTGTGGGAAAGCAATTTTGGAAAAGGAGAAAGGACTTCAACTTCATGCCAGAGCTTGAGAGTTTAACACTGTGAGAATTTCAGACTGAATTGTGCATTGCAGTGAAAAATGCTATCGATGATTTTTTCATATCTTGTAGCTAGCATATTAAGAAATGACTTCTTTGGCCAGGAGTCTCTAAATTTCACCTTGTTTTCCAAGTGAAATTGGGAAGCTTACCAATAGGTTCAATTGGGATTTCTCCCTGTTCTATATGCCATTCTCAAGGCTGAAGTGAAATGTTGTTCTATTGAAGGAAGTAGAAATCTTACCCAGCCCCACATAGCAAGCATGTTGAGCCTGGTTATATATATGTTGAGCCAGGATTTAATAAGCTTCCACCATCTCATAAAATGTGATTAGTTGACCTCAAACCAGGAAAGCAGTGTAATGATGCTTGTTTTAAGAATATTCTACCTAAAGAAATATTTAAGGGCTCATACTTTTGTGGTAGTGAGTTTGATTGGAAGCTATGAAGCTAGTTTGTGTTCTTTTCTGCTCTGTTGCACACAACTATCTTCATGGATCTGACACTCTGTTTATCTGACAGTGCACTCAGTACTGCTTTGCCAGGGAAAATTGCACAAAACAAGCCCAGTGCATCAGCATTTTCATTGTGTACTGAGCTGAGTCTCTCTTCACATGGTCACATCCCCTTTTTAATCCTGGTCCTCATGTTTCTTTCCCAGTCCAGCCTGTTTTTGTGGTGTCTGTTGCTGGTCTCCCCAAGCTTGTGTTCTTGTGGTTTGAGTGTTATTTTGTGTGGATCACTGTGTTAAGACTCTCAGAAATTAAGTGGTGGTGTTCAATTGGTTCGACAGGACAGTGATCTAGCATTAGTGGTTTGTGGTAAGCAGAGAAGTGATGGCTGCTTTTAAGTTGGATTTCCTCCCAGAAATGATGGTGGATCATTGCTCCTTGAATGCCAGCCCTATGTGAGTATTTTGTTTTCATAGCTAATCTACATTAATGCTGATTGCTTTCAATTTGTTCTTTTGAAGGTAATTGGTGGGGGATTTTATTATTGTTCTGTATTAAGGGAAGAACCAAAAGAGGCATATAAGACCCTAGAGTTAATTTATGGAAGAGAGCCTAAAAAATGCTTGGAGTTAATACTCCATGAACAAGAACTCAATTGGGGACAGTATGTTAAGTTTGTACCCAGCATAGGATTATGTTCCAGGGTGAGTTAATTTTAGAGAAATACACTTTATGGTTCACATAGCCCTTAAGATACAAATAAATTAAATTCTGCACTGTATGTGGCACATCCTTGCAGTTCAGGAGGGAATGCCAAATACATTCTTGTGAAATTTTATAGCTTGATTTGTAACTATTGTACTTTTTTAGCATGTTAGATTTGCAGTTTTACACATTAAGTTAATTTTCTGCTCCTTGTATGTGCAGACACCTTAATATACTTCAAACACAATAGTAAAGTTTACTGATCAAAATTATATGGTATGGATGCATGTAGCTATCAAAGCATCATTCAGAGGCATTTAATGGTCGTGGTATTAGCTTCATTGGAATAAACTGTTTACAGGTAAGTGTGGGGCATCTATTTTCTTGATTTTAATCCAGAAAGATCCCAAATGTGTGTTTTAATCCCAAAGGATCCCTATTACAATTGCACTGGGGCTACTTCTGGCCCCTTCAATATCTAACTTTGCTCTGGGTTATCAATTTAACATACATAGTAGAAAGCGACTAGCATGGTTGGTTGCACCATGTGTGTGCATTGTGTTTCAGAGTACAACAGAAGAAACTCTACATAGTGAATTTACAAACACTCATAATTCAACACTAGGTGATGATGTAGTGTATTCATTGGAGTCTGAGTAAATGGGGGGAAATAGTATTATTTCAGTAACATGTATTTGGACTTGGTTACAAAAGGGCAAGGAGACACGCCTGTTTATACCTAGATCCAAAACATGTTGTTTGGGGGTTGTATCCAATTAATTATACTTGGAGTAGACCCATTGAAATTAGTGAACCTAAATTAGTTATGTTTATTGATAACTTTGGTTTATGTTTCATTCATAACTCTTAGTAGTACTTGCATTGGATACAACCCTAGGAGTCTGTAATCCAGCCAGTTTTGCACAACTGGCTACACTTGTTAATTTATGGATTCCAGAAATCCTGATGCAAAGGCCTTTTGAGAATCAGCTATCTGTATCAGCTGCAGTTTCAGTACTTTCGTGTATCACAACCAATATGTGAAAATAAGGGCTGTTGATTTTATTAATCGTTTAGATATGACTTCTAGAACTTAGCCCCTCTCTTTTTTATTAAGAATAAAAAGGCAAGTTATTTTCTCTCAATTGAGTTTACAGCTTCAGATTAATTTTTTTAAAAATCAAATATTTTCCTGTTGAAAAATGCTGGGAAGCTTACGGCAATTTCTAACATTAAAAATACAAATAAGAAATTAATAGCACATAAAACAAACTCATTGTAAATATAATATTGGGGAGCACAGCAATGAGATAAAATATTGAAAGAGTAATAATATTATCTCTTAGGCTTCAAAGCCCTGTTGAAGAAGCCTTCCTTGGTTTTTTGATAATCAGTAAAAATAATTCACATTTGCTTGTCCCTCACAACTGAGTTTCACACTGCATAAATTGCTCTATTACATCCTATTGCGGTTTTAATTTTCTTGAAAGATAGGAATTTGAAATGCATTTTAAAGAAAATTGGACCTGTAACATAAAAAAATAACTATTTGATGGTTGAATACTTCAAACTTTTTACCTCAGATCCTTAGTTCCTTTAGTTCAAGGATTAATTTGAGGAAAACAAGTTCAGTTTTCCAAGATTCATTTTCAAAATGTTTTTAATTATTCAGAGTTTGGCATATTGGATCACTATAAGATACCATCTTAGAGTAATTATGCAAAGTAGACATAATTAAAAATCCAGTTTTATTCATTTGAAAAATAACTGGCCTGCCTTGTTCTGATATTTATTGATTCTACATAATCTTACTGTTCTCTTAGGTGTGGAATGGTGGGTAACCATTCAAGGTAGCAGTGAGATCACACAGATCCAGTTTTCGGAGCATGTCCTAGAAGTAGGATTGGAGGCAGTCTACAAACAGGCAATGCATGTTGCACACCCAATCCAAATTTGGTTTTATTCATCTCTCTCTCTCTCTCTCTCTCCCCCTTTCTTAAAAAATCTTTTAAAGGTGTGGGTCTCCTGAGGAGTCACAGATCGAGTTAAATGAAGCATATCCACACTTACTGATACTTTCATACAACAATATCTACAGCAGATTAGCATACAAGTCCATAAAATATACTAGCAGTAAAAAAAGGATTTATTTCAGAATAAATCCTTTTTTACTGCTAGTATGTTTTATGGACTTGTACCTGATTTTTAAAAAATAAAAATAAAGTCACAAACCCTTTAAAAACAAAATAACAACAAAACAAAATAAAACACCAAAATCATACCATTTTTGATAGGAAAGGGGTTAAAAATAAGTTACATATATAAAATAAGAAAAAGAACAAAACCACCCAAATCTCTTTATAAAACTTTGCTGTGGAAAAGATAAGTCTACATAACCTATAACAGCAGCAGCCTGAAAGAAACATAAATGCTTTTCACTTTGTAAAGTCTTGCTGTTTGATTGCCTGGAGGCAATTCTTAACTTTCAGTATTGGAGAAAACTAAAAACATTTTTATAGAGTTTATGAATAAATGGGTCAGCCATCCCCTGATAATAATCACTTGAAAATAATGGCACTTAACGTGGTTCACAAGAAGGAAAGTGACAAAAATAACAACTGAAGTTAATACTGTACAAAAAGTTACTCCCTTGCTGCTATTGCAGCATGACTTTCAGATTCTGCAATATTAGCCCTGTGTATGTTGTATGAAGTTGGAGTGAACAGTGTATGCCTTTGGGGCAGCATGATGTTAATACAAGTCTACCTCCTGTCCCTTCACCACAACCTTATTCTCCTTTTTCCTCCCTGTAGCTAGACTGTAAAGCAGGGATGAAAATCTGTGTTTCTTCAGATGTCATTGAACTCCATCTTCCATCAGCACCAGCCAACATGGCCAGTGGTCAGGGATGTTGGGAGATGTAGTTTAGCAACAGCTGGAGGGTTGCAGATTCCCTAGTTCTTATCTAGAGAAACCACATAGGCAAGGGAAAGCTTTGGCAGTTTTTTGGTGGTCTGTGGTCCAGATGCCTAATTCTTTGTTACTGAGATCTGAAACTCAACTGCCTAAACAATAAGTCCATGGTGGAAGCAACATCTAGTAGGGGCAATCAGTATGTTCATACAAAATTCCACAGAATGGAAGAACCTGGAAGTCTCAGTAAATATATTATTTACAGTCTGTTCCAGTATTCTGAATAGTGCTTCTTCCTTTGTCTCAAATTCACAGATTATCAATAGGATTGACAAACAGTCAGTTGACTGACTGTTGTTTGACTTTGGTCCAGTAAAGCTAAGAACACGACTGTGGGTTTTGTTATTTTAAATTTTGCAACTGTACACTGGCCCTGGCATTCTATGGTAAAAGTCAAAAGACAAGAACTGTTCAGTGAATTATTTCAGTCAGTAGAAATTGTACTTGACATGGTTAAAAGTTATAATAATTCATTATTTTTATTATTAAAAATCCAATGTTTTACAATAACAATTAATTTGTTTTTGTAATTAATGTAAGTATTAAATGTTTTGATGATGAGAGTTAATTACTAGGTTGAATCTGTGTGCCTTCTGATATTAAAGCAAGGTTGCTATTTTTCTTGACTTGTTCAGTTTTGAAAAAATATGTCACAGTGTCTGTGGATTATGAAATACTGGTTTAAATAGGAAGACATTGAATGCCTATAAGTGGAATGATCAAATGGGAAATTCAGATTCCTTTGTACAATGCCCTGCTCATTTAAACCTGAAACTCAGCAATCTACCATTGTAGCACAATTACCCTAAAGTGCTGACTACTGTGGTTTGGGGCTAGGGGAGCAGGAAGGAAGCTACTCATCTAGCAACAAATCTGAGTGGTGCAGTGCAGTGAATGGATGTTGCTGTTTTCTTGTCCCCCCAAAATATGCTGCCTTTAAGCTTGAAAGGTGAAACAAGTTTGAATGTACACCTCATAGTGCAGGGGTGGGTAACTTCTGCTTACCAGGCCAAGTTTGGCTTGCCGCTGGTCCAGTTTGGCTCATGAGGCCGTTTCCCCCAAACCATGCCTGCCCGCCCATCTTATCAACATCAGTTGATAAGCAGAAGGACAGGATTTTATCCCTCATTGGCTGTGCCACTTTGGTGTCTGCAGGGAACAGGATCATGCTGCCTAGGAAACAGGATTTAATATCAACTCATTAAATGACATCACATGACTGACAGGTGGAGAACCCTTGCTGGAGCAGTGTGAACATGAGGGTGGAGGTGCTTCAGAGAGCAGTTAGCCAAGCCGCTCTCTGCCTGTCTTCAAAGAACAAAGGGTCTTAACCTTTGCCCAGCAGCTGATGGGTGAGCCTTGGCTGCACAAACCTCTTCCCGGCTCCCCACCTCTGCCATAGGGGCATATCTGTTCCCCATCTTCCTTTTTTCTCTAACTGACGCTGAATTGATCTTCACATGTCATTGCTCCTGGATGTCTGCTCAGTCCATTGAATTGCCAAAGTATACAGACACAGTTCAAGTTTGTGAAATAGTAAACTCAGTGATCCTAAGTGACCTGTCAAGGATGATGCTGAGTTTTGGTATTAGTATAGATATGTGGCACCTGCAGCAAAACCTTGCAGTGTGTCATCACTTCTGAATATGAGTGCTTTTCAGAGTTTCAGCTGGTCTTTTCTTCCATGCAGAGTATTATACCCAAACCAAACCATTGGTCTATTTTTAGGATTCCCATTCAGGAATTTTATTTTTATGGTTTTAAAAAAAAATTTAAAGTTCTATATGTCTGCAAACATTGGGTTCTCCCAGGCAGGTTGACACCTCCCTTTTGTTTCTCAGTGGCCCTGTTTTGGCTCCCATTTTTGTTGACACTCAGCACTTTAGTTTGCTGTTAGAGGGATTGGTGATATTTTTTCATCTTTATACTTACTACTAAATTCATTAGTTTTAAGTACACCAACTTTTAGCTCAGTTTTCCTTTTTCAATAAACCATTATTTACCCTTTATACTTTATACAAGACTATAATACATTCTATTTCTAAGATGCTAACGTTTCTGGGGGAGAAAATGGCAAATTCATCTGAGACATCTGAAGGCAATCAAGTCTTTGGAAAAGTGTCTCTTCTCTCTTCCCACCACGTGCCTGGTTTTCAGTGGACAGAATATGTTCTCTGGATATCTCAGATAAGCAACACTTTGAGTTTTAATTATCTTTCTAATACATTTGAAGAAGGGTTGGTTGGGACAGAGTCTAGGAGGACCCTTACCATATGTTTCTCATTGACTCATGCAGCTCAAAGAAAATGAATGGCACACTAGACCATCCTGACCAACCGGACATTGATGCCATCAAGATGTTTGTGGGCCAGGTCCCACGGAGTTGGTCTGAAAAAGATCTGCGAGATCTGTTTGAACAGTATGGTGCTGTCTATGAAATAAATGTCCTGCGGGACAGGAGCCAAAATCCTCCTCAGAGCAAAGGTGAGAGCCCTCTCTTTTCTTTTTACTGGAGGTTTTGGTCCAAGATCATTATGCGTCTTATTGACACTTATTACTCTGAGAAAGCATGTCTTTGTGTTGTTTTGATATCACGATCCATGCATGATCTTCATGTTACTGTATTTGCTTTAGTAGCAAGAAAAGCAGATAGTAGGAAGGTTAGTTTAAATGTCTGTTGTTCTTAACATGCAGATGCAAACTTGGGCATGTCACTACATGTTGACAGTTTTATCGTTGAGCTGTACCTGCATAGTTTGCTTATTTTATAGGTTTTCTCCTGAAAAAGCATAAATGTGTGAAGTAGCCCTAAGTTGGGGACATAATTCACATAATGTTATTCCATTTGGGTGTCTTACTGATAAGATTCACAAGCAAGGAGTGCCCACTTGATGTCCATTGAAACATTTTCTACAAGATTGATCTGTCTTTTGACCTGTGCAACTCAGTCTCAAAGTGTGAAACAAGGCTCTCAAGAGTTTCAGGAAGTTGCCACAAAAGGTGTAAGCTCCTGACCCCCCATCTACTTCTGCCTTGAACTATTGACCGGGCCAGGAGGTAAGATTGTAGGAAAAGGTTTACTCTTAGTGTTACTAATAAGCATCTGATGAGGTGAGAATAAGGTGCAACCATGAGCAGTTAACTTGCAATAGTAAAAAAAGGGTTTTATCTGCTATATTGTGAATTCTGAAAACTAAAGTGTCATGCAGTGGAATGAGACCTCAAAATCCAAATGTCCATAGTGAAGGACGTTGCTTCAAGATGCAGATAAAGGGGACATTTTTTTTGCTCTCTCACTAAACAAAAGCTCCCTGCAAGTTGGGAAAAGATACTATTGTATTCGGGACCCTGTATCTTAAAAAGCAGAGACATCACCTTGCCAACAAAGGTCCGTATAGTTAAAGCTATGGTTTTCCCAGTAGTGATGTATGGAAGTGAGAGCTGGACCATAAAGAAGGCTGATCGCCGAATAATTGATGCTTTGAATTATGGTGTTGGAGGAGACTCTTGAGAGTCCTGTGGACTGCAAGAAGATCAAACCTATCCATTCTGAAGGAAATCAGCCCTGAGTGCTCACTGGAAGGACAGATCCTGAAGCTGAGGCTCAAGTACTTTGGCCATTTCATGAGAAGAGAAGACTCCCTGGAAAAGACCCTGATGTTGGGAAAGATGGAGGGCACAAGGAGAAGGGGACGACAGAGGATGAGATGGCTGGACAGTGTTCTTGAAGCTACCAGCATGAGTTTAACCAAACTGCGGGAGGCCGTGGAAGACAGGAGTGCCTGACGTGCTCTGGTCCATGGAGTCACGAAGAGTTGGACATGACTAAACGACTAAACAACAACATCATTCAAATGAGGAATAGTTGATTTCTTGTTAGTTCAAGTTCTGCATACCTCCAGCCTTGGGTCTTGTGAATACGTAAGTCACTTATATAATTGGGGCTGAAGTATGTTAAATAGTGAAGGCATTAGAAACATTACTTTTGATATGAATCTTACCCTTAAAATATTCAGAATTCAGTTAGTGGCAGCTTTTGACTTAATGCATTCTGCTATCAAATAATTTATGCTGGAATGGATTATTTTTATATGTTATGCATCATGTAACTTGTTTGCATTACAGGATGCTGTTTTGTTACATTTTATACCCGTAAAGCTGCACTAGAAGCACAGAATGCTCTTCATAACATGAAGATTCTCCCAGGGGTAAGACAATAGGCATCATCTATTTAATCTGCTCTTTCAATATTTCTGCATGAATCCACACTCAGGATGCCATCTTTTCTGGGATGGGGTATGTGGAGCCCCTTGGCTTGACTAATATAAATATAGGCGACTCCTCACCTACATGGGGGGTACATTCTGGGCCCTCATGTGCACAAGTGAAAAAACATATACAGTGGTACCTCAGGTTACATATGCTTCAGGTTACAGACTCCACTAACCCAGAAATAGTACCTCGGGTTAAGAACTTTGCTTCAGGATGAGAACAGAAATCATGCTCCGGCAGCGCGGCGGCAGCAGGAGGCGCCATTAGCTAAAGTGGTGCTTCAGGTTAAGAACGGACCTCCGGAATGAATTAAGTACTTAACCCGAGGTACCACTGTAGTTGGGAGTACCCTCTCAACACCCTTTAAACACCTTCTCTGCTTCTCTCTCTTCAATCAGTACCAAAAATAATGTATCCACAGCTAGAATTGAAGCCCTGGGTCTGGCAGGAGGACATACAGGAAAGGGGCAGCTGCTGTTGAGCTATCCTGCACATCAGCTGTTAGGTGGGAAGGCTGAGCAGCATAAACAAAGTCCTGCTGCATTTCAGGTCTCTTCAGGTGCTTCCTCTGTCCTCATTGACGTCCTCTTCAGGATTCGGGGAGGGTCTCCACGAGGACTCTCCTGCTATTTCCGGGTTTGAATTGAATTACTGAATTATTTCCCGGCACTTTGCGTGAGTTGATTGTGCATAAGTGGAGAGACGCCTGTACTGTCTTCTCTGTCCTCTGAATTAGTATCTGTAAAAATGGATTTATAAGTTCTCTGGTTACAACAGCTTTGAAAGGAATGTATAGTTGTGGCTGGAGGTGATTTACTCCCCAAAACTTGATTTCCACCTCTGCACTACTCCCAATCCTAATTGCTTTATCTGTGTTACAGATGCACCATCCCATCCAAATGAAGCCAGCCGACAGTGAAAAGAATAATGGTAAGTGTACGTAAAACAGGCTTTTTTCAAATTAATAAGTCTGTTGTATGGAAAGTTCATTGATTTTGACTTAGAAAACAGCATCCCATACTACTACTGCCTTTGTGCGTTGCCTTTTGCTTTGCACTTAAGAAGTGAAAGAAGCTGATCCCTCTCCCTTGGTTGAGGAAATGCTAATAATACTTCTACGGGTTCAGCTTCAAGTTCTATAAAGCATATTCATTGCAAAGGCTTCATTGTGATCCTAAAAGAAAAGGGAGAAAGCAATATATTTGCTTTCTCAGAACCATTTTGTTATCTTTGCTGCCTACTGAATGACGATAATCTCTGGCATATAGTTTTGCATCTAGAATTACAAGGCTGCTCTATATACACAACTTTCTCTTCTCTTACTATAAATCCTTCTGTTCTAAAAGAAGATTATAGTCTATTACAGTATGCAACGATTTTTTTTTTTTTAATGGATCATTGTATTCAGGCTTGCAAGCTTGTTTCATACTGGAAATTACCGTATTTTTTGCACCATAACACTCACTTTTTTCCTCCTAGAAAGTAAGGGGAAATGTCTGTGCGTGTTATGGAGCGAATGCCTGCGGGTGGCGGGGGGATCTGCTGCAGTCGTGAGCAGAGGATCCATGGTTCCCCTTCCTTCCCTCCTCCGTGGTTACAAAGCATGGATCCACATGGATCCTCAGGATTTTGCATTGGGCTACTCCAAACTCACTGTCAGATCACATGTCTGTGGCCACAGCATGAACCACAAAAATCATATATCCACTATTTCGTTTAGAATATATTTTTTTTCTTGTTTTCCTCCTCTAAAAACTACGGGCGTCTTATGGTCTCGTGCGTGTTATAGAGCGAAAAATACGGTACTTCGTAAAATCCACCTATGTTAAAGGAGAAATCACTGTCTTCTATTTATATTAAAAGGATGATCAATTTCTTAGTAATAAAAGCTGGTCAGTGTTTTTTGCACTGTAGACTACTTCAGCTTTTCATTTTCTGTGGTTTATTGATGTGTAATACATTCTTTGTTACAAATTATGTAATTATATAAAATACAAATATGTGCTCATTTGTCTATCAGTTTGTTCAAGAACAAACAAGTTGTTCATGGTTTAAATTCGTGGTTTAAATTTTAAATATGGTTTTACATTTTTGTGTACTGGAACAGCTTATTAATGTTGCCAACAAAAATATGCCAAATAGCAATGTACAATGAGAAGATCTCTCTATTTAATCAATTCTTAATCTAAATGACGGTATCCAGTGCTCCTGTTCTGCTAGTGGAGTTACTCTACAGAACAGAACTTCACTTCCTCTCCCTTACAGCCCCCCTGCCCCCTCAAAATCTGCTTCAAGGGCTTGGGGGACCAGATGGAGAAAATTTTGGGTTCACACGGTGAGGGGTGTGTTTGTAGATAAACTGTGAAGAAATCTATTTATATAATTTTACTTACTTCTTTAGTCAGGGCAGATAAGTGACTTTCCTTTTTGTTCTTCTCTTAGCTGTGGAAGACAGGAAACTGTTCATTGGGATGATATCAAAGAAGTGCAATGAAAATGATATCAGAATGATGTTTTCCTCCTTTGGGCAGATTGAAGAATGCAGAATTCTACGGGGTCCTGATGGCTTAAGTCGAGGTAAGCATGGGGAGCTGGTATGAAATTGATGATCGTTTTGGAGATCTCTCACACCCAAAGTATCTTACTGGAAAGCATTTTAAATCTTTGAAGTCAGCAGAATGTCCACCTCCCCTTTTTTTGTAAAAGGTTTGTGTAAACTTAGCAAGTGAATTTGATCCTATTATCTTCCCAGGTTGTGCTTTTGTAACTTTTACAACAAGAGCTATGGCACAAACAGCAATCAAAGCAATGCACCAAGCACAGACCATGGAGGTAAGAAACGTTATTTAGAGTAACTTGGATAGTTTGCATTGAGCATACACTGGCCTTAACTGTTGGAAAGAGCAGAAGGTTCTGTAACTCTGAAGTTTTCTAAGTGTTGCTGTATTGTTTCTTGGTTTGAACCCCCGCTACTGGCACGCCCACACATATCTCCAATTTTATGATAAATTTGATAAAGGTACATTAACTTTAAAACATGGGAAAACAGGGCTAGAACTCTGGAAGCTAGGAGATTGCTTTAATAATATTGGTGTGTTTTTCTAAATGATCAGAGTTATTTGTGGCATTTGGAGGTAATATATAAAGTATAATTATGTGAATTGATATTGCAGGGATGCTCTTCTCCCATCGTAGTGAAATTTGCAGATACCCAAAAGGATAAAGAACAGAAACGAATTGCACAGCAGCTCCAGCAGCAGATGCAACAAATCAGTGCTGCATCAGTTTGGGGAAACCTGGCTGGACTGAACACACTTGGACCCCAGTACTTAGCAGTGAGTTTCCCTGGCGGTTTCTGTGCAAAATCATTCGGTTTATCCACAATAATTACTTGTAGCAGAAGAATCCTTGTGCTGATGTTTTGTTGCAAAACTCAGTGTTTCATGGGCAAGTTGGTGAGTGTAGGTAATTAAGTTGATACCATTTAACAGCATTCATGTGCTCAGGTTGGTGAGGAGGGATCTGTCACTGTTTCATGAGGACTGAAGTACTGTCCTTCTAAAGGTTTTCATTTGGCATAAATACAGAAAGGATCTGTGTTATTTTCTGTGTTTAGTATGTGCGTAGTGTTTTCTGTGGTGTGAGGCATTTTTGCAATTACACAATCAGTGGCACATTAGCCACGAATTGAGAGAGAACATTTTGCATGCAGTTGTGTGGGCAGTGAGATTTCACCCTTTTAATGGTATTTGAGAATGCTATTGCTTTGTGTGCCGCTTGATATGGTCTGTTTGAACAGTGGCTATTCCACTTAGGACGGCGCTCTGGCTGTGGTGTAGTGCAGTGTCTCCCAGAAGTGGAGCCAGCCCTCATTCTCACTCTTGTTCTGTTTTTGGTGTAATGTCTAGCTTTATTTACAGCTCCTTCAGCAGACAGCAGCTGCCTCCTCTGGAAATCTGAACACACTGGGCAGCCTCCACCCAATGGGAGGTGAGTGTTTTCTTTCCTTGCCTCTTGGAATCTGAAAGTAGGTTCAATGTCATATTGAAAAAGAATCATGAGAAGGCTGTTAAGAAAGTGTGGTATGATATACTAATGTCAGTGAAGATGGCTCTCAGTTGCTTATGACAGAGAAGAGTCCGGAGTTGAATTTTTACTCTTCTCTCTGCACTGCCTCTTCATTTTTTCTAAGGATTTTATTTCAGATGTGCAGGAAGTGTTCTAAATGCAGAAGAAGTAAGAAGTACAGTTGCAGTTAGGTGACTGTCCAACTCATGTTCCTCATTCTCAGGCATATTTAATATATCGATTTTTCTATCTATTCTGGAAATTTTGTAATGGTCAGACAATAATAGGAAAAATATTGCTTCACTTTATATAGTGAATTTCAAGCTGTGTTTAATTTTAGAATCTACATATGTCTAGCTCAGTAATGTGGATTTTCTGTGGGAGGGGAATCAATTGGAATTTATTTATTTTTGGGGGAGGGGGATTCAGTTTGCAATAGAAAATTTACTAGAGTAACTTAATTTGACATGCTTGTTTTTAGTTGTATTTCATAAATATAGCTTTAAAAAATAGAAAGTGGCACCCATTCATTGTTACTAATGAATCTATAAAATTAAGAATATTCACAGAAAAATAAAGCACCAGAAAACTTCAGAAATTTTTCCACCTCACATCACTTGTCTAGCATCTATGCTTTTGTGTTTGAGCAATCTTTTTGTTGTATCTCTTACAGCTAATAGCTTCTCTTTTTTTAAGAATGGAGAAAATTAGCAAAATAAGGCAAAAAATTCCTGTCCCAGTACCTACAATTTACCATCAGGGTAACAAAAGCTTTACATATTAAATGTAAAGTTATTTTTAAAATATTGCTTTTGAACAAGAGACTACAATCACAGTGAAGAGCCACAGCTATCTTTAATAAGCTTTTCATTTGAAAGTATTAAGGGTAATGGAGAAGAACCACATGGAACAATATTGTAAAGGATAAAAATGTATAAAATTAGATGGTGCATACCTCATACCCTGAATTAGAGGTGGGATGACAGGTTAATGTCAATACAGTGAATAAGGGGAAGAACATACAGCTGTGGTCAGCATTTTTACTCTTCTCTCTGCACTGCCTCTTCATTATTTCTGTGTTTAGTATGTGCGTAGTGTTTTCTGTGGTGTGAGGCATTTTTGCAATTACACAATCAGTGGCACATCAGCCACGAATTGAGAGAGAACATTTTGCATGCAGTTATGTGGGCAGTGAGATTTCACCCTTTTAATGGTATTTGGGAATGCTATTGCTTTGTGTGCCGCTTGATATGGTCTGTTTGAACAGTGGTTGAACTAGATGACCCTTAGGATCCCTTCCAACTCTGCAATTCTGTGAATCAGAATAATTTGAATTCTGCTTTTTCCAGACGAGATACAGTCATACCTCGGGTTGAAGTAGCTTCAAGTTAAGTATTTTCGGGTTGCACTCCACGGCGACCTGGAAGTAAAGGAGTGTGTTACTTCCGGGTTTCACCACATGCGCAGACACTCAAAATGACGTTTTACGTTTACTTCAGGATGAGAACGGGGCTCCGGAACGGATCCCATTTGTATCCAGAGGTACCACTGTACTACAGAGTCCCTCTTTAACATGCTGCATTCACAGGGATTTCAAGTCATTGGCAGTTGTAACTGGGAAATGTAGGACAGCATGATCAATAACTCCTGCACCATTTAGGTTAAGTCCCTGGAGAGGTTATGGAATCATAGAATTGTAGAGTTGGAAGGAACACCAAGGGTCATCTAGTCCAACCCCTCGCAATGCAGGAATCTTAACTAGATCGTATATGACAGATGGTCATCCAACTGCTGCTTAAAAACTTCCAAGGAAAAAGAGTCCACCAACTCTTGTGAGAGTCTGTCCTACTGTAGAATAGCTCTTACCGTCAGAAAGCTTTTCGTGATGTTTAGGTGGAATTTTGTTTCTTTTCAATTGAATCCATTGGTTCAGTTCCTAAGCTTGTTCTATCTTCCATGTAACTAGCCATTAGATATTTGAAGGTGGCTGTCATATCTTCTCACAGTCTCCTCTTTACCAAGCTAAACATTCCCAACGCCCTCATAATGCTTGGTTTCCAGACCCTTTATCATCTTGGTCATCCTCTTCACGTGTTCTAGCTTGTCGGTATCCTCCTTAAATTGTAGTGCTTGCACCAGGCTTACACAGATGTTAGACAATGTCTAGACTTCATTGAGCATTCATTCTGATTTGTTTGTGATGAGCTTTTATGTCAAATAACATTCATGCTGCATTCATCTTGAGTTGGTTGCAGAATGGTTAAATATCTCCCCATTAATCCCACACTTTTTAGTGCATTTCCTTATCATTTTACTAACTGCAAAAGTCTGCTTTTGTCTGACCTTTGCCTATGCTATGAATGTTGGAAGATTCAGGATAGATAAAAGAAAGTACTTTGTTACTCAGCACATAGTTAAAATATGTAACTCACTCCCACAGGAAGTAGTAATAGCCACCAACTTAGATGACTATAAAAGAAGATAAGACAGATTCATGCAAGATAGGGCTTTCAATGACTACTAGCCATGATGGCTGTATTCTGCCTCCATGGTCAGAAGCAGTATACTGAATTCCACTTGCTGGAAATTGCATGAGAGGAAAGTGCTGTTTGCGCTCCGGTCCTGCTTGCAGGTTACTCACAATCACCTGGTTGGCCACTGTGAGAACAGGATGCCAGATGAAATGGTCGTTGGCCTGATCCAGTAGGCTCTCCTTACGTTGTTGCCCTGTAGGTGAGAATATTAATAAAAAAAAAACCTTCTTGCATCAGGAGTTTGTGGTGCTTGAGAATGTTAGGCTTCACTCTCCTCCATAAAGCAACTTCTGAATGCTGTTGGAGAAATAGGCTGCTGGGTTCACTAGTGATTTAGTGCTTAGTGGTACCAGAACAGAAACACTATTCATTGATGTGTTGCAGGATTGAATGCAATGCAGTTACAGAACCTAGCTGCATTAGCAGCTGCAGCCAGCGCAGCTCAGAGCACACCAAGTGGTACCACTGCACTCAATTCTTCTAACAGCCCTTTAAGTGTGCTCACCAGTTCAGGTAAGAGAGCCATGTCTTGGTATAATACAGTTTTGCATATCTTAAGGCCACATGACAATGAGCCAGCTACTCATTAAATCATAAGCTTTTTTGTGGGGAGACTTGATTAGTCCTGCCTCCCCAAAACACATTTCTGCTGTTTACACAACATGAAACAAATCAGTGTAGGTGCCTTCAGCATATGTGATAGAAGTGGGTATATGTTGCATCTGTAAATAAAATGCATTTTTGCTTAACATGTGAAGTAGTCTTCAAACATCAAAGCCATCTTCCACAAGAAGGTGTTCTTTTTCAGAATATAGTTGATCTTCTGATTCTCCAATTTTCAACTTGCTTTAGATTATTGCAGGGTCAAGTGGAATTGAGAGAAGGGTTGCATGTCATAATTAGTTGCGAGAAGATAATTTGCATTCTGATCACAGATGCAGGCACACCAGGCCACGCATTGGCATTTCCAAAGTGCAGTGCTGAACTTTGATACATGGAAATGAATGGTGACTTTGAAGGAAATTAAGGGATTTCATTTAAGTACTTAATGAGAAAGAATGGAAACTAAAGTGGTCCCAGTTATCTAGCAAGTCCGATGCCAGAGTAGGAGTGGGAAACGTTTTTCAACCTGAGGGTCACATTCTCATGGGCAGCCTTCTGGGGCCTGCATACCAGTGATGAGTGGGATAATGGATGTGACTCTTTACCTTTGTACAGTAGGCTACAGTTCAGTCACGCAAAAGGTCAGATGTTTTAACACATGCATCTCTCCATCCAGTCAAGCAAGAGGTATTATTACAATTTAAGGACACATTCCAGCCAGGCCAGAAGAACTAGAGGGGGGTGAGGAGCAAGACTTTGAAGGGCTGTGGCCTGTGAAGAGCCCTAAGAGCCTGATAGAGAGGCCTGGACAGCCACATTGGTCCTGGACCAGACATCCCCCACCTCTGTGCTACAGTGTAGGAAAGGGGAAGTACTTGGGAACTGATTGGGTATATCATGATCAACTACTGAGCAGTCAACTGTTCTGAGGTAGTAGAACTCAAATGTCAGTAATGCAGCATGGTACAAATTCATGTCAGATCAGCTTCCATTGTGCATGCATCAACATGTCTAGCTGCCAGTTGATCAGGGCAAGTGTTCCCAGCCTCTGTTGAGCAAGGCACCCAATACTGTGCAGGTCCCTACCCAGAGGTCTCATTTCTACTGTGGTTTCCAAGCAGGTTACCAAACAACAAAGGTCCCTTCTCAGCAGTCCTGCTGGTTTTTTATTTTCTCCATACACCATACAAATGAGAGAGACTCCATCTCCCAAGGCATCTCTTCATTTCAGAGATTCTGAGGAGGAAATTGGTGATGACCTCAAATAATGGCTGGCTTGCAAACTATGCGGACCCCTGCCTGCCTTAGTGTCTAGGTACAAGGTTACCAGTGAAACAGGCTTTGAGGTTTGCACCCCCAAGATTAACATGTACTAATATGCTCAGAGTTCCATACAATAAAGTGAAACATGATTAAATATGAATTTTCTGGGGTCATATGAGTTTACAGCGGGTCAGATCCCAGGGCTTCCATTTTGCATAAAAATACACTGCTGTACACAATTGGGGAATTTTAAGTTTTGGTATTTTAACTATCCTTGGTATAAATTACTGAAACCTTCGATGCAACATTTTTTAGTGCACATTTTGGAGAAAGTAGTAAGATGTGATTGCGTTGGAAGCAGCTATTGGTGTCTAATGCTTTCATTTTAATAGCAGGATCATCACCCAGTTCCAGTAGCAGCTCCTCTGTTAACCCAATGGCTTCTCTTGGAGCACTGCAAACACTGGCAGGGGCTACTGCAGGCCTCAACGTTGGCTCTTTAGCAGGTATGTTTAGCATGAAGAAAAGAATGAGCCCTTTGTTCCGGTTGCCTCTCAGCTTCCCTTAATAATAACATATGATTTTAAAACTGGTTGACAAATCAGTCACTGACATTTATTCAAATTTTCTGCTTAGGAATGGCAGCCTTAAACGGTGGACTAGGCAGTGGTGGTCTCTCAAATGGCACAGGGAGCACTATGGAGGCCCTATCTCAGGCTTACTCTGGGATCCAGCAATATGCCGCTGCAGCTTTGCCCACACTTTACAACCAGAGTCTGTTAACGCAGCAAAGTATTGGTGCAGCTGGAAGTCAAAAGGAAGGTAGGTGAAAGACAGTGGTGGGAAGGTTGGTTCTCTAAGAGCTAGAGTCCTGTACTTTTGCAAGAGAGAGAAACAATAGAAACCACAGACAAACATTATGTTAAAATATCAAATATTTTGGCTCCCTGGCCTCAAATGGCTAATGACATAGACTGTTTCTAGTAGCCTTTGGCTATTGTTACGCATCCAGGTACACACACACACACACACACACACACTCTCTATATATATATGTATATTCCTTTCACTGCTGCATTTAATTTTGAAAACCTTCATAAATTTTGTTTTTATCCCTTCTTTTAGAATCTTTAACAGTTCCAGATTCCTGGGAAAGTGGGGAATGGTTTTCATATTTCAAGCGGTGCATTTCATACACAATAACTTCAGTCTGTACAATAGTCTAGTAAGGTAGTAGGACACTGACTTTATTGAGAATGTAGAGAGCACATTGGTGTACTCATGGTAAATGCATCATTGATGACTGGCTTTGAAAGGAAGGTGTAGGAACTTGGAAGCTAGTTTTGTGCCCACATAATTAGCTGTAAAGATTCATTTCACATTTGGATGAAGTTGTGAGAAACTAAGACTGAGAAGACACATTTTTAAAAGCTATAGCTTTTTGGCAGGAAGTGGACAGATTTTTCACTGACAGAGCCAAGTTTGAGTTGAATGACTCTTAGTACTCTGGAACCATCCCTAGCTCTTGAGAGCAGAATGGGTTTTGATCTCTGCTTCAATATTAATAGCTAAAGAGTTGTGCTTTCTTTGAATTTTTCTCTAAATGGATATTTTCAAGGTCCAGAGGGAGCCAATCTGTTCATCTACCACCTCCCCCAGGAGTTTGGGGACCAAGATTTGCTGCAGATGTTCATGCCTTTTGGGAATGTTGTCTCCGCCAAGGTTTTCATTGACAAGCAGACTAATCTGAGCAAATGTTTTGGTATGTTGGGTATATTTTGCAGAAATGTTCTTAATTCCTTTCCTTAAGATAAAATTAACATGAAAGCAACTTTTGTGTGCATAGCTCTTCACTGCTGTGTGAGCATGATAGAATCACATGAGCCACTTGTATCTCTCAAAACCTAGCTTAATGAGATTCAGACCATGAAGATTTGTTTTGCTACATTGTAGGATTTTGCCCCTTCATGAAGTAATATCTGATGAAACTTCTTTGATAACTTGATATTCACCAGTTCATTGATATCTTTGGTAATGAGGACAAGCCTGTGCAGCTTCATACTCACCAGTGGGAATGCAGCCCACGAACCATAAAGCTTGGCCTGACCTATGCTTAACAACCCATCCCAATATTTCTTCATGTGTTTAACTTATTTCAAACACATGAAACACCTTTTGTAGATGTATGAGTCTTGTTCTGCCGATTTTGAACCAACTTATCACATCATTGCCTCCCTCCTTCTGTTCTAATGTAGATTGTTTTGACACAGTGGCTTATGTGTAGATTCATTGTGGAGGCAGGTGATACCCTCCAGTATGTAACATAACGTATTATAGCAGAAGTAAACATGAAAAGAATAGTTAATAATTGGCACATGTTTTGTATGACATCAAAACTTTATCCTAGTTACCCTTTTAATTACCTTCTTAATGCTAGAATTTCTTTGCTATCAGACAGGTCCTCTTTTTGGCATTTTCAACACAATTCCTAGCTTTTTCCAGACCTAGATAGGTAGAAAAACAAGGTTTATGAAACCCTTTTGGATCAGGATATGGTGTTCTATGTTTGCACAGAGCTTTTCAGTTTCTTCCATCCCACAGTAGTCCGTCAGAGGCCTTTCAGAATGGCACTCCAGGAGGCACCAAGGGCTGCTTCCAAAAGGGAACATAGACCCCACCACCATATCTCACTTGCACTCACACCTCACTCTACGTAATAAGCCGATAGTTTTCTAATGCAGTGCACTATTGGCTTTGCTTAACATAATCTTATAATCTGGTGGCTTTGAGTCCTGACTACTTACTCAGTTCTATGCAATTCCCATTGACATTGGTGGGACTTGTATGTATTTAACTGGGTATATAATTGCAGGCAGGTATATTTAGTGTTGATGTGTTTTGCCTTCGTGGGAACAGAATTTTAAATTCAGCAGAAGGGAACTTGACAGAATCCTCCTATGCTCTGTAATTTAGTGATTAAAATGCCTATTTGTTCAATCTCCAAACACACTCTACTTGGTTATAGCCTTTAGCATTGGACTGAATTCAGCCATTTCCCTATTTATACTCACTAACACTTTACGTTTTACCAGCTGTCTGCCACTAGTCATCTCAGCTCTCCTTAACACAGCACCCTGTCTGGTGGTCACAATCCCTGGCTGTCCTGGACTAATAAATACTGTACTGAACTTAATGTTTAGAAGCAGCTGAAGCAGAACTTCAAACTCTGCAACTTACACTTCACATAAAATATCACTGTTATGTAAGAAGTTATTTACTATAGCTCAGAAAAGCACCTGCGTACTCTTTCGTTTGAGTCATAAGGAAACTGGCCTCCCTTGTGATTTTAAAAATCGTAGCCCTCTTATATTATCTAAACCTATGAACAGTTCATACACTTCATGGTTGCAGTACCAATGCAAGCACAAATGATGATGTCAAGATATAAAAACAGAATGGGTTATTCCCACTCCAGTCTGACCATAAATGTTTTAAATGTATGTTTTCCTTTTCTTAGGTTTTGTAAGTTATGACAATCCAGTCTCTGCACAGGCTGCCATCCAGTCAATGAATGGATTTCAAATTGGCATGAAGCGACTGAAAGTACAGCTCAAGCGCTCTAAGAATGACAGCAAGCCATACTGAGCGCCCCTCCCCTCTGGAACTGGAGTGAGAAGGATCTTCTGGTAAGTTGGGGAGGAGTGTGCCTGGTGATTCAAAAACTCTTTAAGGCTGTATTTTTACAGTCACAGAAGCTGATTGATGTCATTCTAACTGGCACATCTTCCCCCGAAGACTCGGCTGCAGCCTCTACTGGGAATTCTTCGGATGGAGGACGAGTTTGTGATTCTGTTTCCAGTGTTTTACTTTGGAGTTTAGGTGCCATATCGCTGATTATTATTTTTTTAAGTTTGCTGTGTTTGTAACCAGTGTGTTTTGAGAAGGACCAATGCCAGCCACCTTGGGGAGATGGGGAGATACCAGGTGCAAGTGGAACTGACATTGCATGACTTAGACTTAAGAAGGAGAAAAGACCTATTGCCAGACCCCAAGTTATATCCATGAAAAGAGGGAGGGAGAGATTCTGAATCCAAATCACTTGGTGGCTGGTTAGTGAACAGACCCTCAAGGAACATTGCCAAATCCTCATTTGCCCAGCTTTACTTAATTAATGCCTTATGGGAGAATGTTATACTGAATCAGTCACTAGGGTGGGAAAAAAGTAATTGGGCGAACAGATTCATGTATTAAAGGAAAACTGCAGTAATTATGAGTGTGTGGTCAGCTTACAAAATGATCCAATTGTGTTTCTAGAGCAAACATTTACAATCCAGCCAGAACAACCTTTAAAAATTGGATACTTCCAATTTTCCAGTATTTGTTGTTTAATGGAAACTAGGCAATTTATAATGGAGGTATACATCTTAGCCCCACAATTTGCTCATGATCTGCTGCAAATTCTGTATGTCTTGATTGAATTTCCTTTGCGGCTTCTGCCCCAGTTTTACAGCTTGTACATAAAGATATTACTAGAATCAGTGTTCATAAAGCACTATTTAAATCCTAAGTACTAAACTGACAGATGGCTTCTAAATAAGCTCATGGTTCTTTGATTCCTGACATTCTGCTTTTTTGCGCACACTCTTTAGCTGAACATCCAGAATAATACTGCCCCAAAGATCACATTTTTTGCTTATATAGTTTGATTTTTCGTATGTTGCTGTTTTGCTACATTGCAGTTTTCCTTTGAGTGCATGTGCCAATATAAAACACAAAGGGCTGAATCTGCTGCACAGGATCTTGATCCTGCTATTGTTTATCACCCAATATATTTTAACTCACAACTCAGAATTCTTCCCCTTCTAATACACGCTTATTTTTTTCCACACGTATGAATTTGCCAAATTGTTAAAGGGTGGGGGGGTTTTTTGTTTTTTTTGTACACACTGATGACATGGGACTAAAGGGAACTTTGACATTCTGGCCTCAGCCATGGCAAGAAGTCAGTGTAGAAGCTAGCTCTAAAGCTACAAAAAGCCACCTCTATCTGTGAGGAAATGAACGGTGTTATATATATATTCACTGCATTCCTGTGTCCTCAGTTTATTTGTCTCTTTGGCCCCATTTTATTATTATGTTTTTTTCACAGCACCCCAGTCAACCCACAAATTTTGTGTTTGGGAATCGTGTTTAGGGGAGCAGGGTTTTTTTTTGTTTTTTTTTTAAGGCTTTCAGTTCACTCTGTCAGGAAGAGCCACAAGGCTTGTTGAGCCTGAAATGCCATTTAAGAATGTGCCAGAAACTTGGAAATCAAACATAACCAGGGACTGGGTCCCCTGGTGTATCAAACCTCAGAAGTATAAGATGTATTGGGCCTTCCTTCTCAGGTTCAAGTAATATTTTTCTCGTGAATTTGGAAGTATTGTTGATGCAAACTGTCAGTATTATAAAGCACACAGAATGGTGGCAAAAAAGGTTGAATGGTCAGATTGCCAAATTTCCCATTTATGCTGGCATATGGTACCCTTCTGTGTTCAGTATTTGGGTCTATTCAGAAGCATATGCATACATTTAGGTGAACTGTATACATTTGAATTTTGTGCACTAGGAAAAGTTGTGTCCTGATATTCTGAGTGGGGGGGAGTATTGGAGTGTTGAGGCTTCCAGAGTTGTCATGGGATTTTTTTAAAAAAATAAATAATATACTTTTCGGGGGGCGGGTGTCATGGTTGGGAGCAGCTGCTCCATTTGCAACCTGATATAACCAAGAATGTTGTTTCTATTTTTATAGAAGTTTTATACTGCTCCAGGGTGGAGAATATTTATTATCTAAATTATTTCACTGGAAAAAACAGGGTTTTGCATAATCCTGAATGTGATTGTGTTACACATACATACAGCAATGTGCATGATTGAAACTACTGACTTTCAGTGACCTGTCTGCAGTTGGAAAAGCTGCTAAATAGGAAAAGAATTAATGCTGTGAACTAGTGGAGAGGGAAAGCTGTGCTCAAGTTTCTCTGTAGTCACTTCTCCCAGTACTTCCTCTCCCCTGCTCCCTCAGTTACATTTTTGTTTTTGTTTTGACTACCCAAATTGGTTTTCTGTGAATTATCTGTTCGCTCACCCTTTTATTTAGTGTACATAATATTCCTAAACAGCATATATGCTCTCATCATGGAAACTGTGAGGCAAATTACCTCCTGTTAAATTAACATGACAGCAAGTGGGTATGGATGGTTTTATAATCTGAGAAGTATGATTTATGTGAGTGCTCTCATCCCACCTGAGAATTGCCAAAGTAAACTTTCCAGGTTAAATTCCAGAAATCAGGACTCTGGTGTGTATTGGCAAAGTTGCTGCGCCTTCCGTGCTGGTGCTCTGAATTACTTTTAACTAGAGGACTTTAACTCCATATGCCTCTCCCCTCCCTCAGTTTAATTCTGATCTGCCCATTCATGCTTTTCAAAACAAGTAATAAAACTAAGTCTCTGGAGTAGGTTCTCTATTGGCAAGGAAATTGCACACACAAATTCAGCTTTCCACTTTTAGGATTACGGCCTATCTGTCACGTTGTGGGTTGTTCTGCACAGTTTTTAATTTCCTCCATCCTTTTTCCTTTCCAAGTTTGAACAGATCCTTTGACATAAAACCCTGAATGTTACCTTTTTGCCTATCCCTCTGTAGGAGACCAGATTATTATCTATGTTTGATCCAATATGACAAAGGGATCAAACTGGAAAGCACAGCCAATTTTAGTTGTTCTTTATTAAGAAATACAGGCTACTATGTATCAACTTAAGTTGTATTTAACCTAAAACAATCATAGATGTATTTTAGATTAAAACAAGTTCTCAGAATAAATTGGGTGTCTGGTAACATGCAGAGACAAATCTGGAATCAATAAAAGAAGAAACATTGAACTGAAAAGTATTTTGGGCTGACTTTGGCATTCCTGAGGCATATCAACCCCCCCCCCCCAAGAAAAGCCTTATTTTTGTAATTAAAAAAAGGCTCCCAACAACTGCTGATGAATTTGCCTCACAATAGTGTGCATTTCCTCTGTAACATTTTAACTTGAGTAAATATATGTATATCCTTCAGCCTTGTGAATGTGTCCTGGGGGCTGGAGGGGGGGAGAGACAGAATCTACTTTTCAGATTCTGCTTGATGTACATGTTAAGATCAAAAATCTAAGACAGTAGAATAGCTTAGCACTTGTAAACAGAAGCTCAGTTTTCATTTGGGAATTCACACACACAAATAGAAAAATAAACTTTTAAACACTGAAATGAAATGCAACCGTATGTTTTAAATCAGAATATTATATGCCTTTAATTGTAATTGGAATAAAAGTTACAGTAAACCTAACAAGCCTGCTTTTTCCAGTAATCACATGCTGCCTCAGACAGTTTACCATGTCATTACCAGAATGCTTAAATGTATTTGTCATGCAAATCACATCTCTTGTGTTGTACCCTTATTGGAGATTCTATCAATTCTGAGAAAATGTCAAGATGCTCAGACAAAATTCCTTCCACTCAAACTGGTAACAGTGACTGTAGAACTTATGAGAGCCCAGAATTCCACCTCACAAAGTCAGGGAGAAGGATTTATTTATTGAAAAAGTTGCAAACGTTTATTTGTAGGTATTAAATAAAAAGGGCTCAGCTGAGGCAAGTCTTGACTTGCAATAAAGTCTTAATTCCTTCCTATTTCAAAGGGTTTTCACTTCTATTTATGTATCTTATGTCATTTTTTGGTTCTAAAACCAACAGCCAGTATCCTTGTTTCCTAAAGAATAGCTGAAACAGAGGATGGATTTCTTAGGCTACTACTGCCTATGTATGTCGCATGATAGGAAAGAAGAAAGTATAATCAACCATCAACCCCAGTGGTTCCTCCTGTGTCCCCCCATCTCTTAAAATCACCCTGGAACCACATTTTATGGATTCAAGATCTAACAGAGGAGGAGTTCTGTGTTGTCTTCCTCAAGCAGAGGTAGCAGGAGCACTGGCTCAGGGCTGTGGTGCCTGCACAGCTGTCTGTATGCCACTAAGCCATAGTCCATTCTGTAGCTAGTGTCTAAAGGAAATCCCAGGCCTCTACTTCTATCTGGTTTCTGGTCGTTTTGATATTTATTTGGTGTCTTATGCACTTCAACTTTTACTTGTTTGTTGTTGGCATGTGCTGCCCTTCCCTGTCAACTCCCCTCCCCAAGAGGTCTCATTGTACAGTGCCCATTCTTGTTCTCTCTTTCTCACTCTCACTCTCTTTCTCTCTCTGTTTGGATGTACTGCTCTGTGTAACTCAGTGGGTCTCCTTCTTTCTGGTTTGTTTTTTTTCTAGATTCCTGCCGTTTGTTCATCGTTGTGCCTAAAGCATGTCGATGTGGCGTTCAAGTACATCGTCCAAATCCTTGTCTCTTCAGCTTCTCTGATGCTTGAACTCTCACCTTTGACCTTGTGTTGACTTTTTGATGCTGATGTGTATTTTTATTATGTTTGTTTCTTTTCTTTTCTTTTTTTTTCTTTTTTGTGCTGCCAAATTGGTTTTGCTAGAAAGACTGCTGAAGGGGAATATTTAAACTTGCATTTGAATATAAAAGAATTCTATTTTTCTAGAACTTCGTAAGATAACCACTTGATTTTGTGATTCTGATTCTTTGTAACTGTCTTCAGAGCAGCCTTGCTAGCATACCTCGTGGAGTATTGTATTTCTGTGAACATACAGCCAATCACTTTCTAGGCTTAGTTTTTTCTGTGTGCTTAGTTTTAAAACAAATCTTTGAAGGAAAAGGTAAAATGATGCGACTTTAAAAATTTAGGAGGCTTCTGGTCACATTTTGCTGAATCTATTTTCTGTGCTTGAGGAGACAGCATGTATTCTTTGACTTGAGTAGCCTCAGCAGAAAACACTTGAACTACACTTTCTCCTGATTGTAGCTGCATTTTTGCCCTGGCACTTACTGTTTTTTTTCCTTCCTGTGTGATTATCAGCCTTTGTCTGCAGTGAAATTTAATCAAAGTTGATGTTGTATTTTGTTAAACCCTAGCATGCTTAGTTTTTTGTAACTACAGTATCCTCATTAAAATGTGAGATTTTGTTTTTTTTTCCTTTAAAAACTCAAATAACGCCCTTGTAAACGTTTTGCATGTTTCCTGCTGTGTTCTTCACAACCTTGTGTATATAAACACCCTTCACCTCTGTTTTCTATAGTTTGTGCAAAAACTGAGTAATTCAATAGGTTTCAGATCTATCCTTTTTTGGATGCCAGACTTGTGGTCATATGTCACGTAATGACATCTCCTGTGCATTTAGACTGCTTTACACGATATCTGCACCTTGCTCTATCATCACAGCTATTGAAAGGTCTCAGGGGGCTTGATTGCACTGTTCAGGTGGTGGTGGCGGTGGCAGGGATAGAAGGAAAGGTGTGGGGTGTTTGCAGTAATATTGCTTCTAAGATCCATTGGAGCTAAAGCTCTTTTGGGGTAGCCTTAATTTGTACCTCTTGTTTAATATGTGGCTTGCTTTGTGAGGTTTAGCACCATTAAAGCTCAGTGGATGGAAGCTTGATTGCTCTCCAGTCTTTACACTTGAAGTATCATGTTCTGCATATCCCATAGAAGGAATCTGTAAGTTTAGGCACAGAACTGCTGACTCTTTCCCCAAGCGACAAGCACAATATAACAGCCTAATAGCTGTTGCCTGAACAGGGTACCAACCCCGGCTCCTTTTCTCAGGGGCCTTAGCTGGGGGATGATCTCTACAGAGATTTTTTTTTTTAAGTTCTTAAATTGGGTAAGGAGTCATGCAGTCTTTCTTTCTTTTTTTCTGGCCTGATGAAGAAATAGCACGGATTATCCTTCTCTGGGAAGCATGCGTCAGCCTTCCTGCATAAACGACCTACTGTAGAAGCTGAGACTTAGTACTGGGTTTCACAGCACCTGCAAGAAACTCCTGTGGTAGGTGCCTAATCACAAGGGGCAAAGGGTTGGGGAAGCTATAAAGGAACTTCAGACAGGAGAAAGGAATGTGAGCAAAACTTCATAGAGTAGGGGTGTTTGGGAGACCTGTCTCTAGGCCATATGGAGTGTTCTAGTCTTTAGGGCAAAAAACAATCCTGCTCCATTGTTGGGTGGGTAATATTTCTCCATGCTTGTTAGATAAATATGCATAGGTAGCTGTTCCCTCAACCTTGTGATCTTCAACTTTTGAGGGTGAGAGTTGCTTGCAAAGAGATGATTGCAATATCTGGGTATACAGCTGTGAGATAGTTGCTCTTAGGCTCACAGTCGCAATGCACAGGGATGTCTGATAGCAGGGAATGTGAGACCCTGCAGTGTATTGATTAATTTTGCCAATACATTTCTTTACAATGCACGTATAGTTTCATGAGGAACTCTGGGGGAGCCTGTGGAAACAAAAATCTCTGGAGAAAACCAAAATGCCAAACGTTGGATGTTCCTTTTCTTCTTTCCTTTCTTTCTTTGGTTGTTTTAATTATTCTGTGGTGGTTTTAATGAATTTGAGACAGTAACGCAGCAGCTGCCTTTTATTTCTGGCTGCTTTTTGTGAATAATTTAAAAAAAAAAGAAAATTTACATTTTGGAAACAAACCTGTGGGCTTTTTTATTGGTACACACATTGTATTTAACACTAGGGGTTTTGTACAGTTTTTTGGGCTTTTCTACTAGAAAACAATGTAAAGTGATTCACAAATGTGACAAGAAAACAAATTGCCACTATGACCAAATGTAGAGTCTGTTCTGCAGTAACAGGATTTAATCAACTCAAATTTGTGATTCTGTTGTAGCAATGCTTTTCTTTCCTTGTTTGAGCTGTTCCTTTTTTCTTGTTTGATTTGCAAAATGTCCTTTTTGTGTGAAATTGTGTTGTACTCTGTAGAAAATTATGGCTTTTACTTTAATGGTTTAAAAACAGAAGCACATGTTGCTTTTCTGATCACGGAGTTTGTGTAGTGGATTTAAAAATGAAAGTTTTGTTAAGTTTGGAACAAGCGAGTATGTATTAAGGAATTTTCTTCCTTTTGTGTGTGGTTTCTTTTTGTCCCACTGGGGAACCTAATGCCGTTTTAATTGCACAGACACACAGACAAGAAGTCATTTTGTATATGCCAAGTGTGGTACCTCCCTTTGTTTATTTGCTATTAAACTGTTTGAGAAGAATTTTCTGTGTCATTCTTGTTTTTGCTTGCACATGACTGGCTAGGTGGTACATGAATTCTAGAATATGAGAAGGAGGACTGCTCCGACTGCCAAGACTAGAAGATAGAATAAAATTTCTTAATTGTATAAACATGGGCATAGCCAGGATTTTTGTTAGCAGGGAGCAGTCTTTTGTTAGGGGGGCAGAACCTCAGATATATATTGAAGTTTATTGATTTTGATTGATTTAGGGAAGAAGCTGCCCCTCCCCTCGGCTATGCCCATATGTATTAAACAGTGGCCTAGTGTTCGTAGGTACACCTTGTAATCTGTCCTTGGTTCTTTATTTTTCCTTGTCATCCTCTCTTAATTTAAATTAACCTCTTGCTGATCACTTTTCCTACCTCTGTGTGAGTTTTACTTCCTTTCATGAATGGTAAGTTTGTCAGACTAAGGATGAGTTCTGTCTAGGCCTTTCTGGAAAGCTAGTACAGTCATACCTCGGGTTACATATGCTTCAGGTTGTGTTTTTTCGGGTTGCGGACCGCCGAAACCCGGAAGTACCAGAACGGGTTACTTCCAGGTTTTGGCAGTCGCGCATGCGCAGAAGCACTAAATCACGCTTTGCACATGCGCAGAAGCACCGAATTGCAACCCACACATGTGCAGATGCTACGCTGCGGGTTGCGAACGTGCACCCCGCATGGATCACGTTCGCAACCCGAGTGTCCACTGTACATCAAATGCAGTCATACCCCAGAGTTCATTTGGAGGGATACAAAGAACGGCATTGCTCTTTGCCCAGAGCAGTTGGAATACTTGGTGTGAGTGTGGTCGCATGTACACTTACACACTTACCTTTCCCTGTCTGTATGCCGGATTTTTTCAGTCCAGTGATTCATTAAGCCTTGGCATCTTATATTCTGACAATGGTTATTCCAGTGCCACAAAGAAGTACATAAGTGAAGCAAAGATGGTGATATTTCCTCCTTTGTCTTTCATCTCCACAGCCTATTAGAAATGGGTATAACATTTCTAAATATAGACTTTGATAGGGCTACGTACAAGCTACCTCTGCTAGTAGCCACTGATGTATCTGTTCTCCATGTTTTGTATTAAAGCAATTATAATAGTCCATCACAACATTGCTTGATCGCATAAGGCAGTATTTTTTCAAATATGCTAGCTATGACTAATTTAATGTCCTAACTTTTATGGTCTTATAATTCTCATTAATGTCTACTGATGATTTTATAACCATCTAAAGTAAAATGTTACAGATGCTTAAACCCTTACTTATAAGAAAATATACTCCATCCCCCTGATCATATTAGATGAACTCTGCTATAACTTATTTTTTTTGTTAGATGAGGCAGTGTATCGCATAAGAATTGCTTTGCCAGTTCAGGCATCTCTAACAAACAAGCACATCCTTGGTATGGATACATAATAAACTTGTATAATGACACTCTGTTGCTTGCTGTTTTTCCCATCTATTCCCTCATTTCAGATACTTCATTTGCTTCTTGTAATGCCATAGCGACTCACATTTGTTTTCAGAGTGCTTTCTACTATAACTCATCTTTAGTAAGTAGTTAGCAATTTCATAACCCCTATCAGTATTCATGTACAAATAGGATCATACATCCTGCAAGTGAACAATTATGATTTGCATTGAATTTGTTGGTCTGGAGACCACCTGTATTTTTATTGTGCTGATTACTGCACCCTCTGCTTCAAATCACTACCAAGTTCTCAATTTATTGAAAAATGGAGGTTAAACCAGCTGTTTTCTTTTACAAAATGGCTTTCAGTACATTGTAGGTGCTCCCCAGAAACGTAAAGCAAAGTGGACTCTTTTGCAACAAAATGACTTGCATAAAAATATGAGTATTAGGCAGAATTTCATTTAGAAGCCAGTTGGGACATAAGGAATCATGCCCTTAAGGAAAGTACAGTTGAAATGAAACATCTTACTTTTCTTAGAATCAGGGTCATCTTGTTTGAACAATTTAGGAGGTATTAATAGTTTTTCCTCTTACTGGATCAACACCTTTAAACATTTTTAAAGCAATGTTGTCAATTTAATTACTGTAACGGTGACTGTAAGGTAGTAATTATTCAGTCATGCATTCCATCCAGTGCAGCCTTTTAAGCATACAGCAGAGGGTTGTATCACCTTTACGTGGTACACAAAACAGCAGAAAAACTAATAGCTGTTTAAAATCCAAGAAGGGTGAGTAGAAGATGGAGGAAGCAACTGTGAATGACCCATTTCCCTTCAGTGAGAAATGGGAACAAAGCATCATTATGCTCACTGTGCGTTATTACCAGTGTGAAGCTGTATTGCTTGTATAAAAGAAGATCAGCTGAAACCAGGCCTGTGTATTAAAACAGTCTGGCTGTAGTATTCATTTTCTGTCTGGCTGTAGTATTCATTTCCTGTCGTCCTACCTTGGCTGCATGTTCAATCCTTCCGAACCTCAAGAAAGATTGTTTGGATGTTCACAGTTGCTCTAGCTATGGAGAGATCAAATGTGTTCCCTCTTTCTGATCTACAAGCAAGCAGTTGTCAGAGGTCAAAGGGGCACATTGGTTGCCTGATGTGAATTTTTTCCCCAGCTCTCCTAATTCACTAAAAAAAAAAAAGCATCTTGGAGGCCACAGAAAGATTTTGGAGAGGTTATCTGTGACCTATAGGCTAAAGGTTTGCCACCCCTGCTCTAAGGTAAAGAGTTCTGCATGTACATAGCACCACCTACTGAAAAAGCTGGCCTTCGCAGTTCAGCCATTTTCATTAATGCAGCTGTGCTGTGAGAGATGGAGAAACTTTTGTCTTTTTCTTCTAGTTTCTTCTAGACCTATTAGTATGGTTATCTCTTGTGAACATGCTACTAAGAATTTTCTACCACTATGCATGTGGCCCTAATTCAGCTAGTAACTAGTCAACCGCTAGAGTCCAAGAATTCCAGGATTTTGCTCACAGGACTATTAGGTCAGACCAAAGGCCCATCTAGTCCAGCATCCCTTTTCTCACAGTGACTAGCCAGATGCCTTTGGGAAGCCCACAGCCAGGACTTGAACACAATAGTGCCCCCTCACTCATAATTGCAAGCAACTGGTATTAAGAGGCATACTGCCTCAGATATGATAGTTAGCCATAGCCACCATAACTAGTAACCACTGACAGCCTTAGGCTCCATGAATATATCTCATTTGTATTAATTTGTACACTAATACGCCGCCTTCAGTAAAATATGGATGTGCCACAGTCTGTCATGCTGAGTACCAGTCATAGCTATTTTTGTCACGTGTGTATCTGTACTTATATAAAATAGTTTTTGTAATGTAGGGTTTCCCCCCATGAATGCATTCACTGAGAGGCTGATAACAGGAACTGACTCTCCAGTGTGCACTGGGCCAACCAGCAGTTTCCGCGTTACAAAACACATGCTTTCATACAAGTATGGACCGGAGAATACCAAAATACAATGTGCGGATTGGTTCCAAGTTCCCTAAGCTCAGCTTTACACTTGCATGAAAAAGGTCCCAGTTAAGTTCATAGCTGGCAAATAATGTTTCAGAGCCACTTCAAATGTTGCACTTTAAAATGTACATCTAAGATAAAGTGTGTTCCTAAATATTAAGAGGATGAGTGCCACAAATACACATAGCAGAGACATTCACTCATTAGGGAGCTGTTACTGTCAACAGCCCTCTGAGGAATGTATGTTATGTGGCAATTTGAGGTTTGCTGCTGTTTAATGTGCGAAATGATCCTCGGTGTTAAATCCTTCTGCATTTAATACTCAGGTTTCCAAGATGTGCCTTAAAGAAGGCAGCGTTCTTGGCCATTGCGCTTAACAAGCACCACACATCTCATCTCACGGTTAGGCTACTCATAAACCCCTAGTGCTCTTAGAGTCTATTTAATGCTAGAATGGAAATGGATGAAAGCCTTAATTTGCTAGACCACAGCAGCAAAGGATGCCTTCTCTGGTATATTTATAAAAGCAACGTAGAGGGAAGGACAGCGGCTGCCTCTGGCTTGCTTTCTGACCTTGGGAGTTACCAAGACTGGCATTCCTGTGAAGTCATGTGACCAGGATTGGCGGGCACAGCTGTCACCAATGGAGGGGAGGGGCACAGGAGTGGCCATTCCGATTGAATTTCACTCCAGCCACTTGAGATTTTTCTCTTCTTTTCTTGCAGTGGGTTTTTTTTTGTCTTCCGCCTCTTTTGTTCATTGATTTGGGTTTTAGAAAGTTCTAGCAGGAGAGCAGCATCCAAGATGCTAGCCTAGAATATTAGGATGGTTGCCCTAAGACCTTGGTGGCCACATTTGCCATCTCCTGCTGACATTCCTTCATCTGAATCGTCCGAGGTTCCTGTGGTCCAGAGCTTCCGAATGGTAAAATCTGCCTTCCAGTTTTAGCACCAACTTTATTGTGTTTCACGGTGTGTCTGCTGTCCTGGCAGGTTAGTATATGACGCTCTTGAGCACAAAGGAGATGGGTCAGGACCAGACAAAGCAGCAGATAGAAAAAGGACTCCAACTTTACCAGTCCAACCAGACAGAAAAGGCCCTGCAAGTTTGGTTGAAGGTTTTGGAAAAGAGCACGGATGCTGCTGGCAGGTTTCGAGTCCTGGGTTGCCTCATCACCGCTCACTCAGAGATGGGCAGGTACAAAGACATGCTAAAGGTAAAGCAGATTTCACGCTGAATGCCTGCTCTTTTCTCTCACTAAAACGGGGATGGGAGCTGTCGTGGGCAAGCAGGCTTTGGGGAGCAGTTCAGCAGACAAACTGCAAATACAGTGAGCCTGGATTTGGTAGAATTGCTCTTGGAAGGTCCTGTAAATTGCTTAGATTTGTAAATTGCCATCCTGCATCTCTGCTCCCAGTTCTCCATCCCCAGAAATTCTTAGATTGTCGATCTTTGATGTTTAATTCCCAGGAACGTAATTGTGCTAGCCAAAGCATGTTGTGTTATTGTAGCAGATTGTTCAGTTTTGCAAAGCATTATTTGCGTGTGAAAGTGTGCATAACTGTTCAGGAGGCAATGCCCTGAGGCTATCCTTTGATTTCAGTGACTCATCTGTCATATTATGCAATCTTCAGAAGAAGGGGGTTATACAAATTAAATAAATCAGCAACAATAGCCAGACACTCCTTTCTTGTTACCATTTTACTAGCATTTATGCTCTGATGCCAGTAAGGCAGTGACTCCCCAATGGTGCTTCATCAGGGTTGCCAGAACTTCCCCTAAATGTTCAAAGCACCCTGCATACCTTCTTGTGATGACCTAACAAAAGATGAGCCCTTATAGATCAGACCAAAGAGCTATCTAGTCCAGCATCCGCTTTCCCACAGTGGCCAACTAGATGCTCCTGTTGTTGTTCCCCAGCAATTGGTATTCGGAGACGTGCTGCCTCTGATGCTAGAGGGAAGCTATACAACCATCGTGGCTAGTAACCACTGGGTTGTAAGTGCTTTGCAAAAGGCCATCCAATGAGACGAGACTGGAATTCAGATCTTCCAGAATCTGTTCTTATTGGCCACTACATGACACTAGTTCTTTTGAAGGCAGGGGTGGTGAATCTGTGAGCCCTCCATATCTCATCAGCCCCAGCCAGTGTAGCTGATGTGTGGAGGCTGTAGTTCAGTGGCAGGGAACATCTAGCCCCCAGGCCTCCCCCTTTGGCCTGTGGGGCAGTTTCAGCCAAGCCACAGCCACTTGCCCTGCGCTTATGTCTTTTATGACTACAGTGTAGTTCAGCAACATTTGGAGGGCCAAAGGTTAAGTCACCCTTATTTTAAGGCAATTGTAGGAAAAGTGCAGTGTAGACAGTTGTGGGAGGATTATCTGTATATCGTGGGTTGGGTGCTGGCCAGTGTACCTTCAACAGAGACTCAGCTCCACTAGTGGTCCCTTCAGTAAAATACTTGGGAACCTAATTTCTTGCTAGTGCAGCAAGAACTAGTAGCATTTGCAAGCGTTTTATTTGAGGGTTGACAGAGCCCCAAGACCAAGTGATAGCCACACAAGAGATTCTATAGAACCTAACACTAAAGTCTGAAATATGGGCAGGTGGATACAGCCCTGCCCCATAGAGCTCACAGTCCAAATAGGTATGTACACAAACTTAAAAGAGGGGCTGCAGAAGAACAACAGTTAGCCACCCCAACAGTTGTTTAATGTCATTTCCTCAGTTTGGTGTTTCGTGTTTAATCTTGTCACATCTTCCACAAAGCCAAGTGCATTAATCTCTGTGCAGGCCTCTGAGTGATGCAATCCATCTTGAAGAGCTCACAGCCAGGTGCTTCTTAGGTAAGAACAGATGCATTGGATGAAGAGGTGCTTAATGATGCTCAAACCCATACACAGTGGCCAGGAGCATTCCAGTTTGCAAAGGAGGGCTTTTCTTATATTCTTAAGTGTTCTGGGAGGGCATTCCAGGACAGCAAGGGGGAAAGGGGGAAGGCATTGCAAGGAGCAGGCACCCTTTGGATGGCTGAGGGTTATAGGAATGGATGAGTGAAGGTCACAAGAAGGTACATGTTGGGAGATCAGTGCAGAGGGATAGGCAGGAGCAAGGCAATGGAGGCTTTGCAGATAAATGGAGAGCAGGAGAGGTTCCAAATATTGACAGGAGCAGTTAAAGGTTTAAAGTCAGGGTTTCCCAAATTTGGGTGTCTAGCTGTTGTTGGACTACTACAACTTCCATCATCCCTAGCTAGCAAGACTAGTGGTCAGGAATGATGGAGCCGCAGGTTTGGGAAATACAGGTTTAAACCATAGAAAAACAAATGAGACAGCAGGCCTGAAATGACGCAGTAGAATCCAATGTTGTGTAAGCAGGCTTGCACTTGAGCAAGGAGACTTCCCTTCCCTCCAATCTCCCCACCCCCGTTATACTCCCAAAATCTGCTCTGGAGGGTCTACCAAACTCTTTAGAGCAGATTCTGAAGGTGAGAAGAGCGAGGAAGGTGAAGTCTAGTTGTATGAGTGCATGAGTTCAGTACACACAAACATGCATGGACAGCATTGTGAAACATTTAATTTAGCTAAGATGACTTCATCTCTAACGTGTGCTTCATCAAGATGCTGGAAATGATACAGATACCTTGCCTTGAATACTTCAGAGTCTAAATTAAGAGACCTGGACCTAAGTTTGGAGAACCTTCTGGAATAAACAATTTATAAATGGAAAGCCTTGCCAAGCACTTCTGTTCATCAAGATGGCGCTTAATTCTTTGCCTCAAATCTAGCATGGGAGCTGGTTTTAATTAGCTGGGAAAGGACATAGTTGCACCTGTTTAACACTAAAGGAGAGACCACAGGCAAAAGTTCTGGATGGCAAAAGCTATGTGAGTTGAAGAGGGACTGGTCTAGGGTGCAATTCCAGGGATCAGCATCCTGGCTACAATTAATCCCTTTCTTAATGATACACAGAAGGGAAGCAAGTTAATGGAAAGGGTTGTTAGGACTGCTTTACCCAGGACACACTTTTCTGCATGGAAGGGAAGCAGCCCGTGGTAAGGAGACGCAGCAGAGAGAGAGAGAAAGAAAGAGTCAAGTAGTTTGTTTTACTTAATTATATTGCATTTGGGTTTAGACCAGCTTAATTTAAAAAATCAAGGCAGCAATATCCTACCATTTCTGACTCACCTGTTTCTTATACAAGAAAGCCCTTTCTTTGCCCAGCGTGCTTCCAGATTACCTGCTTATTGAGCATTCATCCTGATTTCTTTGCAAAGGAGATGAGGCCATGTTGGCTATTTAATGAGCATTCTTTCTTCTTTGCTTGTGGGGAGGTTAGATGTTACCGCATCACAAGGGGTTATCCCGTGTTTCTAGTCACTTTTCTTGCCGCAAAAAGTCCAACCTTTTGGGGAAGCACCTTTGTTTCACCAGATCTCTAAATCAGCTTTAGTTATACCACTGAATTTGCTGGTAGCGCCCTCTGCCCTCTTAGCTTCCCCACATGTAACAGTTTTCTTAGGCATGCATAACAGGGTTAAACCAGAAAGCAGACAGAGTAGCCATGAAAACGATTAGTTTTACGAGCCAAAAAGCAGCAGAGTGCAGTGCAATGGGAAGACTGAGCCAGGGAGGCATGAGAGTGATCGGATATCACAGTGTTTAGTGTTTGAGAGCGGGACCTGCACAGCTATTTAATTATTTAAGGAAATTAGTTTAGTCAAAGCTGTTTAATATTTAATGTAGTTGAAAATAAGCCAAAACAACTTATTTAGGGAGCAATTCAGTCCATTCTCATACTGCTGCCATCTTTCTGAAAATGCCAGAACTGAAATATAACAAGACGGTACGATATGGGTAAGGAATCTTGAATTTTACTGAAAGATATCTTTCCTGAAGTTCCCTCACACAGAAACTCTGGTAAGGATAACTGAGTAGGAAGAAAACTGACCTTAACCAGCAATAGACTGAACGGAATCATTGGAGTTTACAGTAGTATAGCTGTGAAGAATGGGGATTAATTACGATGCCCATTGAGATTCATAAAATGATAGAATCATAGAGTTGGAACATTCCCCCTGCAATGCAGGAATCTCAACTAAAGCATCCATGACAGGTGGCCATCCAAGCTCTGCTTAAAAACCTCCAATGAAGGAGGTTTAAATTCCTCCCTCTCTCACCTTCTGTCTCCTCCTGTGACCATTGGCAGCTCCTCCTTATACCCACATTTGAGGCTTCTTTGACATGAAGGTCTCTTGTATCTGCTTAAAGCTCCACCTCTGGCCTTAATTCACCCAGTGTATCATACCTCTGTATTCTTAACTCCAAGCTCCTCAGTGCATCATGCACCTGAATGCATCACGGTATCTTCTCTAGCAACAGAGATGATGTTCCTTAAATGTTCTGTTCTCTGCTGGAAGTTTGCAGTTGTGCAGATAGACACAGCCCGGGAGCTGGAGGATCCGGACTACCTTACAGAGAGCTACCTGAATCTGGCTCGGAGCAATGAGAAGCTCTGTGAATTCCAAAAAACCATCTCCTACTGCAAGACCTGCCTGAACATGCAAGGCACCACAGTGAGCCTGCAGCTCAATGGCCAAGTCAGCCTCAGCATGGGCAATGCCTACCTCGGCCTCAGCATTTTCCAGAAGGCTCTGGAGTGTTTTGAGAAAGCCCTGCGCTATGCCCACAACAATGACGACAAGATGCTGGAGTGCCGCGTCTGCTGCAGCTTAGGGAATTTCTACACACACCTCAAGGTGGGTACTGCTCAGGCAGGAGGTGGAGAGGGACTGCAGTTAAGAGGTTGAACAATATGACAGGAGCAGAAGGAATTTGAGGCATGTGGACAAATGTCTGTGGGCCTGTCCAGACTGTGGTTTGGTCATGTAATGTGCAGGATGAGGTCAGGAAAGTATCCTGGTGACAGGCAGATACCTTTGCCCCCTCTTAGGCTGCCCCACAATGAGTGTGGGGAGCCATCATGCAGGCGGAAAAGATCCTGACAACCCTTGCCAACAATAACAGGAGGAGCGGGGCACTGAATGCCTAGTTAGCAGAGGTGGCAGTGCCAAGTTGGCAGTCCTTAAAGAAGGGCTTGACTTTGAGGCTGCTCCATATATTACAGTTTTGGTATACGAAGCCTGCAAATTACGCAGGGGTTACATTCCAGCAATCATGTCTAAACCAAAATCAAAACACATTGGGTGCAGTGGCGGGTAGGATTGCCAAAGTCTTTTCCCCCTGGACAGCTGCCCCCTTTCCTTCCCCCTTTTATTTATTTATTTGCCAAGCAAGTAAAGCTGATTGTGCACAAGGAAAATGTGCTTAAGGGGGACCGTAACATTTATAATAACTTACTTATGCCACCATTTTCAAAGTATTATAACTGCAGTTATAGCACCTTTTGGTTATGTGGTTGTGTCTGATCAGTTGTCTCAGAATTTTCTGAGAAAGTGAATGCAGTGCCCATTAACATGGACAATGTTTTATCAAATAACTCAGTAAACAACTCCCTCACTTGTGTGAATGAATGCCAAACTACTAGTACTTTTCTTCTAGAAAAAAGGTACTCACCATAAAGTTGTTGGAGTAAGTGCCACACTTTTAATAAGTGCTTTTCTTCTAGGGAAAAAAGGGTGCTGGTACTGCGTACCTTTGAGCACCCCCAGGGGAAAAAAGCACTGCTAGTACCAGTGTTTTCCATTGGAGAGGGTTTGGAAGGTTTCCCTCCTAATGCTTTACATTTCTGAGAAGGAAATTCTCCCAATTCTGGGGGAAACAAGCATATTCATATTTTGGGGCAATAGCCCCCCTGACCCTGGGTGTAACCTTGGCAACGCTTGTTTTTAATGCATTCTCCCTTTAAATTTGGGGATTTGTAAAAGACTCAAACCCTTTTCCCAAATTGCTGTTCACTAAAATCTGTACAATGAGATGCAAGCTCCTTTGAAGAGCAACAGCAATGTGCAGAGTAGGTGGGTTTCCCTACGTTACAGCAAATAGGTGAGTTTGTAAATCTGCTAAGTTTTATTTTCTAATTAATGAGAGGTTGTGGAATTAAGAGATTGATCAGAAATAGGCATGTCTGCTGTACATACCATACAATGCATGCACCTTACAGCCTGGCTGATTAGGGACTAGGTTTCCGCCTGCTTGCAGAACTGGAGACAGGTGCTCCCATTATTACCTTGACAGGCTCTTTGCTGCTCCACAAGCAGTCTTAAGGGTCTCATGCTTCTCTCCCGCCCACCTCTGTCCCTGCTTTTGTCTCGTATCTTTTTAAGGACTATGAGAAAGCCCTGTTCTTTCCATGCAAGGCTGCGGAGCTGGTGAATGATTATGGAAAGGGCTGGAGTCTAAAGTACCGAGCGATGAGTCAGTACTACATGGCTGTGGCCTATCGGAAGTTGGGGCGCTTGGCCGACGCAATGGAATGCTGTGAGGTACAAGGTGGCGAGGCGCTAAAAAAAGAGAATGAGAGGTCTCTGCAGGTCAGCAAGGGATGGACCGTAATTCTGTGGCAACAGACCTGCTTTGTGAGCAGTTCACTCCCTGACATCTCAAGTTAAAAGGTCAAATAGACCCTAGAGAGATTCTGCCAATCAGAGTGGACAGTATTGAGCTAGATAGAGAAATAGAAGGTCTGACATAGTGCAAAGTATATTCCCACATAGATAAAGGCATCTATTGCAATATATGCCCTGTAGCTCATACAAGTATACTCCTGCTTTCTCTTATTGCCAGCAGATAACATGGGTGAGCGCTCTCCAGTGCAAGTGGGGCACAAGACCAATATACAATATATGAACACCCTCACCCCCAAGTAGATGCAAAATTCTTAGAGCAAACTGGATCTATGGTGTGGTTGAAAAGGTTTAAATTCTGATTCTGTGACATTTTCTTGCTAGGAGTCAATGAAGATTGCCCTTCAGCATGGAGATCGTCCTTTGCAGGCACAATGCCTGCTTTGCTTTGCTGATATCCACCGCAGCCGTGCAGATATACAGGTATGCAGGCCCGTGCGGAGTGGGGTGGGGGGCAGCCAGGTACACTTGCCCAGGACTAAGCCAGCTGGGGTGCCTTGCCAGAGACCCACTGCTTTTTTGTTTGAGTTTATGACTTTATTCTAACAAGACTCCTGTCCTGGGCCTCAGACAAGCTCTGCATACTCCTGCAGGTATGAAACACCCATTCCGTCCTATGAAACAGGCAACAGCAGTCTGGAGATTAAGTTATAAGGCTTGGAGAGTGATTGACCTCTCTTATACCGCAGACAGCATTCCCCCGTTACGATTCCTCAATGAGCATCATGACCGAGATTGGAAACCGTCTGGGACAGATCCAGGTGCTGGTGGGCGTGGCCAAGTGCTGGGTGATTCAGAAGGAACTGGACAAGGTCAGTGATAAGCTAAACTGAAAAGCTGAATAGATGACACTTGATTCCCCTTCGATCTCTTCCCCTTCCCTCTTCCCCTAAATCCCAACAACTTGGCCCTCGCAGTTACCACCTTAAATATTCTTAGTACTGGTAAGGCTAGCCTGTACCAATCCAAGGCTAGCCTGTTCCTGTGGCCTGATTTTTATTACATGAGCTAAGAAGTAGCCTAAGACACCAATGTAGCAAACGGGGAGCAGGGGCGGATTGATGCTTATCACCATGGCACTTTATTTCTTCAGTTCTATGCTCATTTTACAGAAAACTGTAACATCCAGTTCCAACCAAAGATCCTTGGTTGTGGCTGGGGAAATTCAAAAGTACATAATAAGGGGAATCTGGAGATAACCGTGAAACATTAAGATTACCTGTTCCCATAATAGATACAGTACGGTGGTTTTTCTTTCAGGGTTAGTGAGCATGAAGAGACAGAGACAGTGCCTTCCTGCTCAGATATGTTCACGGACCATTCACAGAGAGTATGACTAAGGATTCCTTCATGGCAGGGGTAGATGGGAAATCTGCAGCTATCCAACGTGGGAGGCAGCAGTTACAAGTTACCAGTTTCTGCAGCCACCGTGGGCGCTGTGATTCTCCAGTGGTTTGAGTTTGCCCCTAGAGACGCACTCCATTGTCCCTTGAGACAGATAGATGCCAACAGCGATAATCAGATGTGGCAAGCAGGACCATGTAGCTGCACCATAGATTTCCACAAAAGGCCTTACCAAATTGACCATCTTAGTTTCTGTTCCTTCCCTAATAATCTCTAGGGTGGAACTAGGCTTTCTCACTGCCACTGCAGGTTGAGTTGAAGTTTTCAGTGAGCTATCCAACATGAGTAGATATAGGAGAAATGCACACAATAGATTGTAATAATTTTTTTAAAAAAAATCAATCTAAAGCCATAGCCTTTTCACCTGAGGTGTGTTTCGGCATGCAACATGAAAGCTGCAGAAAATGGATTTATTTCTGTCTCGTCTACAGTAATATGCAGCATAGTGATCTTGTTTTATTTCCCACAGGCACTAGAAAGTATCGAGAAGGCTTATGAGGTGGCAGAGGGACTTGGAAACAAGGTAAGTCCTCTCATTGCCAATTTCTTGTGACCGTTATGAGGTAATCTGCTCTATTTATTTAAAATATTTGAGTTGTGTCCATCTAAGTCATATTCTGAGGAGACTCGCTGAAATCAGTGACCATTGACTTTGATGGGTCTACTCTAAATAAGAAAGGATATAAAAAGTTGAATCCAGCTTTCTGCTTAACAGGCCTCCAAGGCAGCTCCCAAGTGAAAATGAATGCACAATATCACCATAAGAAGACACTTTTAAAAGGCAGTGGTGACTGATGAAAGCCCTGGCATTGATGGAAAACTATAGACTTGTAATTGGTTAACAGTCAATTCCTTTCACCAGGGTACTTTTGAGGGAGCAGGGATAGGAATTCCTAACAGAAACTGCAACACCTCACCAAAATACAATTCCCAGGATTCTTCAGGAGAACACTTTAGTGTAAATTGATAATGTAAGCTGCGCCCTTGGTGGAGGCAGGCCATCTTAACAGAAAGGGAAGAAAAGAGCTATTCCCAGCTTTTTATAACTTTCAGGAAAATGGAGTTAGCATGGTAGCTACTACACTGAGGTGAAAAAACCTCTCTCATTTTACAGATGGTTTAGGAGAGGCAATCATTGTAAATGTCCATAAACTTCATTGGGTCTCCTCTGAGTATGGTTAATGTGGGAAATTGTCCACTGAACCTGAAAAGAGGGACATTTTCATCAAGCTTGATTAATATGTATGTTGTAAGATTTTCACCTTACAAAAACAAGAGTTCTAGATGAGAGAAAACTAACCTGGCAGATGGTAGAGGACAAGGAGGAGCACAAGGGGAGACACAGGAGGTGATAAATGTGTCAGAAAGTTGTAAAAGAGAAAGTTTTATTGCTGATTAAGGATTGAAATGGTTGGATCCGCAGAAAGCCAGTCTAGTCCTCTGTGATGCCCTTTCCGTCTTTCCCCATCTCCGCACAGCTTGGCTTGCTGAAGGTTCACTGCCTGTGTGAAGGCATCTACCGCACAAAGGGGCAGCAGCGGGAGCTTCGCAACCATGTGGTGAAGTTTCACGAATGTGTGGAAGAAATGGAGCTTTACTGTGGCATGTGTGGCGAATCTATTGGAGACAAGAACCACCAGCTCCAAGCTTTGCCCTGCTCCCATGTCTTCCATATAAAGTAAGTAACAGAAAGGGATGCATCAGATCATAAGTGATAGAGCTGAATTGACTGGGGGATGTTGGTGAGTGAATGAATTCTTTATTAACTAATGAAGGTCTGCTGTTAATGACACAACTCTTGTTTTGTAGTGAAGTTGGTAGGGAGGCATATTGAAGTTTATGAGCCAGTAGGAACTAGGTCATATTGCGCCACAAACTAGTTGCAAAATGTGGAGAATGGGAAATGGAAGAAAGGATGGATTGTGCTTGATGTCTACTCCAAAATGAGCAAATAGAATAATAAAATCAGGAAGTAATTGAAGGTTATCTATTCCAAAATGTTGTCCAAATTTAGCATATGCTGTGCATTAAAAAAGGAGTTGAATGGGTAATCTGTTGCTGGGAGTTACTAAATGCTGCCTTACATGGTGGGAAATGCAACAGGCAAGTGGGTAGAGCGAGTGAATGGAGCAACTCCATGCTTTGCAGAAGCATGGAATGAAACTAGGGGAGTTCAGGAGTGGTTTGGAAGTCTGATTGTAAACAAAGAGGTCCTGGAGTCCAGCATCAAAAAGAAACAGCAAATGACCTCATGGATGAGAAATCTTGGCATCCTTAATCTGGCAAGGCTAACTTTAGCATGTAGTAAATAGCAGATCAAATATTAACAAACAAAAAAGAGAATGTGAACAGGTTGATAGCATAGCCATGACTAATAGTTAATGTGGGTGGATACAACCCACAAATTGCAGCAAATGTGTTGCTTAGTTTTCTTCAATGAAAAAGAAAGCATCCCTGTAACTGATTTGGAAAACAGTGAGTGACTAAGTTATACTCTGAGTAGATGCAATGAGATCAGTGGGATTATGTCCTTTAATTTCAATGAGTTTACTCTGAATATTGATTTGTGTGACAGTGTTTTTTTAATGGTACCATTATGTGCCTTATTCCTGTATCTTAAATACTGTACTGAGATAGTTCAGTTGGTAGACCGTGAGACTCTTATTCTCAGAGTTGTGGGTTTGAGCCCCATGCTGGGCTAAAGATTCCTGCATTGCAGAGAGGGTTGAACTAGATGGTGCTTGTGGTTCTTTCCAATGATTCAATTATGAATATAGGTAATCAGTAATTATCAGGTCCTATTCCTCCCTAAGGACTGGTTATTTAAGTTAGGACCTCCTCTACACTCCAGCTTAAGGTGTGTTTCTTTTTCACTGCAGGTGCCTTCAGACCAATGGGACACGTGGTTGCCCCAATTGCCGACGCTCATCTGTTAAACCAGGATTTGTGTGATCCATGATTTAGGAGAGCTCAATCGATAAGTGTCAAATAGCTGGAACATTTTAGGCTCATGGTATGGAGATAGGGAACCAATGGGTAGGAAGAGGGTCTCCTGCAGACTGGATGCAACATGTGGACCTAGTTCTCTGCTCCCTGATGTTCCACACATCTGAGTTGTGGATGTCTACCTGGAGTTTTCTGACATCTCTTTCCTCAAAACCAGTTATCACAACCAATATGTCACCTCTGTTCTTTGAAAGGAGTTGGTTAGCATGTCTTCCTACGATCCCAGTCCTCTCATTCTCATGTTCTGCTGCTTCTGGTAGTTTCTACCAGGTCCAGTTCTGACACTCATACCACACACCTTGTTTTTATTCATTCCTTGTGGGGGGGAAAATTATCATCACAACACACTGTACTTGGATGATGTAGCTATGGAGAGGTACCAGCCATTTCCCAAGTACCGCTATAAGTTACTTCCTCATGGCATGTATTGGATGCCTAGCAGCAGTTCCCTGTATATACTTTGGGAAATTAATATGATATCCGTAATATAAAATAGGATCCTTTGATGAGCTCACCTGACTTATCAAATTCAAGCTTCTTTTGCCTTTGAATGTTCAGCTCTGTGACGTCTCCACCTGTCTTTCAGCAATGTGTTTGTGTCTGCCACAGTGTGCTTGGGATTCTGCCCAGAGTATTGGATTTATTTGGCTTGAGAGCCGCTCTATTCTGCTCCTGCAGAAAATCTAATTGCTGCATGGACTACAAAGGGAAAGCCTCTTGGGCCAGGGTGGGGAAAGGTGCTTGTTGGGGGGATGTTTCTTTTGTTTTATTCGTTTGCTATAGTATTGTGATGTTACACAAGCAGAAGCAGTTACCTGTCTGCAATTATGTTGTCTTCAGTATATTTATACATTTGGTAAAACTATTTATACTGGAATCAATAAAGTTGTATCAACCAACGACTCAGTATTTTCAAATTACCTTGACACAGTTGTCTCTCCCACCACCACCGCCCACAAACATTAAAAGCAGTTTTTAACCGAGTAATGCATGCTGTAGTTAGCATCATTTTTTATTAATATACTGTTGCATTTTGTGTTCCTATCAAAACCACAACAACAACAACAAGAAAACCAGAATGTAGAGAGAAGGGAATGGCATCATTTTTAATGCAAGACCTATTTGAGGAGAAATGGAAAAGGCTTGTGAGCAACCCTAAGTGCAGATGAGGGAATAAATCAGTATGTTTGTTAGGGTTTTTGTGGATTTCTTATGCTATGTGTGTGCAGAATCTTAGCAGATTTCGCAAGAATTCTGCTTTTTCACTGCCAGCTGTCTTTGGTTTGACGGCAAGTTGACTTGGGAGATGGCTGGAGGAGGAGAGATTCTATTTCCTACAGATTACAGTTGACTTTGGGATCCCTTCTGTACAGTCCTACAGGAGTTTATAAACAGCAAAAGTTCTTACCAAAAGCACATTTTAAAGGCTACGCCCCTCATCCCTAAGGCAGCATAGGAGTTGCATCATGAATGACGACTTGGACCCTGATCTATATGTAGCATGCTAGATTAAATGTACCTGTGTTTTATAGCTTTCCAGAAGACACATTTCACAAAGACTGCAATCCTAAGCACCTTTGTTGTGAGGTCCCACTGAACTCAGTGGGATTTAGTTTTGAGAAAATATGCTTACAGTTGCATAGTATGTGAGGAATGGCATTGAGAACCTTCTTTCCCCCTAGTAAATGCAATGAAAGACTATTAAGCAACAAGCTTATAAGCAATAAGCAACAGGCTTATCAAGCAACTAGTGAAGACAGACACACTGGAAAGTCATTTCAGGTCTTTAGTTTATTTTTCTAGTTGTTTGTTATAATATAGCAGAAAAACCACAATTCAAGACCATTGTCTTCAATAGATCTGACTGCTTTTGGCTATCACAAATTGATAAGGCTGAAAATGAAACAGGTGAGAATGTGATGCATTAAATGCACAAGCTCTGTGATATGGAGCTTATTTAAGTGAATGTATTCATTGCATTATTATATACAGTACTGAATAACTGAATTAATGTACTCATATTACACATGAATTCAAGTTGTTCCTAACATGTCAGCAGAGGCAGTTAAGCAGAGGTAGGTTTAAGACGGAGCGTTTGCATTTTGTAAGCAGTTTGCCACACAACTAAATAGGTAAAAGCTAGAGCAAGGTGTGCTTTTAAAAACCCTTCAATTTATACTGAATACTAAATTGAGGTTAAAGGTAGCAGCAAGGTACCAGGCTTTGCCAAGCTGTGCCCACTAGATGTAAAAACAAAAAACAACTTTCAGCAATGTTTTCAAACTTGCCTTATGTGAAAAAATGTGGTGTGTTTTTTTTTTTATTAGGTTGTTCTGAAAGGGTTTCCTGTACAAGGAAGAGAGGACCTGTACAATGACATGTTAATGTTGCTATATTGCAAATAAGCAAGCTCAGGCTTTATTGGGATTTATACCCTATCTTTCAATAAATTATCAGGGCGCTGGCTTACAATAAATGTTATTAGCATGGGTTGTGGAGGGAGGAGAGCTGAGGCTGAGAGAGTGGCTTGCAACAATCTCCTAGCATGATGTCACCCATTATTAATAATCCATCCTGCCGATGTGATGGTGGCATGCTGCGAGAGACAGTGGTTTATATGACAACCCTCTAATGAAGTCCACTTTTAGCATCTCCATATTGCAGACTGCGTGAGAATTTTAACCAAGTGTGGGTCACGATCTCCACCTATCTGATGGGGGACTGAGTGAGAACGACCTGGCAGCGGTCTTTGTTGTTGAAACATGACTCAGATCCCGGTCTCAACTGCTCTATTACACAGTAAAGACATTCTACGTAGATAACGGCGATGGCAAAGGAGAAGAGACACTGTCAATTAACTGAGCACTTTAAAGGGAAAGTTCACAGTTAATTGACTGCCTGAATATTATTTCCCTAAAAGGCTTTAAAGCTAAGCTGGCCTCCGGACTCGTTCTTCCCCCGGCTCTCTCCTTCCCTGTTGCTGGCTCCCGTTTTCCAGCCCTGCCAGCAAACAATATATAACAACCTCGTTTAATGAACTGGTTATGTCAACCACACGCTTAGGTGGGGACGAGGCAGCATACTGTTACGAATAAAAAGCTTGCATCGGGTTGTTATAGCTAAGAAAAACCTAGCTGAGCTGTCCATTCCCTCGTTCACATAGGCGCAAAATAATACCAGGCGCATTTGTGCTTGTTTACCCGCAGTGTAAAACCGAAATCGAACTGAGGACTAGGGGAAGGGTGCTCCTCTTTCGGTTTTTATCTCTATGAAGCTAAGTCGTCCGAGGCTTCCGTCGCTGCCCCAAACTAAGATGGCAGCGGAAGCGCTCGAAGTTCTACTAAGGAGCTAAGGAAAGACCATCACTCAGCGAATTTGAGCGCCTGGTCACATGACTCCAGTGTAGGGAAATCGCCTATTCCACCTGCTTCAGCAGATTCGACTGTCCCGGGTTTTCTCGCTAGGTTAAGGAAAAGGCAAGTGTGGGAACTCAGCTTTAAAGAGAGAGGGGGAACCTTGAGAGACGTCGGTCGCGACTGCAAGGAGAGTCATTATCGCTGCTCTCGCCAAGCGCGTCGAATCTGCTGCTTCGAAGGCGGAGCTTGGCTAGTGTGGCTAAAGAAAGATGGCGTCGGTCTGGGATGAAGCGGAGGTGAGGAGATGGGGGGACGGACGGATGAGGGCGCGGGGGGCGAAAGGGGACTCCGTGGTCTCGGTACTGTTCGGCGGCAGAAGTTCCCCCGGTCGGGCCGCCCCTCGGCTTCCCGGGAAGGGTCCTGGGTGGGTGAGGAGGGCCCGGGCCCGAAGAGACGCGCTGCTTCTGACCATGACTCTGTGTTTCTGCCTAGGATGGGATCGGCGAGGAGGTCCTCAAGATGTCCACGGAAGAGATCGTGCAGAGGACCCGCCTGCTGGACAGCGAAATCAAGGTGAGGTTGCGCTGGGCTGGCAGAGCCGGTGGCTCCAGGTTGCCATTGTCCCTTTTCAGTCTTTTCTGTATAGTTCCTGTAACCGAGACACACACCCGGCTCGCCCTTCCCCTTAAGGCTGTTCTCGTCGCCTAGCATACCTGTTCTTCGGCCTGCCTTTCGAGGCAAAATACCCAGTCACTTAAGTGTGACTTAAGTCCCGGCTGCACTATACATTTAAAGCAGCATCATAGCGCTTTAAACAGACATGGCTTCCCCTGAAGAATCCTGGGAAGTGTAGTTAACAGTCCTGAACATTGTTAGGCCATCCCTATTTCCCTCACGGAACTACAATTCAGAATGGTCTAACAGTAAATCTGTCTTCCCAGGGAGCTCTGAGACTTGTAGCTCTGTGAGAAGAATTAGCTGAGAGTTGTTAGGAGACTGTTCCGTTTTCTTCTAGTATGGCTAAATTATTTTTGCTGTTTCTTTTTTTCTCGGCAGATTTGTTTCCTTTTAATTTTTGTTTAGTTGTTCCTCTCTAGACTTGCATGAACATGCTTACGTTGACGCTTGTTTTTTGAAGTAATGTCTTACTTGGAATTTACAGATCATGAAGAGTGAGGTGCTGAGAGTAACCCATGAGCTGCAAGCCATGAAAGATAAGATCAAAGAGAACAGTGAGAAGATAAAAGTAAACAAAACACTGCCATATCTTGTTTCCAATGTCATAGAGGTGAGTTTCTTATGCCAATAGTAAAATGGATGCTGCTAACAATGAATGTTTCTTATTTGTGCACATGAGACGATCCTTTGGTGCTTTAGAAGATGGCTTAAGATGGTAGTGCTAAACTGGTTCTGCAAAGAGAACAGGGATGGAGTCTGTGGAGAAAGCACTATAACAACTTGGCCTGTTAAAATATGTATGTTTGTTTTAAAACGCATTATTTCTAATGTCATTGCTGCAGAGTCCCTTTCATAGTTTTCACTAGCTCAGTTTGATTTCTTGATGCAACTTCTTGGCTAAAGTGCTAAATAAATTTGTTAGGTAAACCCCACTGAAGACAATGGAACTTAACTTCCAAGTAAATATGAAGACAGTTGTCTCTCTCCCTGTGCTTTAATTTGCTAGTCTGAAAAATAGATAGTCATAAATGAATCAACTGCAAAGAGGACCTATATTTCTTGGCAAAGGCAGCAATCTGCAGTCTCCCTTTGCATTTCTAATGGGGACTACTTTTCATTTTAAAACTTAGGGGAAAATACTGAGACAACTTTTGGACACTTGTTGTTTAGTCGTTTAGTCGTGTCCGACTCTTCTTGACCCCATGGACCAGAGCACGCCAGGCACTTCTGTTTAGTTATTAGCTTATGTTTTGCAGTGAACCAACCTGGGAGCTGTTTGGCTAAAGGGTGATATAAGTAAATGCTTAATAAATTAAATTGTGTCTTCCTATATTACACAATATTTCCTAGCTGTTGTGCAGTAGGCAAAACTACCTACTGACTTGTACCTGCTGATTTCCCCTGCAAAGGAGTGATGGACCAAGATAATTCTGGAGGCCTCAAAGACTCTTTAATAGTTGCTGGATAACTTAGTGCTTCTTTCCATTGCTGTGTGTAATTGTCAGCCAGGATTATGATGTGATTAATTGTGGTATGCTTGCATTCCTGTTGGTCTCTTTCCACCTCTAGCTGCTAGATGTTGATCCCAATGACCAAGAGGAGGATGGAGCAAATATTGACCTTGATTCTCAAAGGAAGGGCAAGTGTGCTGTGATCAAGACCTCTACTCGTCAGGTGAGAACAGCTTGTTGAGAGTGCTGTCATTTATACACACAAATATGAAGCTACCTTACACCATTTTAACTGGAGGTGTAAGGGATTGAATCTGGGATTTTGTCCATGCAAAAAAGTATTATTGTTTTATTATTTATTAAATTTGTTAGTCACTTTATTTTGTTTAGAGCAACCCAAAGCAGCTTACAACCAACCAACCAAACGGATCCATTGAACCCATTGAAAATAGCTATTGAATTATGCCCCCCCCTCCACAAAACACTAAAGATCATGGTATAACGTCCCAAGAAAAGCTTACCTGGCATATCTTTTAAACCTGTTTTATTTCAGCAGGCATTTTTAAGCTAGGGCTTTTTTTAGGTTTTAAGAGTGTATTTTAGATTTATTTGTTGTGCTGAGCATTTGGAGAACTGATGGCACCTAGGTCAAATCCAAATGTTAATACTTTGTTGCATTTTCTTCAACAGACTTATTTCCTGCCTGTGATTGGGTTGGTTGATGCTGAAAAACTGAAGCCTGGAGATCTTGTGGTGAGTAGGTCCTGCTCTGCGCAGCCATAAGCAGCCATAAATACATACCTGGTTTGTTTTTCATGATATACTGTTGAGGGTAAAGGTAAAGGCACCCCTGACCATTAGGTCCAGTCGTGGCCGACTCTGGGGTTGCGGCACTCATCTCGCTTTATTGGCTGAGGGAGCCGGCGTACAGCTTCCGGGTCATGTGGCCAGCATGACTAAGCCGCTTCTGGCGAACCAGAGCAGTGCATGGAAACGCCATTTACCTTCCCGCCAGAGCAGTACCTATTTATCTACTTGCACTTTTATGTGCTCTTGAACTGCTAGGTTGGCAGGAGCAGGGACCGAGCAATGGGAGCTCACCCCGTCGTGGGGATTCTGATCGGCAAGTCCTAGGCTCTGTGGTTTAACCCACAGCGCTGGATAGTTTACCATAAATGAGGTATCCCTAATTGTCTTGAGAATTATTATGACATTTTAGTAAACTGCCACCCCAGGCAATATTTCTTAGCTGTTTGATTTAGTAGACTTCCCTTTTAATGCAGCTGAGGTATGTGTGAATGCTGTACAGCAGAGGTGGCTAACCCAGAAGTGGCCCTCCAAGAGTTTTTGTAGCTTATCAAGACCCCCACCTCCCCCCAAAAAGAGTATTCTGTTTAAAGAAATATTGGATACTTATGAACACTGAGATTCACTTCACAAAAGTACTGCTTGGTGTCTTATTACGGGGTTCTTGTTTACTCCTCTGATGCTGAATCTTGGTGCATACAAGAATTAGTTTTCTTATGCCACAGACTAGTGGTTATAACATGACTTATGATGACAAATATTCCTTTTCATGAATGTCTGTGGCTGTTCGCTTTTCGCAGTTTAGTAACTATTTTCTGCTTTAAAATAAAGACTAGTCTCTTGATTGATTTCAAAATGGAGTTCAAAATTAAACCAGTGCAACAGTGCTTGTTGGTTCATCTAATGCCCAGAAATCGTAGCTCTAATGTTTAATTGGCAGATTCTTGATGGATTTGCAACAATAACACAAGAGAATTTAAAAGGGGGGAGGGGCAGAGAGCATGAACTGAGTATGAAGATGTTGGTTTTGGAGTAAAGAAGACTAATTCCTGAAATTATATCTGTAGGGAGTGAACAAGGACTCTTACCTGATTCTGGAGACCCTGCCCACAGAATATGACTCACGAGTCAAAGCTATGGAGGTGGACGAGAGGCCTACAGAGCAGTACAGTGATATTGGGGGACTGGATAAACAGATCCAAGAGGTGAGAACAAGAGGCTGTGGCCGGGGGTGGGGAGCAGTCTTTTAAGCTGTAAGCCTGCAAGCAGGGATTGTCTTGTTTTTAATATGCCTACAGCATTGGATACATTTTAGGTGTTTTTTAAATAATAAATAATACCTGTCCTGGAGTGTGGATTAATGGGCAGCATGGTCCATAGTAGGGATTAATCGTCTCTTTCTGTCTTGGCAGCTGGTAGAAGCTATTGTCTTGCCAATGAATCATAAAGAAAAATTTGAAAACCTGGGTATCCAGCCTCCTAAAGGGGTCCTCATGTATGGACCTCCAGGAACAGGAAAGACACTTTTAGCAAGAGCGTGTGCTGCACAGACAAAGGTAAGATTTGATGTTTATTTCCCAAAGTCCAGGAACTGTCTTAGTATTGGGTAGGGGTCTGTATGGTGATTCCACAGCAGTGTAGTCCATGCTCCAAATCCAAATCCTTTCATGCTGCATTTGATTTGATGATTTTATTTCAATATTAGTTTTTTAAGTTGTTTTACTTTACGGAAGTGCATACTGTTAGGATGCAAAATACTGTATTTGCCTGGGATACCACACTTGTGCAGAACCCACAAGCCTGCATATACTTTCCTTTTCTGCTACCCACTCTCTAGGCTACATTCTTGAAGCTGGCTGGCCCACAGCTGGTGCAGATGTTCATTGGAGATGGAGCCAAATTAGTGCGAGATGCCTTTGCATTAGCCAAGGAGAAAGCACCTTCTATCATCTTTATTGATGAACTTGATGCCATTGGCACAAAAAGGTAAGATCTTGGGACTGTATATGATCTGGAAATCATGCCAGGCTTCTTTGTGAAACCAAATAAGACTGTAATGTACAAGTATTGATAGGATCATTCCTGATTTCTGTAAGAATATATGTTAGATGAAAAGATGACTACTGAACTTTTGTGGTCCTAATTGAGATCCATGGTAGCTGTTGAAAAACCACCCTCCTTATAGGCTAGCTCCTTTTACAGGCAACAGCAGATTTGCATGGGGTTTCGGTTCCTGACCCCTGTGTGCATCGGCAGAGCGTGCATAAGTCCATTTTGCCCCATCAGGCCCCCTTTTCCAGCCACTTCTAGGTTGCTGCATTCTTAGTCACACATCAATTGGTGGTTGCCTGTACATCAACTACAGCTGTTTTTGGACAGGAATAGTCTGGCCATAGTGATTCATACATTGCTATAATCAAGTCTTGAGGTTACCAATGTGCTCTGAATGGGGCTACCCTTGGGCCTGGTCTGGAAGCGCCAGCGGGGGCTAGACTGTTCATGGGGACAGACTTCCACCAGCACAGAAGTCTGGTGTTCAAAAGCTTGCATTGGCTGCCTGTAAACTACGAGGTCAAGCTCAAGGTTCTTGTATCAACCTACAAGGGCCTTAGCAACTTGGATCCAGGAGACCTCAAGAACTGCCTAGTATCTCTGTCCCATCAATGAAGTCTTTGGGGTAGTCACTGTTAGTGCTTCCCCATGGCTCAGATGCACAACTTGTATCCACCAGGAGCCATGTGTTTCGCATTTTGGGCCCAGTTTTGTGGAACTTCTTTCCATTTGAGGTCAGACAGGTCCCCTCCCTGTTGAACTTCCAGCACCTACTGATGATTGTTGTTACAGCAGGCATTTTAATTGAAGTCAGATGGAATTGTCCTAAATCATACCACTGTTTCCTATGTCAGCAGCATAGACCCAATCACCTATCTTCATTAGCCCATTGATAATGGCCCATTAACACTGGCACAATAACTAATCGTATGTTTACATGACACATGCAAAATCCATGCTTCTGAAGGTTCAAATGGTGGTTGTGCTACCAGACCATAGGGGAGTCATTTGCTTCACTGACTATGATGACATTGCAGTAACAATTAGATTTGGCTTATACTTGGATGGTGAACATGAATATAAGGTTTCTGCAAGGGATATGCTGTGTAACAAAAGTTGACTTTGTACCATGATTTCTTCCAGATTTGACAGTGAAAAGGCTGGTGATCGGGAAGTACAGAGGACCATGTTGGAATTGCTGAACCAGCTTGATGGATTCCAACCTAACACACAAGTCAAGGTAACTTTCCTTTGCTTGAGGGTACGAGGTGGGGGTGCTGCAAGCAGAGATTACAGAGTGGCTTTCGAAGCCATTTTGATGAGAAAGATGTTAATAGGTTCACCTGCATCTCAGAGCACTAAAATCACTGTTCCTGGGTTCTCTCTTGTCCAGGTGATTGCTGCGACTAACCGTGTGGATATCCTAGACCCTGCTCTACTCCGCTCAGGGCGTCTGGATCGTAAGATTGAGTTTCCAATGCCCAATGAGGAGGCTAGAGCCAGGATTATGCAGATCCATTCACGCAAGATGAATGTCAGGTATTAAAAAGGAATGAAGCCAGCTTGTGGAAATGGCTGGGTTGCGGGCAATAGTACTCTTCCTTTATTCTCCAGGCCCTGTCATAAGTAAACTATAGAGTGTTCTTGTCTTGGATTCAGTAGGAGCACAGGTTATGCTATTGGGCTTAAGAATCTTGACTTTCTCAGAGCTCAGTTCTGATCTTTATGGCTGTAAACACATGTTAGCGCTGGGTGGTACTTGCTGTAATCTCAGAAATCTAAGAGATAGCCAAGCAATATTTCCAGTGATCAAGTGGGGCTTTAGCACCCCTCATTGCTTCTTTTCTTCCCCTATGACTTGTCAAATCAGAATAATTAATTCAAATTTAAATACAGTAAGTGTGCTTAATTTTATACAGAGGGCAGGTTTTTTGCTTTTTGTGGTGCAGAAATTAATTTTTATCACTGAATATGCACAGCCCTAGCTTTGACGTTGAAGCATTCTCAGGAAGTTTTTATGTGTCCTTTCCAGTTGAGCTCTTTTTTCCTATTTAATTTTTAAAACATAATTTATTTCTCTGCAGCCCTGATGTGAATTATGAAGAGCTGGCTCGTTGCACAGATGACTTCAATGGGGCACAGTGCAAGGCTGTGTGTGTGGAAGCGGTAAGTAGATCTACCCCACCCCACCCCCAATGCTGCTTCCTTTGAGAAACTGTCCTCAGCAGCTGATGCTGAACTGGAGAGAGTGCCTTCAACACAAAAGAGTGGCAATTTTCTGTGATGCATTATTAGGTTTTTTTTCTGAGCCATCCTTTTTCTCTTTGGATCAGGGGATGATTGCCTTACGGCATGGAGCTACAGAGCTTACCCATGAAGATTACATGGAAGGAATCTTGGAAGTCCAGGCCAAGAAGAAAGCTAATCTACAATATTATGCCTGATTCTTGCACCTGAAGCTAATTATTCAGGCTTTGGCTGAGAAACCAGGATCAAGAGTTGGATCTGGAACTTTCTTACTTTCTATTACCTGATGGGCTAAAATAAAGCATTTGCTTTGACTAAGGCAGCTGTTATGTTGCTACACCTTGAAGAAAAAGAATTACCTTCGTGGAATGGTACCCTTATGCATGTATAAGGCATATGTCTTCCTTTTAACCCCTTAAAAACACCAAAATTTGCACAAAGAACCCAAATTTGTCATTTGCTGTTTGTGTGATTGAATTCTTAAGCTTTTAAAAAATTACTCCTTCACCACAGCATTCCAGTTCCTGCTGATGTATGCTTACCCCCCCCCCCCAACAGAGCATTTAAACTGAAGGCACAGGTATACTAAAGTCCCCTAGAGGGTGCACCAATCAACCTGCTTATTCTCTGGAAGTAATTTTTATTTGAGGCAAAACTTGTCCCATACACACATTAGGCTTTGTGGACAGGAACAAGATCAACAGCTGGGATTACGAGGCCGGCTGCCAAATAAGTGACATTCCTGTCTCCCTGTATCGTCAGCTGCATGACAGGGTTTCTCCAGCAGCTGTGGTTGTGTAGAAATGCAGAAAATTAATGTCAGTCTCTCTTAATGAGATCCAAAAGGCTGAGAATCTCCAGCTTCTCACTGGACCCAAGCCTTTTAATTTAATGCCTCTTGAAACTTACAACTTCCATTTAAAAATCACACTTTCCATGAATACATTGACTTTAGCACTGAGTTATTAATTACATGCCACTTAAAAATACAATGTAAACAGCCCTCCAAAAAAGGCTTCTGTGTAGTCTTTTGAGGAGACAGAAAAGGAGTACAATGAGGAAAGACCAGTTCCTCCCCTTCAGCACCATTGTTGATGTTCCTGAGTTAGGCCCAGCTCTCGTTGTTCACGTGCGTACTGAGTCCATTTAATAAAAAGTGCTTCCTTTTCTGTTAGAAGAGGATGCTACCAAGCGGGCTGTCTTTTCAAGTTTCTGTGCTCATTATCCAAAATGGTAAAGTTCTACACTCAGCCTGGAAGGATTTGAAGCAGCTTGCAAATCTCATTTGCCTATTACAGCAGTTGCTATGACAACATCATTTCTAGGATGGGAGCCCTGGTCCACTTTCTTGCCTCAACCAGAAACCTGTTGTTTTGTTCTTTGTGTTACCTCAAGCAGGAATATCACATGTGACTAAATAACTTCATTAGGTTCAGCCACCCCTGTCATCCCCAAAAATGCTTTTCTGTATGCGTGTGAGTTATCTTGACACTAACTCAGGCCTGATGCCTTCGTGGAAGAATTCCTCAAGCACTGAAGTCTCATTTATTTGCTGCTTGCTCTAACTCCCTATGTGTTATCCCAGAAGTAACCTTTCATGAGCTACTGCTATACATATTTGGCTCCCAGAACTGGCATAGGTTAGATACTGTGTGGTCCAGAGGAAGAACTTGCTAATGTTCCTGTCTGAATGTCTATAAAGCCCCCACTTAAGCTGGTGTCAAAGGCTGAAGCAGTAGGCTGTGTTAAGCCTGTAACAGCATCAGGTCCCTGCTGCAGAAGAGAATCAGTAGGATAGCTCAGTTGGTTAGAGCGTGGTGCTGATAACACCAAGGTTGCGGGTTCAATCCCTATATGGGACGGCTGCATATTCAGGTTGGACTAGATGATCCGCAGGGTCCCTTCCAACTCTATGATTCTATGAATACTGAGACTGGCTGGATTTCCCTTTGGTCTTTACCTCTGACTGGTCCTCAAAGATTCTTGGAAATGGAGTTCCCTGGAGTCACAAGGACGCCAAAGGGAATTCACAGTGGCTTCTGCTCCTAGCAGAAATCTGATTCAGCTTAAATGGTACACAGATCCTACAGCAACACACCCTATTTAACAGAAAAGTTCCCTTTAGGCAAGCCAGGAATAAAGAATGAACCTGATTTGGTTGGTTGTATCAGACAGGCAGGCTGAAGAATCAAAGGAAGGGAGGGGTCCCCCCCGAGTCTTTGACATAGCAGCTGAATTCCTTCGTTTGTTTGCAGTGGGAACCTCCCTTCTTCATGAATTTCAGATGCCCCCACTATTGGCAGTAACCCACTGCCGGACCTGGCCTGGCCTGTGCTTGCTAGAGTCCTTTGCTCCCTTCTCATCACACAGTACCATTTTCCTGTCTGGGTTTCTGTACGACAGTCCGGGGGCTATTGAGAGAGGGGGCCAATGTGCATAAGAATCCTGCCAGAAGCGTCAGTCCCAGGCCTCCCCATGCACAGAACATGGACCAGCCATAGCCATGACTGATGTCCTCGGGTAACCCATAGACATAGCGAGGGTAACGAGACAGCTCAAAGTTTATCCCAGCCACACATGTGCAAAGGGAGATGATGCAGCAGGTACCTGAAAAAGAGAAGAGATAAAGATAAAGCCAGTGTTTCTCAGCTTCCTTGCAAAGGGCTGCCTCAAATCTGTAAAGCTCCCATTTTTTGTGACTTGAGGAATTTTGTTGTAGAAGGAAACAAACTTGCACAGCCTATTATCCACAGCATCTGAATCTCAGATTCATGGGCCTTTTTCCTGCCCCTTTTCAGGCTACTGTCAGATCTGAACTATGCTTTCACATTTGTTTTGATCTCGCTCTTTGATCTCTATAGAGAAAAAAATCTGTTTTGAATACCTTCTTCCTCATCAGCTGCTTTTCTCTCTAAAGGTTATGCTGCTCTTTTCATGTTGTACTGTACAAGGAAACAGAAAACCAGCTCCTTTGGATGAGCAGGATATAAATTTATAAAATACATAAAAACCATTAGAGGGTTTCTGGCTGCACCTAAAACCAGTTAAATAAATAAAAATAAAAATACAATATTCTACTAGCACACCTATGAAGTAGCCAGTCACATAGCTACAAGCACAGCAGTGGGTATACAGAAGGGTGAGGAACTTTTTTCACCCTTATCAGTATTTGACAGATGGTCAGTGCCATCCACTGGTCAATCACATACTGCCACATGAATGACAGGTGGGTTGTCCCACCCATCTGTCACAATCCCTCATGGGGGTTTCCCAGGGTAGAACTGGTCCAAGAACTGGGTAAGTACCATTATCTGACACATGTTTTCACTCCCCTCTTTTTTGTCATTTGAAAGTTTTATCACACATTTTAAGTTCATTGAGACAGTCCAAACAATTATATCACCTGTTCCCTAGTTCTTGTCCTGTGAGCCCAGTCCCCCCCCCCCAAGGCTTCAATTCATTACATATAGGGCACAATACCAAATGCATTTCTTCAGAAAATGGCTCTCAGCCTACAAAGAAAAAAGAACTCTCACCTCCCATAAGGAAGAGCAGTCCAGCTACATATTGCATGAGCTCATGCTGTTTACAGCAGCCCAGCATACCAATGATCCACCCAAAAAGAATGATGGAAACTGCCATACCAATAAAGCCAGCTGTCATTCTCCGCAGATCTGAGGGGGTGTTGGTGCAAGGAAGAAAGAAGATGGAGAAAGAGGGAGAGAAAAGAGAGTCTGTGAAGAGTAATTTGGAGACCGCAGAGGAAATCAGAGGTGGAGGCTCACATTTGCACCAGTGATCCATGAATATGAGTGCTTCCATCTTTTGAAATCTTATAATCTATGGAAGCTGCCCAGAGTCGCTGGGGAAACCCAGCCAGATGGGCGGGGTACAAATAATAAATTATTATTATTATTAAGCATTTAAGAAGGCAAAGTCTCAGCACTTCCTAAAAATATCATGCCTTTCTGTAAGAACCCCCAAGTCAAGAAAATAATCACTTTGGAAAATGAGCCAGATGGAAATTTGCCTTCTATATTTATTACAAGTGGTTTACACTGCACTTTTATAGCACTTTACAAGAAAGCACATAAAGAGGCAATCTCTTTGACTATCCATGCCATCAGGCTCCCACTCAGAAGCATGATGGGCTCCTGGGTTACACATACTGCTGATGTGGTGCTGTTACAGGAGCAAGCTAGGTTGCTATTAACATGTGTCCTCAAAGAAGTCTAGAAAAGTGTCCATGAAATTAGGCAATGAAGAGGAAAGGATAATCATTAGCATATGGCCTAGTGGGTTGGTGGGGCTTGACCAAGGAGCAGGAATGGCAGTGAAGAAAGGAAAGTAGTAATTAAAGTACAAGATATGATACCACCAGAAAGGAAAGCTATATGGGGAACCAGCTGCTGAGTAGCAGTATTTAGCATTGTGAGGGGGTTCCTGTTTGGAGCACAAATGTAGGAAAGCCCTGTACAAAGCTATACAGAACTAAGGTTGTCTCGCTGGCCACCATGACTGTGTAGCTCAGAGGTCAGAATAACCTCCGAGCCAAACCACCACTCCAAGAATACCTTAACCGTGTTTTTGATTACATAAACTGATGGGAAAGGGACGAGACCTTAATTTGGGGCATAGATGACCTTTTGATCCCTTCTGGCTTTAGAAATATATGAGTAACAATCTCAAAGCAGTCTGTGTGTCCTTCAGCCAGGGGCAGGGCAAGCCACCCAGGGGGGCGGGACACGCTGCATGGAGTCTCTCCGCCGCCTCCCCCTCAGCTGTAGGGCAGCTGAGGGAGAGGCGGTGGGCAGACGCAAGTCCCACACTGCCATTTTAGGCAACGTGGAGCCTGCAGACACCTAAGCCACTATGTCTCTCCCACTCCCTGGCTTGGGCACGCTGCAGGCCCCTCAGTAAGTGCCGGCCCCCGCGGTGTGGTGCCCAGTGTCAGCCACATTTCATTACATTTGTTGACTGAACTAAAAAGTTTCATGAGCCTTTTTAAAAACAAACAAACAAACAAACCTCATATTTTTGTCATTTTGTCATACACACACACCCAGTGATGATACCCTTCCTCTGCCATTGCCTACATGACCATTTCAATTTTTTAAAGGATTGGCTGACTCAGATTCCGCCCCCCCACAAGCTATTTGTGGTAAACTTGCAATCCAATAGTAACATACGCAGCACCTCAGTTACATCAGCACCCAAAACATTGTTCCAGTGCAAAGCTGCTCAGTTCAACTTCCTCTCACTTAGACTGGAATGGAGAACCTTTGCCAGCCTGAGAAAATGCTGGGAGAACTTCACACCAGCATTGGTTGGGTCCAACTGAAAGTAGATGTGGTGCAAGTGAGCAGGGTCAGAGTTGGTAGTGGGTAACACCATTTGTTCTTCCATTCAGCGCTCTCTCTCTCTCTCTCTCTCTCTCTCTCACACACACACACACACACACATTCTCTCAATGTAACCATCCTGCCACCAGCTGCAGTTTTGCATGAAAAAAGCATCCTATTTTAGGAGGCTTTTTCCAAGCCTAACTGCAGTGTGGGAAGTGTTTTCAGCAGCTGTGACCCTCTACAAAACACTGCATTTAGGCTTCAAATAAGCCCTCCTATTGGAGCCAATAGCAGGCAAAATTCAAGGCTAAAATAAATGAATACAAGGCATGGTGGTCTTGGGTGGGCTCAGAAAGTATTTGTTTACTCCTGTGTATCAAAAAGACCATGTACATGGAAAGCTAATGTGTCAAGAAGAAGGCTCCTTGATATGCTAGCTTTCATGTGCATGATGCTTTCAACAGGAATATTCAAACGTGTTTTTTACCCCACCTGTATTCTGAAGCAGTACAGTTCCAGGAGGTACACGTGATTCTCCTGAATTTTGATCAATTCTGGTAACAAAGATACAAAAGAACTATGTTCAGCGAGTGCTTTGGATACTCACGGAGGGCATGCCACTCATCCTGGCGGATAGTGTTGGTAATATTAACAGGCAAGTTGCGTGGCAGGGAAGATGAAGTGTAGTGATACTTCACAGATGTGCAACGCTGTATGACTCCTGAAAGAGAAAAAATGACAAACAGAAACACTATATATCTGACGTTAGGCTTTATTGACGTTGCTTTCCCTTTACTGCCTCCTAAACTATATTAGCCTTGCTTTAGTTTGTACTCATAATGCTAAGCCATCATTCAATGCAGGGCCAGATTTAGGTTTGATGAGGCCCTAAGCTACTGAAGGTAATGGGGCCCTTTATATGTGATATTTTAGGGAGCAGGCTAGCAGGCAGGGGCCATTACTTACATCATAGGAGCCTACACAACACAAAACACTGTTGCTGTATGTGTTATTTTATTTGTTTTTTTATCTTTTATTTTGGAAATGTACATCCAGTTGTTTTTCCCTTTAAATTTTTGGGGCCCCCCAAAGAGAGTGGGGCCCTAAGCTATAACTTGTTTAGCTTATACGTAAATCCGGCACTGATTCAATGTAAACCATGTCACTTAATTTCACCTCTGCCACAAATTCAGTACCGAGTATTAGGCAAACCACTGATTCTCAACAAAAGCCCAGCATCTGCAATAAGGGAGCTACAATACTGATCCTATTTATAGTGTTGTAAGGATTGCAAAAAGATAATATATGTAAAGCACTTTTAATATTCAGAATGATGATGTGTTGTGCTTACTATTATTATTATAGATATTATTGTTATGTTTATTACTAATTATCACATTTCATTATTAAAGCACGGCATCAAATAATCAGCAGGACCTATAGTAATATACTCTTTTCTAGGTTGATGTTCTGGTTATAGTGGACAGGAACAGAATAACAGAACAAGATTATTTCTACTATGGAAGAAATGGGGAGAAGCTGAAATGGGACCTGAAGTTTCTAAAAAAAATAACAGGATGAAAACTGTGAAGAAAAAATTAGAATGAATATTGTGACTGTGGCCTTTGGAATCACTGTTCATAACCATTGCCATTAAATAGAGGCAACCTCTCCACAATGTAATCCATGAGTCCCTCCTCTTCTATGACCCTTAAGTGGCCTTTCCAAATTAGTTTGTGCTATGGAATATTATAGAGCCAAACCAAAGAGTTATCAATTCATGATTTTATCATTATGATAACAGTGAGTTATGTCTTTCAGATAGACCCCCAACTCAAGTCAGTTTCTGGTGTCTTCTGTAGGTTCCCAGGGGATTGTGTTATCACTTGCTAGAGCTCTTTGAAGATTTGATTTAAATAACTGAACTTCTCTTTCCTGCATTTTCATTGTATTTATAATTAACTGCTTAGCCATAGGACAAGGCAAATATGTGCTTAAATGTCTTCTACCGATTTTCACCTGCTTTAGGAGATTAGGGAGTATCAGTTTCTTACCCTATCTTTATTGAAACATCAAATCCAAGGTAGTCTCTGCAAACCTACTTTTTATATTGGAAAAAAAATTATTGCTTTGTGACAAGCAGTTCTCTCTCTCTCTCTCTCTCTATATATATACATATACACACACATATTTAAAAACTAACTTTTGGGAGCTTGAAGGAAATTGTGAAAAAGAATAAACAGGGTTGCATTCTACCCCCCATAGTGGTTAAAAAGCATATATTTCATAGTTCAAACAGGTAAAAATTAATCCTTGCCAGTTTTTCACAAGTAGGAACTGTCACAGAAAATTGATGCACTGCATTTAAATAGCAGAAGTTTAAAAGATGGTTGCATCCATGCTCACATGAATAAACTAAAGCTTTTAAAGAAAGATACTTCAGTAGTGCACAGCAGAAGAAGAAGAAGAAGAGTTTGGATTTGATATCCCGCCTTTCACTCCCCTTCAGGAGTCTCAAAGCGGCTAACATTCTCCTTTCCCTTCCTCCCCCACAACAAACACTCTGTGAGGTGAGTGGGGCTGAGAGACTTCAAAGAAATGTGACTGGCCCAAGGTCACCCAGCAGCTGCATGTGAGGAGCAGGGAAGCAAACCCGGTTCCCCACATTACGAGACTACCGCTCTTAACCACTACACCACACAGGCTCCTAGGAATAGGAGACGTTTATCTCCAGCCATAATGTAGTGGTAGATCACATGCATACAGAAAATCCCAGGTTCAGTCTCTGGCATCTCCAGTTAAAAAAAGAGAGCTGGAATCAGGGAGGGAAAGCCTTGTGCCTGTGATCCTGGAGAACCACCACCAGCCAGAGTAGAAAACACAAGCCTAGCTAGACAAATAATATAAACTGGCCTATCTAATCTCTTATATCTTCTCCTATAATAGGGCCTGTGCATGAAGAAGCAAATAAAGATTCTCATGTCAGCTCAAGGGACCCAATCACAGAAGAGGCTTCCCACTGCATGATCCACTACTCCAGTCTTGTCTCCTTCATCCAAGCAGCCTCCAATGCAGGCAGATCATTCTTCCAGGTCTCTGCACCAAATGCGAGTGGCTCTTTCATTTACTCCTGATGCAGAGATGCAACAGAATTACCTGCCCTCAGAAGAGGCACACTCAGAACAGTGATTCACACGCATACTTAGCAGGGCTACTCTGAAGAGAGATCATTCTTATTCTTACATGCCTTGGATGAGATCTAAGTTTCCTCTACTTGCCCCTGCAGCCCCACATGTGCTCCAAATCTAGAGGGATCTTCCATAATAGATGGACAGCTGGAGGGGGTAAAAAGAGAAATTGGAAGTCCAGTTGTACAAGTGCATTTCTATTGCACAAGTGGTCAGTAATCATTAGATGTTGATGTTTAGAAGCAAGCCTTTTCAAATGTAAGAATGAAGTATGCCTACAAGTTTATTGATTGATTTTTAAGTGTCTGAGCCACTGCTCTAGTGACTATAAGTACATGATGAGACACACACATGAGCTCATTACTTTGAATAGGTATTGTTGTTTATAGAGGAACTGACATGGAAACAGAAGATAGGGAAAAGTTGAACTAAGAGACCAGAAGTAGTACAGTAATTTGCAGTGTAATGCCATACATGCCTACTCAGAAGTATATCCCAGTGCAGTCAATGGGGCTTGGTTGCAGGTAAGTGAATATAGGATTGCAACCTGAAAAAACAAGGCTGTTTTCTTTTATGTGCAAATATATCCATACACAGAAAAATATTAATTATGGCAAAAGATACAAGACTATGACTTTGTATTGTAAAGAGTTATTTTTGAAGGCATACTAGCTAGGAAGGATGCAGGCCCTCCAAGCCATAGGACGAAGGAACGCAGGAAGGCAGTTGGGCCACAATCCAACACAAGGGCATGCTTAATCCCACTGAGTTTAATGGGTTTACCCAAATCTAGCTCTGTCTTGGATTGTTGCCCCATTGTCTGACATGAATTAACTTTTCATAAAAGAAAGAACACGCTGAAAACAGTGTTAGAGAACAAGCAACAGAGTTTGTTTTCAATCCTTCTGGAAATAACAGTGGGAGCAGAAGGCCTTTGGCCAAAGTGGAGGAGGGAGAATCAAAGAGATGTAAAACAGCATGATCCACAACAATACTAATTACTATAATGAAGAAAATGTCTTTCAACATGGAAACATAAAAATGCAGAAGATGGATTCTAGTGAATTAAATGCAGGAAAGCAGCTGGTGATGTTACAATGGGTTCTGTAAAGAGAATCTACATCTATATCTTAGACATGATACAGGATCAGAAACACCAGGTTAGCAAAATAATATAGCACCATTCATGGACATCAGGCTTCACAAAGAAGAGTTTTGACAGGTTCTCAACCCAATGACGTTCACAACCTAAAAAACATGCTGTGAAGCCTTAACAGAAGGGTCAAAACAGAGGTTAGGATAGGGCATGCTATTATTTTAATTACATGTTACACAATAGTCTATGAGTTGTTCCAAAGGCTTTCTGAAAATGATGAGTTTTGAGGAGAGACCTGAAGGAAGTAAAGGTGTTTTCAGGGGCAGTTCTAGGTGTAACGGGCAGCAAGGGAGTAGATAGTTTATTGGTGTATATGTTCAAAGACTTTTAGAGCTAGAACTCTACCTCAAACCATCATCTTGCCATCTCTATATGTATCCTTAAATAATCACTGAGAAAGAGATTTCTCAAAATGCAGGGTATAAAATACATAAATAATTTTAAAACACCCCAGATGTTTCTCCAACAGGCTTGAATTGTATAACACTTAATTTCATTGTTACCAGTTTTAATGCGCAACATCTTTTACCCTTGTTGCTGTTTTTTTTAATTTGTAAGTATTGGTTGTAGAATATGTTTTTTGTCATTTTTTTCTAAATTCATTGCTAATTGAACTTTTTACTGATTATGCTGTATGTCATTCTTTTAGCAGACGACTGAAATATATTTTTATTGAGTGATTTAATTATTTCCTATTGTGAGATGGAAATGCCACAATCTCTGCTATTAGCAATTTCTTCAACTGCCTGGAAGACTATACTTGAAATGTAAGGAAATGGGCTGAAGCATCTTGTGCTGCCAGCGTCGGAATATTATATAGCTCATGTTTATTGGAAGCATGAGCTTCCATCCTGTTGCAATTTCCACAACTGTTACAGGTAAAGGAAATCCTATGGAAAAGGTGTGAGATTCAACCACTCTATTTCCAATGCAGCACAATGAAGACAACCACTGCCAAATTTTAGAAGGGTAAAGCAAGAGCTGCTTTCTATATGCAGTTCCTGGGCATATGTCAGGAATGCCAGGTACATTTCTTAGCCTCTCATGGTGGAAAGTGGAACAACACAGAGCAGCCACAAAAAGATTTTGCCTGACAATCAAGAGATATGCCTGACAGTGACCTGCAGCTGGATATGGTGGAGCCATGTGGCAGTAATGGTGCCCAGCATTCAGGTTTGTCATTCATATATAGACAATGCCACTTACAAGGCAACTGCCCAGGTTTCTGACACCACACTGCAGGGCTCTGGAATTGTGCATAGTGTCCCTGGAAAATGAAGGCATGTTTTCTTTCGGGACAATCCCACATCCAAAGCAAGATCTTCCTTGTGCATAAAGCACATCCCACCCTGGCCAAACAAATTGCCCCTCTCACCCAGGTGGGTACAGCACCCCCTGCCCATTTATTTATTTTTAACTGTGTGCACTGCATTTTGTTTGGCAGACCTGACCATCTTTGAGCAGGTGGAAGAATGCATTCCCAGGGAGAAATGAATGGTGATGGGCAGCTGATCACAGCTGTGAACAAGCATCACTTCCCCCAATGGCTGCAACCACAGAAACCTTGGCAGGCTGTACCCATGCCCAGCTGGTTCACCTGAGGTCTTCCAGAGGAACATATACAGGAGGTATCTTGCCCGGGTTATTCTCATGCATAAAAAGGGCATTGTGAGCGTTTGGGAAAGGACCCTAAGCCCTAGAGATCTAGGCTGGCGGAGAATCCAGTGGGAGACATGGAAATAACCACCATTTTAGGCAGCCTTGACTTGAGAAAATGCAATTGCCTCCCGCTTCCCCCTTCCAGCTTCTGTTGAGCCCTCTTGCCACCATGGAAGAAGGAGGGGAAGAAAACCTGCAAGGCTCTGGGACACCTAGCGCTTGGCTAGAAATCTGTGAGGAGAGCGGGTGAGGAGGCTGCCCTGAGGCGGGGACTCGGCCCCGCAGCCCCAAGGAGCTCAGCTGAGGAGAAGGTCCCTGGAGGCGTTTCCCTCCCTGGCCTGGGCGGGGAAGGCAGCTCTGCAGACTCAGCACCCTGGACAGCAGCAGCAGCAGCACCCACCCCACCGACGCCCCTCAAAATGTTCCCTCGACGGGAGCGAGCTCTCTCTCTCTCCCCCTCCCGCGTGCGCGCGCCCTCGACCCCCGCCAGCGCAGCCCTCCCTCGACCTGTGGGGCGCGGCCGCCGCTCCCTCCCCGCGCACCTTTCTGGATGAGCTCCTCGCTGTCGGGCTCGAAGCCCGCGCGGTGGCAGCGCCGCCAGAGGCCGGAGACGGTGGAGTTGAAGCGGCGGCCGCAGTGCGATTCCAGCGCCAAAGCGGCGGCGGCGGCGGCGGCGGCGGCCCCGGGGAGCAGCAGCGGCTGCGCTGCCGAGGGCGGCGGCGGCGGGGTTTGCCCGGGAAGCAGGGCCCTGGGCGGGCGGGCTCGGAGCGGCAGGTGCGGGCTGGGCGCCGACATGGAGCCGGGCGGGTCGCTGTTGTTGTTGCTGTTGCTGTGGGCGTTGCGCTTGTGGCCGTAGCCGCGGCAGCGCTCGCGGTGTCGCCGCGCGTCCGTCTCGTACCAGGAGTCGGTGCCGATGGCCACGGCCAGCAGCGCCAGGGCGGCGGCGGCCAGCAGCAGCCCGGAGCAACTCAGCGCCTGAGCCGCGGCCGCCATCTTCGCCGCCGCCGCCGCCTCCTCGCAGTCGCGCCGCCCGCCACTGCTCCCCCTGCAGCCCGGCCGGGGGGCCGCAGCGCCAGCCAGCCTCGCTCGCTCGCTCGCTCCTCGCCTCCCGCGCTCTGCAGGAGGCCCTCGTGGCTCGCCAGGCCCGGCCGCCCCTCGAGCCGCGAGCTGGCCCAGCACGGGGAACCCGAGGGGAGGCGGCAGAGGGAGAAGCCTCGGGAGACTGCTGAGGGCAGCGGCAGCGCGTTCCTGGCTTGGGCCCTTCAAGAATTACTTGTGTTTCTTTTGTTCGCAGTCTCAGGGCTCGGCTCTCCGGGTTCATTTTTCAAGCCGTCCTAGCGAATGCTTCCATGCATGTTTATTTCTCGCGGGTCAAGCTCACGTTTTCCTTCAGGGAGGCCTACCTGTTTCTCTCCCTCCTGGCTGAAACGCCACAACCACCCTGTCAGGTAGGTTAGGTGGAGAGATAGTGACTGGCCCAAGGTCACCCAGTCAGATTCGTGGCCCAGCAAGGGCTTGAATCATGGTCCCAATCCGACACTCTGGCCACTGCACCACACTGGCACAAAGTGCATCTCTCCACCTGTCCTGGTAAGAGTTTCAAAGCAGTTGCTGAGGAATTAAAACACTTTCTATGCTGGGCATGTTTGCTGCTGTACTTCCCGGAGCAATCATGTGAAAGGAGAAAGATGGATACACATTCCTAATGGAGACACATGCCAGGAAACTGATGATCTGTGGCTCCTTGGCATTTCTGTTGTTTCAAGAGCAGGGAAAGGAACTTGTAGCCCTCCAGATGTTCCTTGATTACAATATCTATAGTCCTTGATGCAAGTTGAAGTTGATGGGAATTGGAGACCTCCAAATCTGGAAGGCTACAGGTTTCCTGGCCCTTGTTCTAGAGCAGGCATAGGCAAACTCAGCTCTCCAGATGTTTTGGGACTACAACTCCCATCATCCCTAGCTAACGGTACCAGTGGTCAGGGATGATGGGAGTTGTAGTCCCAAAACATCTGGAGGGCCAAGTTTGCCTATGCCTGTTCTAGAGCCACTCAGCTTTGGGCAAATTCCCTGACTAGGTAAATGAAAGAAATATGAAATTATCATACTTAAAGTCACGAGGGATTAGACCAGACGCTGTTTCTTCTTGTTCCTTCCAACCATTGAGTAATGGCAGGGATGGTTCTTTCCATGATTTCTCTCCCCCCCCCCCCCAGTGATATACATTCTGGAGTCCAATAAAAGGGTGAAAACATCTATGCTGATGAAGAAGAGGCCACACTCAGTTTTCTTTATTTCATCTCTACTGCCTCCAGGCCAAGTAGATCAATACAGATGAATGAGAAAATGCACAAGAGCTAGTGCAAAACAAAGCCAGAAAGACAGGATTCTCTCTGCATTTCCTGAAGTGACAAATAGTGTGGAGAAATTAACTGTACTCCCCCCCCCGCCCCCAATCCTGTATGTAACACTGGGGTTGGCCTCTTCCCTTGGACCCTGAATGGCCACTTTAGGCAAAGCTTCCCAAGATCTGCAAACACAGTCCAGCCCAGGCAGTCTGGGCCGCAAGCCAGAAGCAACAGCTCACAGAGATTAATGAGTCAATGTCACCCACTTTGCATTCCTGAACTGTGATCAGAAAATTCCTGCTGCAGCTTGCAGCCTACGCCAAACCGAACCCTGATGCAAATAACATACGCTTCTGGGTACTCCCTCTTGGGTATGCACCAAAGCCTCTTACCAATGCCAACTGGATTTTTAAGGACAACAAATATCCTAGAAAAATATATTGGGTACTGTGTCTTCCATGGTAGCTTTCCCTCCTTCAAGCCAGTTCTTTGCTAGTCTGCACAGAAGCGTGGCAAATTAAGAGTCCTGGAGCAGCACTAACTGCCTAACAGTGAATAATCACACAGGATGCCTGGGAATAGGAAGGGTGTCTGTTTTGGAACAGTGATGTTCTGAAGCTGGATGCCTAACAGCTGACAACAGCTGTTAAAGAAAGGCTACTTTCCAAGGGCAGATCGAGAGAGAGAGCCTTTTTCATGATGAGAGTCAATGAGGCAGACCAGATGCATTCATTGCTGCTTTCTGGAAAATATGGCTATATGGCTACTATAGGCAACCGTCCTTCAGATAAAGCCACAAAAATAACGCAGAATCACAGTGTTCCCATCCCTGCAGATTTAAGGCTGCATAAGCAACAACATATGTTTCCACTACAAAGCAACAGGGAGCAGATGTTTAAATTATTCTCCATGCCCCGCTTAAGCAGAAAGGATGGTTCGTGAGGTGATCCAACAGTGGATGTTGTTCCTGCAACTTATGCAGACTACAACCAAGCAATTGTCCTAACAATTGTTCTGGCATCCCATGACTCAGTAGCACATCAGATGCATATTCACTGTGTCACATGTGATGTTGAGTTTTGAGCTGCAAGCTGTGCAATCATACAGAAACACCCACCCACCCCTCAGGATCTAGACAGAGTGCCTAAGGGGCATCTCACCTTTAGGCTTCATTAGAACTCACCAAACAAATGATCTGAGGATTGAAAGCACTAAGGAGTAAAGGCATGTTCAAACCAGACTTAATACTGTCTGAACCCATCTGACCTCTCTTTTAAACATCCTAAAACAGGAATCTAACAAAAAAGACTTGTCAGGACAAAAAACTGCCAGATCATTTGCACTTCCCCATGTGTAATTAGCAGCACATCCACGCTACTGAATTAAAACAGAAACAGCACATACAACAGATGCCTGCTGGCTCTGGAGTGGAGAATGGCAGCAGAGTTTTGTGCTGATATTCTCCCAATAGTGTTTTTGAAAGAAAATAAAAGTAGATAAGAAAATGGTCATCCATTTGCTGGAGTCAGGATGCAGATTTAGCTGCTGCCGTGGAAACTACTGTTTGTTCTGCTTGTGTCATTGGTGCAACACTGTAAAACGCTGAGGGTGGCTCCCAGGGAGAAGAGAAGCTGGTCATTGCTACAGTCAGGCAGCTTTTAAATGCTTTAATAACAACATATTGAATTCCCAAAACCTTGTAGCACAGTGGGTCGGTGTGCCTGGCTGTTAATCAGAAGGTTGGTGGTTTGAGCCCACCCAGGGATGGCTGTAGGATTCCTGCATTGCAGGGGGTTAAACTAGATCAGGGACATCCAACTCCCAAGAGACTGCAATCTTCTCCCAGAAAAAAAACCCCATGGGAGGGCAAGTCTAAGTTGTTGGGCTTTTTTGGAGGGGGCACCAAATTTGCAGTCCTAATTACTTAATGGGAATGCTGAAAAACCCTCACCAAAAACAGAGCCGAGCAGCAAGCTTCTGTTTTAGCGATCCTGCGTGAATGAACATGAATGACACAGAGAGGGGCTGGGGCCAGTAATGAGCAAGTGATCGACCAATATCACCTGGACTAGATGATCCTCATGATCCCTTCCAGCTATACAATTCTATGATTCCAAGGAAGTGCCTCTTTAGAGGCCCAATGATAATCAGGCCTGTGCCCATTCCACAATTTGGTTGCTGCACTATGCAAGTACAGAAAACAGACACACAAGCACAGATGATAAAAAGTTAGGACTACAAAGAAAACCATACATATCTGCAACTGAAACTGTGACTATTCACAGAAAACAACATAACTTCTACAAATAATGATAAAACATTTATTTATAAACAAGTTCAAATAACGAAACAGCTCGTTATATAAATGTAACATCATTGTATTCTTTTATTTTGAAGAGCACATAACCTCACACACAATTTACCTTTGTGCCACTGAAGACAGCTTGGTCTGAAAGTGCTGTTTATTTGCAACAAGACCATTTAGTCATTTGTTCTTCTGTCTTTCAATACACACTGAATCTCATTGCTGTTTTTAGAAGCCATTTCATCTCACTGTTCGGCAACTGAAGGGCCTATTCAAATTAGGCTGTCAAGCTGCGCTTACTTCCGTTTTTAAACTAGAAGTTGTAACATTTAGTTTTCTTGACAGTCCCGACTTTAATCATTTGTGCTGACGCTGAGTGGCCAGAAGTCATTCCTCTTTGTTTGACCCTGCAACAGTTGCACATCCAGAAAATCTTCCTTTTCCTCTATTTTTGGTAAAGCAAGCCAGCTCACTCAGCAAGGAGCTACCAGGTCAGCCAAAAGGAATGCAAAATGTATCACAGGGGCTGAGACAGATCCAGAAAGGCAGAGTCTGCTGCTTCCATACTACCTTACGATTTGAAAGCATGAGGAACTCTTCCCAGTTTAAGCTGTACAGCCGTAAACCAGGCATTATGGCCAGGTTCTTTGGTTAGAGGCAGGCATTGAACAACCTCTCCAAAAGTTTCCAGCGTGAATACTGATTTCAGTTATAATGCTTCAACCCAACTGGATCTTCAGTTACTGCTTAGGGAGAGGCACAGGATCAGGCAGTAGCAGATCTCATCCTGGAAGGTTCAGAAAGCAATTTTATGGCAGGGTGGGAGAAGGTTTCCATAGCTCAAAGGTAGCACTTATGATTTCCATGCAAAAGGTCTCAGATTCAATCCCTACTATCTCTAGTTTGAAAGGGATCTTGGGTACCACAGCCTTCCTTGCCCAAGATCCCAGAGAGCCACTGCAAGTCAGAGTACATAATGCTAGGCTAGAGGGGACTAATGTAAGTCTGACCGGGTATATTGTGGTTTCCTATATGAAACAACCAGGTATTTTGGCCTGGGATGGAAGATAATTATTTCATCCCTATGCTTACATTGCAACCTGCCTTTTTATTCTAGCACACATCAAGTCCAAACTGGCAACACTACCCCTTTCAGCAAAAGCAGTTCCTCTCTTCATTGCTGGTTGTTGTTTTGTGTTCATTTAAATTATTATTTTTTAACCACACACACACAACTTGAAAAGAAAAATCCAGCCACCCCACTTTCTTTTCTCAATACTTTGGAAGTCCTGGCTTGTGAAGCTTTAGAAACAAGAAATGGAGTCCAGTATTCTCCTCCAGAACTCCCTGATTTGCCTCTTGTAGCAGCAGCCAAATCCACAGGCACACAATACAAAAATTCAATGGTGTCCCTTATTGCTCTGTAACAGTTCAGAATGAAGGCAGCTTTGGGAAGCAGCAGAAGGCAGCTGGAGCAGGAGTCGCTCATTCGGTAGTGAATGAGAGAAGCACCATGACAATGATGCCAGTGCACAGGAGGAGTACTTGTTGCACTGAGTTCCTAGGCGAAGGAAAAGAAGAAAAAGAGAGGATGGGCTGAAGATCAGGCATGATGAGGATCTGGATCCTTCCACCCCCCCACATTTTTATTCCTCCTGGGACCCTCAAGGCGGCTTATAATGGCTCCAAGGTCAGGAATGGGGAAGCTTTGGTTCTTCAGATGTTGCGTGACTCCAACTCCCATCAGCCCCATCAACACAGTCAATAGGGATGATGGGAGATGTACTCCAACAATATGGAGGGCCACAGATTTCCCTTTGCTGCCCTGGAAGTTATGCATGGGGTGTTTCCCACCCCCCACAAGTTTTTCTTCCCATAAATAGATGTGGTGAAGACACTTACCAAGGATTCTTCTCTTCTAAGAGATCGGGCACAACATTTACCAAGGCGATGTATAAAAAGCCCCCTGAGGTAAATGGGAGAATCCAAGCGATGGTTTCCCCTGTGTGGATAGTGAGAAACACATCAGTGACCAGGAGGTGGCAGGAGAGAACTATTTGGGTAAGATGGGATGGATATGGGGGTCTCTCATTCATCCCTTCTGCATACTCCAAGTCTTACCTGTCCCTTTAGGTGACTGAGCACAGATTGCAAAGCAAGCCCCGAGAATGCCCCCAAGGGCCGTGGAGAGCTGTAACTTGGCTGCGCTCCAGCGATCAAAGCCAGCACGAAGGAGGATGACAAAATCTCCCACCTACAGCAACAGAACGGGGACAAAAAAAAAGAGAACTGCACTGAAGCTGACAACAGTCCCAAAGCATGGCACTGCAAGCTCTTTTCCAGAATTGCCATCTACAAAAAGCCCTTTCCTGAACAGATAACTAATTCCAAGCCTCAGAGTTAACAAGTGGGGAAGTCAAACATGGAACATAGTCAGTTAACTCATTTATTCTAGCCTCATAGGGAGGAAAAGTATTCTTTCCAATTATTTGGTTGGCAATAAGTAATTATAAGCAAACAGAACATTCACCATCTGCCACCACCGCCGCCAACACTTTGGCTAAGAGAAAGCCTAAGGATGTGCAAATATACAATATTTGCTTATCCCTTGTCTCTCCCTTCCATTCCATTTACTTCATTCATTGTCAAAATTCAGATTGTAAGATTCTTGGGGCAGGTACCTTTTTGGATTTTGTTACTCTGGAAAGTTTTGTATATTATTAGGTGTGTGTGTGTGTGTGTGTGTGTGTGTGTGTATTACAGAGTGTGTATATTACAGAGATTTGCTCACTCTTTCAAATAAAGCCCTGGCCTCCCGCTCAGACAAAACATTGAGACAACTTCCCAGCAAGCCTAATACAGATCCCGCTTACCTCATGGGGAATTTCATGCAGAAGGATTGCCATAGTGGTCAGGAGCCCAACCTACAGCCAATGGCAGAAACATGTTAAGACATTCCATATCACTCAACAGGGACACAAGTGCAGCAAAGCAAGACTTTTCTAAACATTTTTTTCCTTGGGGAAAAGGGGAGATGCTGACCCCGCCTCCCTTTGAATGGTGATCTGTGCAGTTTTAGTGTTCAAAGCAATTGCAAGGGCTTTTAGTGTTGGGTTTTAAGGAAGAATGTGGAAAAAGCTGTAGTTATTTAATACATATTATATAGATATTCTGCTAGAGTGAAAGTATTAGGAAAAAGCTATACAGAAACAGCACAGAATTGCTTCTTATTCGTCTACTTGCTTTTAACACCAACCTCTGGGATCTAAACATTAGGGGAGAGGCAAACAGGTCCCCTAAACAGGGAACTTACCTTTCTGCTAACCAAAAAGCTGGCTGCCACTGCCAGGCCATGTGTGAAATTATCTATTGTGTTGGCCAAAAGATTGAGGTATCCGCTGATCTACAGTGGCAGGGGAAAGAAAGAGAAATAAAATCAGAGCATCTAACACCTGAAAGACAAGGAGACCACAGACAAAGGCCATTTCACAAACAAAGATAAGAATGCCAATTTTATCTACAATGTAGCTTATATAAAACTTGTGAATGTGGTTAATGAGGCACATAACATAGTAAGCAGCAGTCTTTAAAGTGACTATCGTATTCTAACAACCCAATGGATGTGAGTTATCCTGTTTTGACAAGCAGATGCAGAAAATTAAAATATGGGTTGTCAGCTGTCAAACAGGAATGCAGCACGGGGCTTTTCTCTTAGTGGATGTGGTCCAGTTCGCCTCTCCTGAACTGGAACTGAAAGATGTTGAGAGATGGCATTTTTGTAAAGACACGGGAATTTTGTTTTTAATGATAGAAACTTTTAAAGAAAGCGGCTTAAGTTCAGGTAAAGACTGTGTACATAAAGGATCAAGGAGAAGGCAGGTGAAGGTCCAAACCAAGCAGGCGATGATGGAGTTGAAACCATCATTCAGTGGTAAGATCCAAGGCTCAATCCCTGCCAATTATGTGGGACTGGGGAAAAACTCTGACTTTGACTCTAGACAGCTACTGCCAGTCAGAGTGGATGGGGCTAGACAGCCCAACGGTCTGACTCACTATAGGGAAGATTCATACATGTTTAAGAGGAAAGCATCTGCATGCCTGATCTCCCCTAAAAGTAAGGGTTTGGCTATTTTTTTTAAATTCTGCCTGCCGTCTTTGCTTTCAGGAAGTTATTGAACTTCCTTTTGAGTTGTTTTTGCTTAGACACACATCACATTTTCCCCACTGGCCCATGGAACCCACCCCCACCACCAAATGGTTTACCTTGATCTTCTGGGCTGGTAGCGAAGACAAGTGAGAAGAACCATTACTCTGAGCTGTGCCCAACTTCTTTCTTTGGACTGGACTGGCTGCCTCCTGCACAGCAGAGAAACTGCTTCCATTTGGAATCCGTTTAGCAGGTGCTTTGGAATCACTGACCTATGTCACGGAGAAGCGGCTGGTCTTTTTCCATGTCCATCAAACAGTGGCCCAGAAACCTTTCTTCCATTCCCTTCATACAGTGCTATCCTAAACTCAAAGAAAACTATAGCTACTTCACATCTGATGATCTCCAAAGCAGAAGAAAGTTTGCAAAAAAAGGACACAGAAGCCCAGAGACTGTCATTTTAAGTGGTTTGTTAGGCAAAGTCACACAAATCAGACAAGGACGACCTCCACTTTGCTCATGCAAGGTTGACGGGGAAGCCAACAGATATCCTGCTTTCCTGACTCCCTACTCTAACCTAAACACACACACAATTCAAATCTTGAAAATCCCATATTTTGTATTTTCCACAATGTATTCAAATACCACACTGAAAGCATTTATGCCAAATACAGAGGAATTTATGCCAAGTACAGAGGAACTGTGCACATGGTGGGGGCGGGAACTCATATAGGATGGGGGTGGTTAAATTGTGGCCCTCCATATGTTTTGGGAATCTAACGCTCATCAGCCCCAGCCAAATGGTGAAGAATGATGGGAACTGTAGTGCAACAACATGTTGGAAGGCCACAAGTTAACCATCCCTGCCATAGGGCATTATGGAGCCCTTCTGTTCTCCTGCTGACCTTCACACCATGAGTTTATGTCATGCCTCCTGAATCACCGAAGAGGCTACTGGGAGGGATAGGAAATTAAGCTTCATGCTGCGTTTCCAAGATCCCATGGCAACATCACATGTCATAATCAAACTGGGATCTTGCGCCCCTCTCAGAATCCACTCACCAAGCTGGAGCTTCCTTCCTTTCCACTGTCTGGGAACATCTTCTGGAGGCTCAGGAAGGTCAGCAAACCAATGATCACCCAGAGTCCCAGGAGCTTCTGCTGCTGGAAACTCTGCCCTTCTCCTGCAGAGGGGAAAGAGGTAGAATGGGCAAGTCTCACCGTAACCTGAAAATCAGGAGCCCCCAAAACCATTTTCCCCTCCCAAAAGCAAACAAAAGTAAACCCCCCCTGCTTCATTCACACATTCTGGTTTCCAGAAGAGACATACAAATCTGGGGCCAGTGCACTCTAGAGCAGGGTTTCCCAGACTTGGGTCTCCAGCTGCTTTTGGACTACAGTTCCAATCATCCCTGACCATTGGTCCTGCTAGCTAGAGGTGATGGAAGTTGTAGTCCAAACACAGCTGGAGACCCAGGTTTGGGAAACCCTGATCTAGAGTATCAGTGCTGCTGGTGTAAAGTAAGAACCCACACACTCAGCACACATCTCTGATAAAGCTGAAACAAAAGAGTCTAAGGGTGCTTCCACATGTCAGCTATAGTGGGGATGCCAACTGACCCAGAGCATCAATCACCTGTAAACAACACAGGTAGGCACGGGAAGGATGGATGAGCTCTGGGCGTGATGCTGGAGTGGGTGAATCTATAATAAATTGACCCAGCAAAGCTCTTCTGTTCTCAAGCACTCTTCTCAAGTGTAGAAAAAAGAAGCCTTGAAAATAGAAGAGGACTCTGTAGCAAAGGGTGGGGGGGCACCTGTGCTTTCTATAGCTCCCTCTTCCTATGGCTAATACTCTCTGTCTCTCTTGCTGTATATCTCTCCCCATCCATCTCTTCCTGGATACCTTCACGCACCTAGCTCCCTGTCAACCCACTTCCTGTGACAGAATGTTGATTCCTTGAAAACTCAAATCCTGCAAGCTGGAGATGCTTTACTTGCAAATTTATTAACTCTGCATGTTTTATTCAGAGAAAAAAGCTGGGATTTTTTTGTGTGTGCAAAGAGACATAGGCAGCCCCTGGTTATAGCCACACGTTTACCAGTGCAAATTCTGAAACTGAGCCTGCCTAAGCTGCGTGCACAGGCATGAAGTCTGTGCTCTGGAGAGCTCATTCCTCCTCCTCCTCCTCCCGCCACACCCTGGCAAAGTTCTTTGCCTAAGGACAAAATATGTCCTTTTTGATTAGATGGAGTGCGGTCAGCTTCCCACACGCTGTTGAGACTGGCTGTAGGCAAGGGAGAATGACAGGCATGTGTGGGGTAATGCAATCCTGAAGCCCAAAGGCCAGATAAAGGCTGACAAGGCGGGGAAAGTCTTCCAAGGTCACATTTTCAGGAGGCAACAACACCTGCGGACTCAAGGCAGGCAGCAGCGCAAGGGCAGGTGCCCTTCTTATGGAGGGAGACCTATGCAGATCTTCAAGATCAGAGGAAGTTGTCCTTTATGAATCAAGCAGTTAAGTGCAGAGCTGCATGGAAGAGCACCCTTCCTCAAGGCTGCTGAAGTGCAGAGAGGCAACAACATGCTATTCAGGAGCAAAGGCGGCTGTGTTTGTTTCATCTCTTGCATCTATAGAAGAGAATTCCTTCCTCAACTTGGTGCCTGGTTGTTGGACTACAGCTCCCATCAACTCCTGCCATAGTGGTCAATGGCCATGGAGAACGGGACCTGTCCTCCAACAACATCTAGAGGGCTACAGGTTGGGGAAGAGGGACAAGGCATTTTCCCTATGATAATCAGCCATGAAACTCACTGGGTGACCTTGGGCCAGCTGTTCACTCTCAGCCTAACCTACCTCACACGGTTGTTGTGAGGATAAATGGGGAAGAGAAGAACTATGTTCACCATCTTGAGCTCCTTGGAGGCGAGGTGGGTTACAAGTGCAACAAGTTAATTAGTAATTCATTTGACATAGCTTTGGAAGAAGCATGACTATATTATTAGTATTATTAAGAGTCAAAGCATAGAACAGAGAGAAAACAAGTCCAGGCGTCCCCTTTGAAAAGATAACAAGAGAGCCCAAATGCAACACAACAATCTGTGCAGACGCAGGGAAAGAAATGGCTGTGGCGTGCCTTGCAGATCAGTGCCTGTGTGATTTCAAGGCATTTGCACAGTTCCAGGCATTACCTGCAGTGGCGCTGCAGGTGTAGGCCCAGGCCTCTGGGAGCAGGTGCAGAAAAACATTTCCCAGGAGCCCACCAATGGCAAAGCTCAAAAACTGCTTCATCCGATGGGATCCCTCTGAAAAGACAAAGAGCAGCCAGTCACCACAGAGCTTGATCTCATCTTGCTATGCTACTCATGGGAACGCTGAGGGAACAGTCATCTCTTCCCCCATGCATAGGGTGTGCTGCCATAGCAGCTGATCAGGATGCTTTGTCTGCTTCCAAGAAAATGCTGAAACTGGGAAAGCCAGTTGAAACACCTAGTACATTGCTCCTGCTATTTGACAACAGAACGCAGTGGGGCGTTTGTGAACTCGCAAGGGGAGGTAGGGCCAGTGGGAAAATTGTGTCTGCCTAGTGTCTAGAGAAGAGAGCAGGGCTGTGTTTATTCCACAGTTTTGAGCCCGCACCACACAAACACACAACTTAGTGTAGAAGTCAATATCCTGCTTCTAGCCGTTAAGAGTACAAAGATAAAATCAAAACTATGCAAGTGGTGCCAAGGGAAATCTCAAAAGCCACAGAAAGGAGGGATTTCCAATTGGATTTCCAGTGGCCAGAAGACAGGGCTTCATTGTTATGCCTGATGCTTTGCCCCTTCCCATGGCTAGTAGGAAACAGAGGCTTACAAAATACTCATACCTATGCATCAGTTACACAAGTCACAGAATCCACATGAAATTTGGTTTACTACTAGAGGGTGAAGGTCCTATTTTAGAAAATCCACCAGCACATGCTCAACACCCTAAACTTAGCCACTGTCCGCCCACCTGACTTCATGGAATGACTTGATAACAGCATATTGCTCCTGTATTACAATAAGCATGCCATATCCAGGTCTTGCATTTAAAAGCTGTGCTACCCTAAGCAATCCCTGACTGGGATGCTGAGCCAGAAAAAGAAGGCAGAAGTCATCAGGGGGTGCTTACCTTCTGACTTCAGTGCTGCCCCTGTCTCGAGAGGAATTACCAGCAGGGGAAGGACCCCACTCAGCCCAACCATAACTGAACCAATCAGAGAACAGATCCAAGCATCCAGGCGCTCCTCGCTGAATATGGCCCCCCAGGACTCAGTCTCCTTTTCACACAGGGGACTAGCCTCATTGTCAGCCTGGCTCAGTGGAAGGTCGTGGGCCTGGCAGGCAGCCGTAAGCATCAGGAAGGAGAGAGTTCCATGGAGAAGCAGTCGTTCCCCCATCATCACTGTGCAGCCTCAGCCTGGCTGGTCAATCCCTGCAAGGAAGAGAGAAAAGATGAACAGTCCATGCCTAAGACTCTTCAGTGCTTCTCCTCTTCACCCATCCCTTTTGAAAGTCAGTCCCAAGACATTTGTTCTTTTTTCCCTCCTGAACTGAATTAGTCTTCCCATTGTTGACTTTAGGGGAAGAAAGGATGAGTCATACTTCTTTCTCTCATTTTTTTACTAGATGGAAATCTCGTAACGAAGCGAGATGTACCTGCAACTCCTAGGTAGCTACTTATTCTTGTATGTGGGATCTTCATATTGTGAAAAAGAGGTATCAGCATAGATCTCGGCAGCCCATTTCTGTGACTGAACATCACTTTCCTCACATTGGGGCTGTGTGGTTCTGAACCATTCCTAAAAGAAAATTCACATATCTCCTGTATGTATATACACTTACTGAGCTGGTGGGATTTTTCTGGTGTGGCCTGCTGGCCCATTTAAATTTGGCCACGTGGCCCAGTCAGACCAAACAAAGGTTCCCCCACCCATTCCAAGCATAGATGCCAAGGGCATCTGGCAATATACCAAACAACCATCTGCGCTCGTGACAGCAATGGAATCTGAGGTGGAGTGGCAACCTGACCAGTTCACCATGGGTGGCTTGAGGCAACATGCTGACTGATGAGGACAGTGCAAGGACAGCAGCCCAGCCGGAAACCCATCAAAATGGTAGTACAAAACTAGACCTAGAGTTTAATGGCTTCTGCAGATACTAAAATTATGTGAAAGAGGAATTCAGCATGCCACTAAGCAGATCTCTGTCAGCACAAGTATTTCTGCCTACCTAATGGAATGATCCGCTCTCTTCCCCCACCATGCCATACTCTCCAGCATTCCTCAGATGAAAATAGGGACATTTTCATCTGAGGAATGTCGGCAGGTATGCTGCCCCTTTGGCACCTGTGTTTCTGCTGCCATGGCCCCAGGAGTTCTCACTCTCCCCCAACTGACCCTCACTGACCCCCACTTTTTCTGCTCCCCCAGCCCTCACATAGAGCATTTCCTACCAAAGGAAGTGCAAGTGCCCCCACCAATACGCAAATGGATGTATTGCCCTCCATCATCCTGAAAAAAACACCTTAATCCCAATTTTGTTTTGTTTTATTCTTTGGTAGATTTACAAAAATAAAAACGCACACCAAAAAATAATTTGAGGGAGGGAGGGGGGAAAGCCCCATTGCTATAGCAGAAGTTCTTGCATAGGCTTCTGCTGGCAGGGTCTGTTAGTTGAATCCCACCCTTAGTGGTTGGAGATGTTGGACTTTGCCTAGGGAAGCCCATGTGTAAGCGGCTGTTGATAAGCAACTCCAATCTCCAGACTGCTGTGGCCTCATCATGACCAAGTATAAACACAGACCTAGGGGATGGGAATAGGAGTGTCAGACCCATCCTTATCAGTAGATAAAGACTCAGAGGAACAGCGAGAGGGAGATCCAGCAGCAATATAACTGGGAACCTCCACAGCCTACAAAGGCTAGCAGCAGGAAGTCTTTACCACCTGGGGGAGGAAAGCTAAATGAGAGAAGAAGAAAGAAAGAGAGAAGTATTCCAGACCCTGAAGGGTGGTGGTGGGGGGAGTCAATCAGAAACTGTGAGTTATGGAACTCCAGAGAATCAGAGAGAGAAAGTAAACTTTGGGGCTGTATAAGAATTTTAACAATATTTGAAACTTAAGTTCCTGCTGATCAGAAGAGGCTGGGACTACATGTAGGAGAGGGAGACCTTCCCAGCTCTCCTCTAGAATTCTGAGGCCTACTTGAGTCTCTGAAGGAACCTAGGCTGCCGGACGTTGCTGGACCTCTCTTGAAGAAAAAGGAAGCAGTAACACCATAACAGATATATTGCAAGTGTATCTGAATATTTTTGTAATCTGGTCAGGGCTGACCTGCTTCCTCCCTCTTTGCCCCATCTGTGCACTTCCAGCCAGGTTTGTGGTGGTGTGAGAGAGCCAAGCAGCAGCCAATTCCACAATGTATGCTCTGTCCTGTCCTGACACATGTATATCCAAGACACCATGTGGTCAGGAAACACCTTTTGGGAAGTCACCGGAGCAACCACTCAGAAACGACAGCTCAGGGGTTTAAGGCTCTTCAGCAGGGATAGCCGCAGAATTTTTTAATATTTTATTTAGCCCATCTGTTGGCCCTGCAGTTTGAAGCTAGGAATTTCTGGTCAAACCATTTCTTCGGCCAGCCTGTCCTGTCTACTTGAGTCTGATTGGCATCAGCTTTCCATGGTCTCAGGCAAAGATCTCTTCCGGTCCCACACTTGCTTTGTAGTTATTCAATGGAAGTATTTATATCTTGCCTTTCAATCATACTAAAAAGGCAATTAACAACATTTTCAGTAACCCAAGATACTCTTGGCTTGAGTTGCCAGAGATTAATCCTGAGACGCTTTTTGCATGCAAAGTGTGTCCTCATCCAATGAGCTCTAGCCTTCTCCTCTCCACCCTCACACAGATTCCATCCCTTCCTCTCCTTCCTAGATTTGTATTCTACAATTACTTTCTCCCCAAGGTTTTCTGCAGGCAATGCAATCCCCTCTCCTGCTCCCCCAAAGAGTTAAGCTGGCAAACATGGGACTCCCTGCCCCTCTGCCTTCAGAGCAATCCTGTGAGATAAGATTAGAATCAGACACAAGCCTTATTCACTCAGTCTCCCCACCTCCTCCAGCCAATTACCATAACACAAGGGGGTGAGCCCATTGGCCTTGGCTTCTCACCCCTGGCACTGTTCCTACAGCCCCCAATATGCTGAGGACTAACTTCTGCAGTGAAGAGGCTGTCCTCCTCATGGGGTCTCCCCATCATGTGATCTAGAACCCCAATCTTCTTAAGACTTCTTAATTGCATGGGGAGCTTTCTGCCAGGGCAGTTTGCCATTTTTGGGGTTCCTTTTCCAGTCAGCAGTGTCACCCAGAAAGTCTTCCAGAATCTTCCACTTCACAGTTCGGTTCTTCTCTTGGTGAACTCCCATGTGGGAATAAACACCTCACCCATTTTTGTTCTTCTTAAAGTATTTATTGCCAAAGTAACACTACAGTGTATATGGTTACCAGATTTTTTTCAATGAATCCAGGGACACTTTTTTGGGGGGGGGGGGGAGCTCAGTAGCAACAGGGAGTCAGTAGTGGGGATGATGAGACAAAAGACCCTGGGCCCAAGCACACATGCATACTGTATAAAGGTGCAAAGCCCTTATTTCACACCCTGTGAAACATAAATGTGCAGAGTTTTTTTAAAAACTGGGCAATGGCTGCCCGCCCGCGGTTCCCGAGCCTCCCCCGATCTGTCAAAACAAAGGGGGGAAGGGGGCAGGAGAACAAGGGAGGCTCGGGAGTCATGAGCGGGCGGTGCACCGTTGCCCAGTTTTAAAAAAACTCTGCGCATTTCTGTTTCACATGGTGTGAAAGAAGGGCTTTGCACGTTGCCCAGCAGAGAAACCACGCGCCTTGCACCCCTCCTGGGCCATGGCTGCCCACCCACAACTCCTGTGCTTTCCCCATCAGTCAAAACAAAGGGGAAGGGGTCAGGGGATCTGTACCGCCAGATGTCCTCGGTTCCCCTTCGGCAGTGGCGGTGACAGCGGCAGTCACCAGCCCGGAGCCAGACACAGCCAACTGCGCTACCAGGCTGGCTCCAGGCTGCTGAGGCTACCGCTACCACGTTTCCTGGGGACAGATTTGCAAATCTGGGGACATTCCGGCGATGTAATTTGTCCAGGGACAGATTTGCAAATCCGGGGACTGTCCCCGGGAACCGGGGACGTCTGGTAACCCCAATATAACTTGTACAGTCATACCTTGGAGGTTGAAGAGAATCCGTTCCAGAAGTCTGTTCCACTTCCGAAGCGTTCGACTTCCAAAGCGCGGCTTCTGATTGGCTGCAGGAAGCTCCTGAAGCCAATCGGAAGCCGCAGAAGCCCCATCGGACATTCGGCTTCCAAAAGAACATTTGAAAACCGGAACACTCACTTTCGGTTTTCAGTCATTTGGGAGCCAGAACGTTCAACTCCCAAGGCGTTCGGAGTTGAGGTACGACTGTATAACTACTGGTCTAATAAAGTAAAATAAAACTATATGCAGATAATCATTTGGCCATCTGGCCAGAGCAGCAGCCTCTACACCACACACACACTTTCTCATCCAGAGCTTGCCTTATAAAGAAACCTGTTGCTAAGAGCAAAATTTGTTGCTATGGCAAAACTTTTCAAGGTTTCATTTCAAGTTATTGTTTAGACTACACTAACACTTTCTCAACATTATGCTCCAACATACGGGGCTTTGCAGGAAAGATGATGAAGATGATGTCGGAAGAGATCAACAGGTAATCGAGAGCAAGCAGAAATGGATGGATGGGGCTACAATTACTGTTTGAAGATCCCTCAAGGAACTTTGTGGCTGAATCAGGGATTTGATTCGAGGTCTTACTCATCCACTGCACCCTTCTGGCTCCAGTGATTTAAGAGAGGCTTGGAAAGAAACGTTCGCCTTATATTACAGAAGAGTAGCTACTAGGCAAGGCCATTCTGTCATTTGGGAGACAGCTCTCTTTTTCAGTCTACTCACATCTGCCAAACATAGGACATGTGAACAAGCAGGCAAGGACAAACATTTGTGGCTTAGCAGCCCATATGCACTTGCTTGCAAGGCCCATGGTGGAATCAGTGAGTGATGGAAAATTCCCAGAAGGCAGAGTTCCAGGGGGCTAGAAGGCCTGGGAAAACACTGGGGAGGGGGAGGGGACAGAGCAGGGCTCCCTTAGTCATGCCAGTGCCAACTAATTTGGGGCCAACACATCTGAGACATGTGAGGTATCAAAATGCCTCCCGAAATTCCTTCCCTGAGTCATCCTAGGTTGAACCTGCATGTGGTGCTTTGAGTCATCTGTTGTCCCCCTAAGAACATAGGAAGCTGTCTTATACAGGTCCATCAAGCTCAGTATTGACTGGATGCAGCTCTCCAGCAGTTGAGACAAGCGTCTTTCGAGCCCAAATGCCAGAGGCCAAACCTAATCAACCACATTTTCCCTAAAGTCAGCACACCTGCTTTCTGCAAACCGTGCAGCACCAGATGCTCAGCCCACAGAAGCCCCCTGCTCACTGCACAACATATGGGTGAAAGAAAGCAAAGCTCATGTGGGGAACACACTCTGCACTACTCAAGTTTCCTGCAGGATTCCCTCCAAACCATCAGAGCCTTTTTCCTCCCGGGGAATATTTCCCCTGTCACACACACACACACTTCTTGTTTAGCAATAAAACGGAACAAGGAAGCATTATTTTTAACTACCACAGCTCCTCTAGGGAAGATGCCTATTTATAAAAGGATTTAACCAATTCATGGCAGAAGATGTTGATCAATGGCCATTTCCCATTACAGCTCCAAAGGAAGTTCCATTTTCAAAGGGAGTGTACTGGATCATCAGATGTTAAAGCCAACTATCGCAATATTTCTGTTATGTTCAGGGCCTGCTTATGAGTTTTCCACAAGCATCTGGCCAGCAGAAAAAGTGCAGAACTAGGTCAAATGCAGCCAATCGGTTCTTACATTCTCAAGTGGCAAGTATGGGAATAAGGAACCTATGGCTCTCCAGATGATGTTGAACTAAAATTCTCATCCCTGACCACCAGCCATGCTGGCTGGGGCTGATGGGAAATAGAGTCCAACAACATCAGGAGGGCCCACAGATTCCTCAGCTCTTCCCTAGGTGTTTGCCTAGTGACTGTTAGTAACTCTGAGCCAGCGTACAGGTTTTATGGTGTTTTATATTTTGCTGGAGGGACGTGGGTGGCGCTGTGGGTTAAACCACAGAGCCTAGGGCTTGCCGATCAGAAGGTCAGCAGTTCGAATCCCTGCGACGGAGTGAGCTCCCGTTGCTCGGTCCCTGCTCCTGCCAACCTAGCAGTTTGAAAGCACGTCAAAGTGCAAGTAGATAAATAGGTACCGCTCCGGCGGGAAGGTAAACAGCGTTTCCGTGCACTGCTCTGGTTCGCCAGAAGTGGCTTAGTCATGCCAGCCACAAGACTCGGAAGCTGTACACCGGCTCCCTTGGCCAATAAAGCGAGATGAGCGCCACAACCCCAGAGTCAGCCACGACTGGACCTAATGGTCAGGGGTCCCTTTACCTTTAGATTTTGCTGGAAGCCCCCCAGAGTGGCTAAGGCAACCCAGTCAGATGGGTGGCATATAAATAATAAAATTATTATTAAATTATTATTATTATTATTACACTTGCCATGAGGTTACCACCCAAACGCAAGTGATCTCCAAACCAGCAACCATATATAGTAACAGGTTTTAGGTGATCCTCAATGGATCCCCTTTCCACTTCTCCAAGGTACCGCTGCCCACTCACTCTCCCTCTGTGTGCAAACTAAACAGCCTCCAAGGTACGGACAGTGATGTGCAAGGGAAGTGGAGGGTGTTGTTCCATTTCCTAACTCATCATTGCTTGCCCACTTGGAGAGGACCGATGAACAGGCACCAAAGGAAAGTAGATGGACCAGCATCTTCAGAGCATTCAGAGCTCAGAGCATTCAGAGCTTCAGAGCATGGCAGTGGACCCTTTCCTGGAGTGGGGTGGTACCCAAGGATGCCACCTGCTTCTGCCTGGAACTCCATTATCATATTGTGAGCCTCCAAACCTTCCTAGCAGAAACAATGAACATGAAGCCAGGGGAGCAAATAGTTCTACATATTATGACAGAGAGAGCGAGCATTTGCCATGGAAGTGGGGAGGGGGCATTTTTGGCAACATTCCTCCAGAGCTTGAGTGATGAGGGCCAGCACAAAAAATTCTGCATCTCTCCTCTCCTGCAATTGCAACATGTCACATTAGTAACATAAAGAGGCAATGTGTTTGTGGGATTGAACCATCACAGGTCAGGCACCATGGTCAGAAGTTCCATAACCTCTCACAACAACTAAAACTCAATATTTTTCAACTGAGTAAATTCCCATATCCAACTATGAGCCATCAAGTATTAAAAAAACCTATGTTTGTGTGTGTGTGTGTGTGTGTGTGTGTGTGTGAGAGAGAGAGAGAGAGAGAGAGAGAGAGAGAGTCCTAAGAAATCCCCATTATTTATTTATTCTTAAAAAAAAAAAACTCCAGCCCTTGGTAACTTGGGGAAATAGCTTTAATGCAAAACACATCTGGCCTAGTGACCCTTTCATAATTCCCAGCGAACAGGATTGAAGTCATGACCTGCACAATTTTTTTAAAAGTAGAACCTTGACTCAGAGCACATTCCATGTGGGGGTATTAGAAGTGGGAATTGTCCCAGAGGAGAGGAGACTCTGCTTGCTAGTGAATAACTGTGTTCCCTGGAGGATTATCTAAATTGCGAGGAGCTCCTGAAATAGCAACTGGAGGATGATTGATATACGTAAGATTTTTTTTTTTTCCAATTCAGAATGAGATGCTGCAGGAAAGAAACCCAAAACCAGACAACAAGAAACACAAAAAAGCCTTTTCATATGGCACATGTAGATGATTGGGGTTGCTATCTGAAAAACACTTCTGGTTAAGCATGCTTAGGATTATGTTATTAACACTGTGAAAAGTCTGCATGCCTCTCTAGACAGGAGACCTACACCCACTCCATTCTCTTGGATGGCAGACTCGATAGCCAATGCCACTTGAAATATAAGCCTACACCAAGAGAAAGAGAGAAACGGAAAAGGGAAATAGACCAGAATGTTTACTTGAGAAATTTCTGAAACTGCTTAGTCTCCCTTGCAAGAGATTTCCAGTCTATTCTAGAAATGGCCTTTATCCAATGCACCTGGAAAATCCAGCTCAGCTCTCCCCACAGCAAGCTCTGTGCAGCGGTCAAGAGTTTCTTCTGCTCCTGCCTCCTCCCCTGACAGCCAGCAGCTTTACCCTTCTGCTGACCACACTGTTCCAGCATTTTTCCAGTCTTGTATCCTACCACCATGCCACTCTTAAAATATATATATTCAGGCATATTCCTCTGAAAGCCCAAGGCTCATCTCTAATTATGCCAGAGAGCCCAGACAAAATGTCATCCTATTCCCCCGCAACAGAAACAGCAACAAACAAACTCTCTTCCAGACCCTTTTACGAGTCCAGCAGCAGCAGCAGTAAACGCCTGGAATCCTACTGGAAATCCTGACCTTCTGCCAACAGCTACAAGGCTTCACAGCTCCAGCCGCACCAATTCTGCCACTGTGGGGTTTGAAGCAACCCACTCACCCTGGAGTGACCCATTCAGAACCAAAGCCTAGCCTGATGCTGGAAGCAGGCCTAGGTCTAGTCTGTGGCTGGATGTAAGTTTGCCTGGGAGCCTCGTTCCCATGTCAGGGTTCCATGATAGAGCTCTGTTAAATAAACAAACTTCTATGCCTGCAGAGACAAACTCCTGTCAAAGAACATACATATCTGAACTGGAAGAAACATTACAGCTGTTGACATGTTTTTATGCCACTTCTAATTTTGCAAAGTGCTCCAGATCATATTAGAGTATACAACTGCCTTGTGAGGTAGGGCATTGTTCCCATTCTACAAGAGACAAAATTGGAAAAACAAGTTTGATTTCTCCATCCAGTGAGTCCATGGGAGTGATGGGCTTGCCCAACATGCTACTTCAAGAGCCATCATGGAATTCTCAAAAAGCACCTAATTTAAGCCTACCAGGAGCATGAGTCAGTCACAGGTAGGACTGTGTGGACTCTGTGCTAAAAAATAAAAATAAAATTCAATATCCCAAGCAATTCTGCACCAAGAAAAGCAGAACTATCTTTCTTACTTTGCCTAATTTATTTTTCAATACTTCTTCTTCTGCATAATTTATTCTGGTTCTGCAGGTCACTGAAACGCAGCCACTGGAAGCCTTATTCATCCAGCTCTCTGACTTCTGATATTTCAACAGGCTAAACAATCTGAAACATTTTTTGTAGCCATAAGGACCAGTAACTTAAATGAAAGCTGAGGGGAAGGTGGTTTCTGCATGCAATACCACATTATGCGTTTTCCCTCCACTTTCACAAAGTCACAGCAACATACAGGCTTGACTATTATTAGTGTGGAATTTTTCAGCAAGTGGAGACATCATCTATGAACTCATCTTATGAACAGAAGTGCAGCTAGCAATTCATGGGGGGATATGTTCTGCACCTATTCAACAACCTCTAAAGGAGGAGAAGATGCCCCCTTTCTCCAAACTGTTCTTTGATCATTTTTCTTCTTCTTCTTTTTCTTCTTCTTTTGCACCTTATTTTGCTAACAGCGTTGTCCATTAATTTCTCTAACCCCCTTTTAGGGCCATCTCAGTCAAGGGACATCATCACAAGCTGTAGCAGTGAATCCTATCAAGTGATTACACACTGTGTGAAGAAGTGCTTTATGGCGCCTGTCCTGAACCTAAAAAAGTTCATGGGAGGACCCAAATCCTAACATTATGATGGAGGAGGAAAAAAGTTTCTGTGAGGTTTGTCAACACTATTCATAGCTGCATAAACTTCATTGATGCCCCACCTTCACCCTAAAGAGAAGCAATTATCAAATCACCACACCAGCAGTCACTAAGAGAGTAAGAACATAACGAGGCAAATGACAGGTGAACTTGCTCCTGGTTGAAAGAGGATCAAGTCATGAGTCCTTCATAATTTAAAACAGTTCCACTGCATGGGTCCACCATTCACCAGTGAAGATACAGCTAATCACAGATCTTTGAGCGGCATGTGTCCTTACTTAGCCTCAATGCAGATGTTCCACTGTGCTTCTAAAAACTTCTGTAAGGTCACAATGAAGTACAGTGGGTCATGCCTTCTGTATGACATTCCATAAACTACTTGTGACACAGTAACTACTCTGCACCAGACCAAATCTGCCCATTCCAGTTTCCTATCCTATTATAGGTAATTAACTTAGCACAGCTAGGATGATTGGGTTAGCACCCATAACTACTGTTGTGAATGGATCACTGTGCTCATTTTACATGCATTTGAGCTTTAACAGACTTTGTCAGAAGCTTTTTGCATTTCACAGCCCTTTGATCCCACTTTTTACATTCCACCCTCCCTCCTCTACATATTTATGTATATATTTTATCTGTCAGTTGAGGATAATACATTATGCATCTGGTGAAGAGAACTCCAGGTCACAAAAGTTTATACATGGGTGGATAAGTTGTTGGACTACAGCTTCCTTCATCCCTGACCATTGGCCATACTGGCTAGGGCTGATAGGAGTTGGAGTCCATCAAGATCAGGAAGGCCACAGTTCCTGATCCCTATTATTATCAGAAAGCCTACAATACCACATGTACTTGGCTGCAAATCAGTCTTGTTGAACTCAGTGGGATTTACTTCTGAGTAGACTTGCAAAGGCTGACACTGTAAAAGTGTCTGTATTTAAGATGCCACAAGACACACTTGTTTCTGCCTATAAGAAGTATCCTAACTCTTACAAGACCCAATTCTGGGTGGAAAGACATAAAACTTCTACCAGATAGAATACACTTCCATTCATCCCCAGTGCAGGTTCCTCTATGTACCAAGCCATTATTTTGCCTTTGAAATTCTTCTCTCCTCATCTCCCATTATAATTTGTCTGAAGTGGAAGCTACAGTTTGAGTGGGCCAGCTAATATGCTAAAGCTGTCACCACAGATGTTCCTTTATTAAAACACGTGTCTATTTATTAAGAGGCACAATGGGACATTATCTAAGAAATTGTTCTAAGCAGAGTTGCCTTGGGAGTAAACCTCATTAAAATAGCTTCGGAGTAAACATGCAGAGTCTATTCAGCGGCGACTTCTGCTGGAAGGAAAACTGGTGGAGGAGCGGAGAAGTGAAAAGCGATGGGGTACGTGCAAGGCTCATTAAGCACATCGATATGGTCTGCGTGCCGTATGGATCAGAACTCTATATTATGGTTATTTACCTTCTGAAAACAAAATTACGAGGCGGCTCTTGCTCCTTGGGAGAAAAGAGCGCTACATTCTCCTAGTATCACCCACTTCTCGGAAGCCGATAAAAGGAAACCCCTTCTCTCAACAAACCATACCGAGTCTAGGAAACACACAATCACAAGATCTCAAAAGCGCAGCACTTTGAAAAAAGGAAGAAAGTGAAGGATCAGGCTATAATTAACGGCAGAGACAACGAAGCTAAATGCAACATCTGTCAGCAAATGATTAAAGGACTTGGGGGACGAAGAGCCGAGTTCCCCCGAGGCATCAAGTAACCCACCTGGTCTATGAAGGATACCCCTCCACATACGCACTTCAATCCCGGGGTGCTCTTTCTTTTCCTATTGCTGCCCGGGCACAGGGTACCACTTGCGCCTCCTCTGCCCTCGCCTCTTCCATCCCGCTCTAAGCCCCGGCCGCGCTCCGCCCGCCTCTCTGCCTCAGCCGCCCCGGAAAAGTTGGGCTCCCTCGACCCGCGGGATGGAGGGCAGGGGTGCTTCCCACCCAGGGGCAGCTCAGGGGCTGGTTCGTTACCGTGCGACACCGGGGAGCTCCGGGCTGCCCCTGCCATCCAGCTGCGTCTCCGCTCGGGACTCCCCCCGCCTCTTCAGCCTCGGCTCCGCCTCCAGAAGCCAGCCACGTCGGTCCCATTCTCCTCGGATCAAAAGCCGCCGCTCCGGCGGACGCTTTAGCGCGCGGCACAGCTTCCGACGTGTCCGCCAAAGGGGGACCGGATAGCGAGAGCACACGCTTCTTCTAGAAACGCTAAGGGAGCCAGCGGGGAACAGGACATGCTTCCGGTTAGGGCAGGATGGGGGACCGGAAAAGAGTCTTACTCTGCCGTACAAGTGACAGAGCGCAGGTCTAGGGCTGCTTGCTGCGCGGCGGAGTATTCGCCAAAGCGGAGGTAGACGCGCAGAGAAGCTGCTGTTGCTGTCTCGTGTGCCACGCCTCCCTCTGGGGCAGCATTTGTGTTAAAGACTCAGGAAGAATCCCTTTTTGGGTCTATTTGGTTGATAGACATCCGATGCCCTTTTAAAATGTGTTTTGGAAGAGGAGATTCTTGTTCTTGTTCTTGTTTTTATTGTGTTTTTTGTGTTCTTATGTTGTGAACCGCCCTGAAACCTGCAGGTATAAGGCGGTATACAAATTTAATAAATAGTAATTGAAATATGCTCGGAGTCGAGAGTGGATTTCATGCTCTTTATTCAGCTCATAGTGGTGAGGAGGAATGGAGTTCCCCCAGAATGTCTGCTTTATATACATTATTTACACAATGGGCCTCACGTGAATGGCTAATTCCGGGATTCTCCTGTAGGCCAATCAGGTTGCAGATTCACTTCCACCTGGAGCTGGATTGGGTGGCTTCTGTGGACCAATCAGACTGCTGCATTCTGGATCCTATTCTAGGACCAATCAGACTGCCACATTCTGAATCCTATTGTTCTAGGACCTATCAGACTACTGCCTTTTGGATCCTATTCAACTCAGTACATAACAGTAATAATAATAATAATAATAATTCCAAACCTTATAAAGAAGCCTTCCCCAACTGGTCCCCTCCAGAGGTTTCGGACTGCAACTCCCACTGGCTGGTGTTGAGGGGATTTGTGGCTCAAAACCTCTGAAGGGCACCAGGTTTTGGAAAACTCTTCTAAAGAGTGGCCAAGCACATTTCTTGTAACCTAGAGTGCTTTTTACCGTATTTTTCGTTCTATAGGACGCACCGGCCCATAGGACGCACCTCGTTTTTTTGGGGGGGGAAATGAATAAAAAAATTTATTCCCCCCCCCCGCCGCGGCTGCCGCCCCAAGCCTCGCGTGGTTCGGGCTGCAGGCTACCGCCCCAAGCCTCGCGCGCTCGGCGGGACCTCCCACCGGGCGCGCGAGGCTTGCAGACACTCGCCCGAAGCCTTGCGCGCTCGGCGGGACCTCCTGCCGGGCACGCAAGGCTTGCAGACACTCGCCCGAAGCACGGGGAGCCCTCCGGAGGGCTCCCGTGCTCGGGCGACAGGCTGCTGCCCCAAGCCTCGCGCACTCGGCGGGACCTCCTGCTGGGCGCGCAAGGCTTGCGGACACTCGCAGGGGCTGCAGGCTGCTGCCTGCAAGCCTTGTGAGCCCGCGGGAACTCCCACCGGGCTTGCAAGGCTTGCGGATAGCTTCCTGAAGCCTGGAGAGCGAGAGGGTTCGGTGCGCACCGATGCCTCTCGCTCTCCAGGCTTCAGCGAAAGCCTGCATTCGCTCCATAGGACGCACACACATTTCCCCTTCATTTTTGGAGGGGAAAAAGTGCGTCCTATGGAGTGAAAAATACGGTAATTTATTACCTGAAACTAGTTCTCCGTGTCTATTCTTTGATCTTTAAAATGCTGGAACTGGCTAAGACTTTCAATTGGGTTAAAGCAGGGATATGTGTAAACAGCAACCTGTGTAGATTGTTGCAATTAAACTTTCAACAAAACCTTTGTTTTCAAAGTGCCTGCCTTCACAAAAGCAATGTCTGAATGATAAGGCAAATCATTGAGGAGTGAACATGAAAGGTTTGTGAGGGGAGGAAAGGAGAGAAAAGATCTGAAGGTTGGAGCCACTGAAAGCATGGAGAGGTTTAACCTGGGTGCTGGTAATGACTGGAAATTTCTGAGGGTTATCAGATGCCTCCAGGTGTTTGTTTACAAAGTACAGTGGTACGTAGGTTTTCGACCATAATCCATTCCAGATGACCATTCAACTTCCGAAATGTTAAAAAACCAAAGCATGCATTTCTGGAAGTATTTCTGTCTGGAAAGCTCAATACAGAAGCCACATGGCGCGTTTGGCTTCTGAAAAGGATTTGAAAACCAAAGCAGTTATTTCCAGGTTTTCAGCGTTCCAAAGCCGAAACGTTCAACTTCTGAGACGTTCGAAAACCAAGGTTCCACTGTATCTCCCTTCATAAAATGATTCTTGAACAATAGCACACTCTATTATTTTTTTGTTTATTTAAATTTATATACCATCCTTCACCTGTAGATTTCAGGGCAGTTCACAACATAAAAAGATAAGATAAAAAACACAAAATACATAACAAAAATAAACCAATAACCCCCCTGCCCCCTAGTTTAAACAGCTGCACAGTTTAAACACTTGCATATTTCTGCACAGTAGCCTATGTTGGTCCAATGAAAGGTGAGCTTTCACCTGCTTTGTATCTCCTCAGAGGTGTTAGCAGCACGAGAAGCAGCCTTACATCCTTACACTGCAGTCCACCAAGTTAAATAGGGCTTACTCCCTGGTAAGAAGTGTTAGCATTGCAGCTTTAGTAAAATAGTCTAAGTTTGCCTATCCTTCCCCATATGCACCCCTCCTTTTCAGGGGATGAGCAAGGACTGGAAAATACCATTATGAACTGATGGGAACTGCTTCTTAGAGCCCTGTCGATGTTTCCTAAATGAGAGCTAAATTGTTAGGATGCCTTTCTTTTGATATCTGATCTCTCTCAATCGTTCAAGCTTGGAGGAGTTGGCACCTGAACCACCACCACTCTGTGGCAGTGTGGATATTATAAAGTATGCATTCATGAACAGGAAACAGAGTTAGTAGGTTTTGGAACAGAATTAGCATGTGAATTAGATTAAGGCTGAAAGCATCTTGTGCCCATACAGGACCTCTCTCTGGAAATCTGAGGTAGGGTAGTAGATCTGCCCGTTTTGAAGGAGTGCTTGCTGTTTGCCTCCTCTTGTGTTCTACATTTATCTAGTTTTGTAATAAATAAAGGAAATAAATTTTAAAAACCATCCTCTCCAAAGGAAGTAAATGCCAAGTAGAACAAAGCTTCTTGTTATACTTTAAAGACTAATAAACGTTCTTATAACATGATTTTGTGGTGTGGATTGGAGCCTGCTTCATTAGATAAAAGCAGTGTGATCCTCAGTTGTAAAGGGGAGAAACATAAAGGCTGATGTTAAATGGCAATGGAATGCAGAGATACATTCTGTGATGATTTAATCAGAGCTTAAATGTATGCAAAATGTCCTGTCACAGCAGCAGTAGCATCATAATGCAGTCATCTTAGTACAGTGTAAAGTGACTATGCAGCTATAGCTTAAATATATCTAAATGAGCACAGTGACCCTTAATAACAAAAATGATTGGGAACTGTATTCACAACAACATAAAGAGGTTTGCCATTATGGCAAATCATAGAGAGATAGGCTGTGTACACACTATAAACACATTCAAAGCACCCAAAGAATTATGGGTTCTTTAACTTGTTACAGGTGCTGGGAATTATAGCGCTGTGAGAGGTAAACTACAGTTCACAGGATTCGGAGGCGGGGGGGTAGGGTGCTTTAAATGTGCTTTAGAGATATTGTATGTAAGCAGTCATAGACCCATTCACAATAATCAAAGATGAAGCCGCAAACAAGATTTGCTTAAAGTTTATTTCGTTAGTGAACCAGCACAAAATGGGGAACATGTAGATAAATGGTGCCTCCATGTGGCTATTCTATGATGCTACAGTCCTCAACTTCCTATTTTGCTCATTCAGTGGAAGTCAGAGATTGTAACTTCATAGAATAACCACACGGAGGCACCATTTATCTATATAGTTTTATATCCCTAACACTTCACTCCTTTCTTTCTCTTCTTTCAAAATATTTATATTATAACAATGCTAAAATATAACAAGTCAAAGCTACCTGCAGATTAAAACTTCATACAGATAACTCAGTCACATTTCAACTTGTGTAGCATACTCCCTTTGGGACAAACCATTGCCATAGTCCTGGAAACACGCGGAATTTATATACAGTGGTACCTCAGGTTAAGAACTTAATTCGTTCTGGAGGCCCGTTCTTAACCTCAAACTGTTCTTAACCTGAGGTACCACTTTAGCTAATGGGGCCTCCCGCTGCCGCCGCGTGATTTCTGTTCTCATCCTGAAGCAAAGTTCTTAACCCGAGGTACTATTTCTGGGTTAGCGGAGTCTGTAACCTAAAGCGTCTGTAACCCGAGGTACCACTGTATTTATGAGTTGCAAGTTAATTGCTTCTACAGTTGGGAGTAAGGTATACATGATGTTTGAGTATCTAATGTCTCTAAATTTCTTGGAGTAACTTTGCGTCTTTAGTCTCACTGACATGACCCAACCCCACTGTTCCTGTTGGAAGAGCTGGGTGATAGTTTGATCTGTGTAAGCAGGGTTTGTTCAGCCTGCACTAAGATTGCATTTCCAGAACCCTAAACATTACTAGTCCCCTTCACTCACTGGTCACTTCAGGGGGTGACAAGAGTGCAAAGGGGTTGTGGAGATGTGTATTCCATGGGTTCTTCCAGCTTGCTAATTTGTTCAGGGGAAATGCCAGCAGTGAGGAGGAATCTGACATCTCTGAGCCCCCTTCTCCTCCTAATCCCCCTTACTCCCACCTTTACCATAGGCTGGCAAGGGTGGTTACCTCACCCTCCCACCCCCCAAAACTACATGGAGCTGAAGGAGGAAGCTGGAAAGGTGAGACTCCTTTCCCCTTCATCTTTCACCTAATACTAACTGAGCTGGCTGAGGTCAGGATCTTGCCCAGCCTGACTGATTGATATTGGTCTGGACCGCGTCTGCACCTACCAGTCTGAGGATTCTTGTTTCTAAGAGAGAGGGTTAATGAACCTGAAACCAGGTAGGTTTGGCCCAGATTCATCCATTGCTAGATCAGTCAGAGGTGGTAGGTTGTCACTGGAGCTGAACAGTACGCAGATGACTCTTAATGGTCAGCAAATATCTGAATGGGGTGCCTCTTCTCACCTCCCTCAGGAATGTTGTAGTCCAAGTGTGTGTGTCAGAAAGGACACAGCCAGTAGCTTGAAATAGACTCTGTAAATTTTGGGGGATTTGAAGGTGCTGGCTGTTCCCCAGAAGACCTGATATGGGTGCAGCGAACTGTGGGGGGGTCTTTTAGGTTGTCTGATGCTGCACCTCCAACGACGCCCAAGCCACAT